TGCATACTCATCAGTGTACTTAGATACTAATTATAGGTACTACATGACTATATAAAAAGTACCTGTCATTAGTATGGGTATTTAGGTATGTAAGCCAGGAAATGTGCTAAAATATTGCTTTTATCATTAGTGTGACCATTCTCAAATTAGAAAGCATTCTTGTGCGTAAAAATAGATTTCTCATAAATACCGAATAATAAATACCATCTGTCTATGTTGAAAGAAATGCGAATGTATTCAAACATAGCAATACTTGTATGTACTTAACCCCGGTGAGGTAGGTACTATGATGTAGTTTTTGCGATATTTGACGTCAGACCATTACATATAATTTCACTATATGTTCTGGTACATTAATGTACAAAAAGTTTATTGCAAGACAGCTGCAGCTTTCATTCTCTCTGAGAACAATTAAGAATTAATAGGTATCTACAACTAGTAGATGATAAATTCTACTTATATTAGCATGTACATTTTTCTAGTCTCATTTTAGGGAAGTTTTTTAGAAAAAATATTAAACAATTAAGATTGAATAGGCATCTACAATGATAGATAATAAATTCTACTTCATAAATAAGCAAGTACCAGGTACATTTTTTCAAAATCTAATTTTAAGGAAGTTATTTTAGAAAAAAATATTATCGATAAAGGTGTGTAGTTCTAAATAAAGGTGTGTACTGGTACTTCTTGAATACATTCGCATTTCTTTCATCATTCACATTTTTTTCTTTCAAAGTCCTACATTCCTTATGATATTATGACAGTGATCAGCTTGAACAAGAGGAGATGAAGAGATTTTTTTCTTTTCTTTTTTTTTTTCCGTACTTTTTTTAAAATTTACAATAGCTATCTATGACCCAATATAAAAGACTCAGTGCAATATTGAGAATTGTACAGAATCAGCTCATGGTCATGGAGTTCATTGCATTGAAATTATAAAGGTGTGAAAACGAGCTAGGTTGCCTCATAGGGAGACGGATTATGTGAATTAAGGACTTTTGTTTGACACTTTAAAGTTAAAGAATATTATTTTAATCCATAACAGTAATAACTATTTAAATCCCTTAATCACCAGGAATAAATTAATACTGAAAACAGACGAAAAACAAGACAAATTCATAATATTAGATATCAATTGATCTCAATTGAAAAGTACATCTGAATCAGCCAACCAAGTAATAAAATCCCACTTGTATAACCTTTGGGTAAAACTTGGTCATTTTATACTTGCATAACTATTGATAAATTAAATAACTACTTATAATCAGTTTATATTATGTTTATGAAATAAAAAATTGAGTGGCGATATGTAACATTACACATTAAAATTCACTTAATTAAAAATTCAGCTAAATGCTTGTTTTTTTTTTTCCTTCTTATAATATCTTCCTCCTACATGTGTGATGACTGTGATCTTTCCAAACCTTTTTTTTTTTTTTTGAAAATCTATCAAAAATTAATCTGCACAATATATGAGGAGTCAGGCCCTGCTGCTGCGATTTTCTATGACCTTTGTGACCTTTGCTCCGTCTGCTCATGATGATGACCTCGGACGGATTATGAAAGTGTAGATATAAATGGAAGCTGAACATCACCGGGATGAGCTTAGTGTCTTGTTTTCTGGCAAAACATTACTAAAATTAGCCCTCGGTGAGGAGTTAGGGGGTACAGGCAGTGCTGGTAGTGACCCCTGCAGCAGGATGACTCATACTCGGCTAAATAAAAACTCATCTGTGTATATATATACCGGCAGGCGTCTATATTTTAGCTCATGACTGACTTTCATCTATTTTTTTTTTTGTGAGTTTACAACTCTTCTGCTTTTTTTCTTTGTGATCTTTTTTGCATTGATCTTTTATTTAGCATTTTTAGATGTTGAAAACAACAAAAAACATATGTACATGATATACTAACATATATATGTGAGGCATAAATGTCTATATTATGCAACATCAGCATTTGCTGTTTCAAGTGAATTCTATATAAGTACCACCTCCCCCACCCAAACCCTCAGACATACACACACCCTCCACCACCCTTTTTTGAAAAAAATAAAAGGGAAAAGACTTTAAATATGTTTATTCTGGAATTGGCCCTATATAGCAGAAGACCACAGAAGACAATGTATGTGGCACCCTGTACCAATAGCCAGGGTAATATTAATTACCACATGATTGTACTCAATAAACAGCCCCATGCAACATCTGAGAGACAGAGAGGACAAGTAAGTAATATACTCCATAAGGACAAAATATGTGACTTCATCGTCACATTTTTTGTATAAATAAGGGCTGTGCATGATCCAGGGACTGGGGAACTTTCCCTCCCACAGTGGCATAATCTGGTTATTTTTGCACATACCCCCCCCCATCCATTAGGGGAGGATGTCCTATCGCTTCTGTTTTGCAAATGACCTCTTCTACTTCAATTCTTATGGGCAACCCCTAAATATCAAAAAGTGAAACTTCTCCACGATATCTACATGTATTCTACCTGTTTACTTGTATACCCATTTCATTTGTCTTTTTTGCAAATAAAAGCACCCTTCACCAGTCAGATTGACAAACACTTGAGATGGCCTCATAAAGCTGTGGTATGTAAGTGCTTGTCAAGGGGTACCCTTCCTCTAACCCCCATCTCACCCCCTCCTCCTTTTCTCATTTTTCTTATCTCTTCTTCTAGCTTTTTTCTCTATATCTACATTATCTCTCTCACTTTAATCCACCACTCCCCCCCCTTCTTCCTCTTCATATTCATCTCCCTCCAACTTTCCCCCTCAAGTCCCATGTTCCAAACACCTTTGAGTAAGATTGTAGGTTTGTCCCCTTTTTACATTCAAGGTTAACTGCTATGTACATGACAGAGTTCATTCTCCTGTGCATATTGAAGGTGCTGGAAGCTGGAATTGATGCAACCAGGAGTGTTTCAGATGACAGGACCTGTATTTGAGGACAGCTAGGACCTTCATCACTATGATCCTCACAGAATAGAATAGCAATTTAGTCAAATGTTAATCTCTTTAGGAATATTAATTTTAATTGATGGTATGGATTATATCACAATAATGACATTGAAAGATTGCTTTTTAGAAAAAGGTTTTAAAGGTCCCGGGGTCTATATTGGGGGGGTTGTCCTCAGGCATGATCTAAGAAAATTCTGCATGTGACGTACCTAAGAAGTTTTTTTTTATATTACCGGGTAATCACTACAACAACCTCTGGTAACAAGGATACATTAACAGTCTAATTTTATGTTTTGAACATAAACATTTACTTCTTTAAAGATAAATACCACTGAAGGATTGATTACTTTTATAAAAATATAAATGTATTTATGATTTAAACCTGTATTCTGTAAGTTAGTAGTTCTGCCTGCAGGGTTATCAGGTGTTTTTACTTGTTTACCACAATTGCTAAATGTGTCAATCTTCAAACTGAAAGGTGTGACAAAGTTCCCATTTAATGACTTCTAAACTTAATATATTTGATAGCATACTCCAAAACACTATTAAATTGTTTGATCTAGATATAGGATTGGGCGCATGATACATGAAAAGTCAATTTTTGTTACCTGAAAAAAATGTTATAAACATGAAAAAAATAACTTGGTTAAGGTGTGCACATGACATTAGAACATAAAGCTGTTAAAATAAGTATGTATATTTAGCTCAATAGAACTTCTTTTATGTAAATCTACATTATAATAATAATATATTTAATAGAAAATTTAGCTAGCATTCAAAGTCAAGTGGGTCACTGGAAATAACACGTAAATTTTTTGTATAAATATTTTCGCTTTTTGAAGTCCTAGAGTGTTAGAAATTCTTCTTACAAATGGTGAGAATTTCAAACAAATATTTAGTCAAGGTACTTAATCGTAAATATCGGATAAAGGCCTATTGCATGTCATTATTTAAAGTACTCCATTGTTAAACACTAGCTATGTATTTGGACAAAAGACGCTTGGTCAAATAGAACTTCGGTCATTGTTTAGTATAAATACACAGTGTAGTTTTGATTATGTCAAAAGAAGCTATTGGCAGTAGGGTGATTTTTTTTAAACTTGAATTTGATCTCGAAACTGTCATATCTAGACCATACTGGATCTTGGATCAATTAGATTGTTGCAATATAGCCAAAAAAAAAAAAAATTGCAATATCTTTGCCTAATGAATCATCGCCTTTTAATATCCATATATAATTCTTAACAATTATATATAAAGTACTGTTTATTAAACGCTCTCCCCCATTCTAACCCCCACACAAAAATGTGCATATTAAAAATGATACAAGTGTACTCATAAATAAGGGGGGAGGGGAGGTATTGCTTAATGCCTCTAGACTGTCTTATACATTAATACAAGGAATAAAATAGAAAACAGCTGCTTTTATACAGGTGTCTAGACAAAAGCACTATAATCAATACAACAAAGAGATTTATTTTCAAGGTTAAATTGTATTATTGTTATCTGTGTGTGTGTGTTTTTCTTTTAATATCAGAAGTGAACATTATTTTGGTGTATGTGTTACACATATGGTGTAAAACTTTTACCTAAATTGGTTTTGTTTTAACTGGTTTTGGGTTTTTCTCAAGTTTCAGCTTGCACCCTATATTTAGTAACTAATTAAGGTATTGATCACCACTAATTATGTGGGTGTAGGGAATTAAATATCAAACTCTTAGTCATCTAGCATTTTAAATTTCAAATTTAAAACTTCTCTTTAAAATAAAACAAATCTAACTTTTCCCAGAAGTTATGAGAATAATATGAAACCTATCTATAAATTGTCTAAACAAGCATGTTTTCATAACTTTTAGTTTTAGTTACAAGTTATGTTCCATGAATATCCTTCTGAGTTAAACAAAATTCTAGATGCACAATATTTAATATAAGCACATTATTTTCATAAAAGTTGCAGAAACAAAACTTGGATCCGCCTACACACACCACAAACACAGAACCATGATTACTAAGCTGCAGAGGGGAAATCTGGACTTACCCACGGTACTGAGTAGATCGTAATTGTTAATATTAGGGGTAGGTTTGTCCCCATCAGTCACATCCTTTTTAGAAGCAGAGGACCTGAGGCGTACTTTTGAAACTTTAGCAGACGCCATTTCTCTCACAATAAATCCTGTTCTGAAGTTGACAATTCCTAAAATATATGTATCCAAGTCCAGTCAAAATCAAACTTTGCTTTTTCCATTAGAGATCAAAAGCTAGTCAAATTTTACACTTCATAAAGAATTCTTTAACACGATTGACTGTAATGGACAACCCAGCGATAATTCCATAATCTCAGTCATTCGATCTCTTTTACGAAAACAGCACCCAGTCCGAACACCAACACACACGTAAATGTTTTGATCGCGATAGGAACAGAGTGACTCCCCTTTGATAGTATAGTCTATTTCTAATTTTGGTTTTCAGAAACGTATCAAGTTGAGATGATTACGCACATGCAAACGATCATATACGGAAGTGTGGGGAATACTTATCCGGTTTTATAAGACTCTCACTACAAAAAGCATTGATTTGAATTAATAATGTGAAATAGAGTAAAAATCTCTCTCTCTCTCTCTCTCTCTCTCTCTCTCTCTCTCTCTCTCTCTCTCTGTCTGCGTTTGGTCATCAAATTCATTGATAAGTTCGCACATTCTCATATTTAACAGTAATTATTTGCCTAATATAAATCACATTTCGCTTTCCAATATTTAATTACAAGTAAAATGAAGATTATTGTTTCAAGTGCTTTTAAAACTGTGAAAGTTTTAAATTCTTAAATTATCATACTGACACTCACTGCTGAATATGTTTTAATAAAATATAATTTCGATTGCATATACCGTGGTTCATGGTAAAAGGTCCTTTTTTTCTCTTGTGTGGCTAAGCAACAACTTTATTGGGGTCATATGTCCGAAAAGTCTTGTGTGAAATTTTCAAAACTTTAAATTTGACATATAAAGCAGGGACCTGTCCCTCCAGTAAATCGATAAAAACAATTCAAGTCTGCGAAGATCCGAGGGCATTTTTACAACGCAAAATGTAATAAACCGAGCTTATCGCAATTTGCGTTATTGCATTTTGCGTGGAGATCGGCGTTACGTTGTTATATTACATTTTGCGTTGTAACAGGTCATACAACATGGACTCCTGGATATTTAATGGGATCAGATCCCTGGAGAAAGAAGCATCCCCTGTTGAGATGTCACACCCGACGTAAGCCCAGTGTACTGATCAGGTAGATGGGGCATTCCGTAGTTAAATTCAGTACAAAAAAAGTCATAACAATTGCTACGTCAAACAAAACTCGACTCGGCGAGGGGTTAATTTTGCTAACAAGGTTATTATAACGATCACGCATTTACGAAATGATGACTTCAAACAAGGTTTTTGTTGAAAGCCAAGTAACATCAATTTATTTGTGAATAACCTGCCTTGGTTAAAAAAATATCGTAAAAGAGTGGGTATATTTCTAAAATAAATTATTTAATGCCCTGTTTATAATCTTAAAAGTTTATGTTATTTTATTATCCGATGATTTATGTCTGGAAGATAAGATTGTCTTATATATGCCTCAATATAAGCATTTTGAAAAAATAAACCAAAAAAGACTAATTGTGTAAATGGAGACTATAATGTGTAAATGGATAAATTTTTGCATTGCATGCAGATATGTTACCTTACCTTCACTGTAGGACTTCATAGATTGTGATATCAAAACTACATGAATGTTGACACAGGAAAAACAACTTACAGCATATTTTTGGAGATAAAAGATCAATATACTGTAGTTATCTCCACTACTTTAAATTATTTTTAATGCGTGTACTTGATGCAAAGTAGTTTAAATCTTTTTGAGTTTATATTTGAGAATGCATTACAAATTGTATTAATTTTGTGCTGTTAAGTAAAATGGACAGATATTTAAGACAAGTAACTTTTTTTCCGATGATCCATAAAGGAATTAGCCTAGTAATAGTTAGATCATATTAAGTAAGATTTTAGTGGTTAAGAAGGGGCGGAGGGAGCGAAGCGACCGAGCCCCCTTCTTAACCACTAAAATTTTACTTAATACGGATTGGCTAATTAGTCAGCTCGCGGAGTTACTGCATAGACATAAAATCTTAACAATTAAGTGAGCAACTTAATAGAAAATTTAGCAGCTGCTGATTGGATGAAAAAGCGGGTTAGGTTCTAATGTAAATAAATCCGTACATAGAGTAAATTTTCTCATCAGTTGTTTTAAGCATCATTAACAGCCTTGACATTATAAAGGAAGAAAATGCTACTAACTGCCTATAAACGGTAAATTTCGTATATAAAACAAATACTAGTACCATTGATATTCTTGTTTTCAGATTAAATTGTTTCCCTTTGTTTGACGAAACTAAGTTTTTCAAAAAATAACCTTCTATTCTATAAACTGTGTTTCTGGAGTTTGAACAACTTTAAAAATTATCTATCCCTTATTTGTACACATGACGTTAGATACATTTTTTATAGCATATTATTTTTGTTTTTCCTTAACATTTGTTCTTAACATGTAAATGTTTATATTTTAATGTGTTGGACTACTTCATTTTATTGCATCTATAAAGAAATACAGGTAGTATGTTAATTGGAGTTTCCCTTTAATAGGGCAGTTTCTTCAAATATTCCCAATTCAAATAAAACTTAACTTTATATTGCCTTACTAAAATGGAAATTTCATTTTTAAATTAAGTGAATTTTTTGTTTTGTTTTTGTTTTTATCCATTTTCAATATGGAAACATTTTGTTAGTTTACTTATTAAAAAATTGAAGCTGATACATGTACAGTGAAAACTAAATATTTGGGCCACCTTAATTCATATCCAAAAAATCCAAAAATTAAAAAAAAATTACCGAATGTCACAAATTAAATCCATAACATGTTGTCATTTGTATAATAAATATGTATGTAAATGTATGGGATATGATAATTTTGGTTATGATAATTATGGTCGTATATGTCGATATAAATTACTATGAAAAACATAGCTACTTTATGCCCCCCCCCCCCTCCCCCATCTCATGATCATGGGCTTTTTTGTAACCTTGACAAATATTTTTTCTCAGAACTTCTCTCATTAACTGAATAAAGTTTGGTTCAAACAGGTATGCGTGTTGTGTAAAAATATATACGTTAATTGATCCCTCGGATCCCCTTTAAATTCAGCCTTAGGTCTAAAAATGAAAATGTTTAATACATGTACTTGTGGACTTGATAATCCTGATAATGAAGGATCGAATCATTTTACTTTGAAATCATACATTTCGTATTTCGTAAGAAATAGTCCTCCGGGTTGAGAGGTTGTTTATTAATAAATAAATATTTCATTTAAATGATTATACGTATAAATATATTTAAATCAATTTTTTTTATTTTGACTGCTGAGTGCAAAAAATATCTGATAACACCTCCCCCCCCCCTTTCGCAGGTGCCCTCCCACTTATCATCTGTAATCGCCCTACTGTCATTTTAATATGTCTGAATAGCAGGGTTAGTGGCATAATTTTCCTTAAATGAATTAAAATTGATATATTGATATTCAATTTCTTTACAATTTTTTTTTATTACGGTGGAAGGGAAAGAACTTCTTTAAAAATAAGGCGGGAATAGCGGGGTTAAAGGTCATGCCATTTGTGTACCCTGTAAAGAGAAGATGGCCGACGATCAGATACAATTTGAAACTCTTTTGAACACCTTATTAAATCCAGAAAACGACATCAGAGTTAAAGCTGAGGTAATATATTATAATGATGTTTTGTTCGTTCACAGAAAAGACTGTATCGTGCATTTTTCACTCGCAACGACCTCATTCGCCATACCACGTGGAAATGAATGGAGACATGTCACATTCGGAGTGATACATTTTATTACGAAGAAAAGATAGCTCTTTGTATAATATACTGGAGTCAGATATATTGCTTATTTGACCTGTTTATAATAGAAGTTGACAGTTTTTAAATGAATGCAATGGGAATGATACTAAGTTGTGTTAAATGGCTCAATATTTCTACTTCCGGTCAGCACCCCCCTCTTTTCACAATCCCCTAGCATTGCTGAACATATGAATCATAGCGTTAATGTAATATATAAACAATTTATTATATTCTAGAGAGAAGTTTTGTGAAAGACAGTATGAGTTTGTGATGATAGTTTGCAGATATTGAATGGAAACACCTGTAATCTTTAGCAACTTACTGAATACTGATCAGAGGACATTTTTTAATGTCAATTGACAAAAAATATTTAGCCTTTTACGATAACTGTAGTACTACTCTTTTGCAGAGCAAAATATTTAAGTTTTGCGAAGTGTTCACCTCTTGACAATTATCAAAATAAGGTTAATGAAGTAACTGCTGTTACGGCATACCATTTTGTCAGTAAAGGTACGAAATCCGAGATTCATCTTACTCTGACCCATGCTTGTAAATTATGATGTGCTGTCTCCCCTGTATAGGGCTGTCACGGGTACCCGAAATGACCCGGAACCACGGAACAATTAATTTGGGTTGAGTTCGGTTCTGATTTACTGGAAGCCGGTTCGGTTCCAATTTGTACAATAGAGTAGGTTTTACCATAAAAATGGCCTCTAAAATGAAAGGCTCATTAGTATATTACCATTTAACACGGTAATAATGTGATTTGAATCATTTGGTTCAATTATTTTTCTAGTTAGGAAATTAAGAATTCATTAAATTTTGCTTACAAAATAAGCACAAAAGCAGGAACAGTCTTGTTTTTCATTGCTCGATTAAAATGTTGGATTGAAATTTTCTACTTTCAGGAAGCCTATGATGGTGTACCTACAGTCTCCAAATTACCCTTCCTTGTGACAGCCTTGAAAAACAAAAATTTATCTGTGGAGGTACTTCAATGCTAAAAGCTTTAAACATCCTCATTTAAGTTGATTAATTGAAATTAAAATCTAGGACAAGAAGTTTAATAAGTTCATGCATTGAGAAGGATATTTGATTTGCAGGTTAGGACTCTTGCTGCAGTGCTGTTAAGACGTTTATTTGCCAACAATTTCGAGGAGTTTTGGCCTCAGGTTCCTGTAGATATTCAAAATGCGGTCAAAGATCAGGTTCTTTTACTTATCCAAGAGGAGACTTCACCGCCTGTCCGTAAAAAAATCTGTGATGCCGTTGCAGAACTGGCCAGGAATCTTATTGGTATAATGATAATAATATATATCTATATTAATAATATAATTGGTGTAGTGTGTTATCTTGTTAAATTTGATGAAAAAACAATTCTTCTCCATTTTATACCATTTCTTTTTGTGTTACTTGCATCGATTTACAATTAAAATGAGTTTCTAACAGACAAAAGAGAGAGATGACGAAAAAAAGTATAGTTTTAACTTTTGTGCGGCATATTAAGCACATACTTTGTTTATTTTCTCTTCATGAGGCATTGTTTGATTTTATTTCTCTTGTGTACAGACGATGAAGACAATGTAACATGGCCAGAGGTTCTGAAGTACATGTTTGAGTGTGCTAATTCTGCTGACCCAGGTCTACGAAGTGGTGCTCTTCACATTTTTGGGTAGGAAATTTGAAGATTTTATCTACATTGTTTAGGTAGTTGTAGAGTTGTTAACTTGACTAAATTGCACCATGAATATTAGAATAGAAGTTTGATTTTATAAAATAAAAGTATTTGATACCATCAGATTTTTACAACTGAAGGTCGGTCTGTAAAATCAATGTTTTTTCCTGTGGTAGAAGTATTCCAAAAGTGTATTTATATTTCATTATACTATTACAATGTTTTGTTTTTCCAGTCAGGTCCCAGGGATATTTGGAAACCAACAGGCTCACTACTTGGATGTTATCAAACAGATGTTAACAAGGTGTTTAAATGACACAGGGAATTTCGAGGTGCAGTCGGAGGCCGTCCAAGCCATGACGGCTTTTCTCTCGACCAATGACAACTCTCCAAATCTCTTGGCAATGTTCAAAGACCTAATACCGCCCATGATTCAGGTAAAGGAAATGGACTTCATTATTTCAAAGAGGCATTCTGGGATTGAAATTAATGTGTAAAACAAGTTTTGATCAGGGATCGACACTAACTTTAAAACCATAGTTGTCAGCAGGGCTAGTAATTCCTAATTTCTACTAGCCTTGTTCATGTATTAGTTGCCCAGTAGCCGAAGGCTGCTGGCCGAATCGCGAAGCGACGAGGGGGGTAGGTGCGGGAGGGGGTTTCCCCCTCCTGCTGGTGGGGGTACGGGGGGCCTCCCCCGGAAAATTTTGAAAATAGAGATGCGAAATCCTGCATTCTGGCTGAATTTTGGGTGTAAATTATATGTCACTCTATGATTGTACCTAAGACATTTTTACTGTTCGAAAAATTCTATATTTATATCATTTAGGGTATTTTGAATCACCTCTAAAGTTTACATTTTCGACTTAAAAATTATAATTATGCTGATAAAACATATTTGAAAATAAATTTAACAATTATCAGGTATATTGTATGTAAATTATAATTATTTTCCTTGCTCTTAGTGAGTAATTGGTAAAATTTACTGTAGCCCTGCAGGGCAAGTTTAAAGACATGTTTGGTAGCCCGACCTCAATATTCAGTTGTCCCGGGCCAGCGGGCTAGCGTTAGTGTCGAACCCTGTTGATTGGTTGGAGTTTCTTTGAGGATAAGCCTCTGATTGAGCTGTTTATTTTGGCAGTTAATAAATGAGAGTGTGAGCTCTCAGGAAGATGATGCCCTGCTGAAATGCTTGATTGAACTGGCAGAAAATGTGCCAAAAGTTTTGAGATCTCATATGGAATCCATTTTCCCATTTTGTTTGAAGGTAAGTATGTACATTTAAAGACATTCAGTCTAAGTAAACAATATGTTTGGGGAAGACATTTGAATTTTGTGAAATACATGTAAATATTTGCTTATTAATGACATTTGTTACCCAGAATTGCAGCGGTTAATGTAGATCATGTATTGAGTGCAACAGGTTACCAATATTTAAATCAGAAATTATCTCGAGGTTTATTTATGATTAATCCAACTTTTCCACAGAATATTGCCCAAACTTTCTATTTCCAAGTGACCATTATATAATGAGCCACACTATTCATTATAAATAATCATGGCTTGAAACATAGATAAAATTGATGGATATTTGTGCTCTCTTTAGATTGTTTCGGATTGTAATTTGGAGGATTCCTGGAGACAGCTAGGGTTAGAGGTCATTGTTACCTTGTCAGAGACGGCACCAGCAATGGTGCGAAAAAATGCCAAGTTTATGCCACTTCTAGGTTTGTACTTGATAAGTCCATACATTGTTTTTACTGCATTATTGAACATTGAACACTCCCATATAAAATATAGCCATTTGAAGTGGGCAAATGGAAAAATTTCTTCCATTGGCTAATAGAACATGTTATTTTGATATCCAATAATAAGTCATGTCTGCATGAAAAGCTTCCTACAAAGATCTGTAAAATTCCCGATTTCTTGCTGCAGTGCCCCAGGTGCTGGCCATGATGGTGGACTTAGAGGAGGAACCTGATTGGTCAGTCCAGGACGAGCCAGATGAAGACGACACAGACAGGTGGGTACAGCTGTACTTAAAAGTATGCCTGGTAAATTATAGATAAGAGTTCAATATTAGTTGATAAGAGTTTTAACATGAATGAGAATCCTTAGCAGGAAGTTTAGGAAACTTCTGCTAAGTACAGATGAAGTTTGTAAATCTTGCTTTGTTTTGTAGCAATGCTATAGCAGCAGAGAGTGCCTTGGATCGGTTAGCTTGTGCTCTAGGAGGAAAGACCATGCTGCCTCATATCTTGTCCAATGTCCCTCAGATGTTACAAAACAGTAAGTTTATTACACACAGGTGCACTAAAGAATAAATATTTTGATTTGATTTACACTAACAAGTGTTGTAGGTGCTAAATTATTAGTAACTTTATGGTTAAATTTCGAGATACACTGTACTGTAGAAAGAAGCTATGGATTATGAATCCTTGCAATTGCAATGGATTTATTAGGGGAAAAAATAAATATTTTGAAGAAACTTCACACTTTGAATTGCATGTTATAGATGACTGGCGCTACAGACATGCAGCGCTAATGGCCATCTCAGCTTGTGGCGAGGGCTGTCATCAACAGATGGAAACCATGCTGGGAAACGTGTTAGAAGCTATAATGCCATTCCTCAAAGATCCAGTAAGACTTTAAAGCAGTGTCTACATATTTATACACGATAGACACAAACCTTCGATAGCAGGCTGTACTATTAATTGTCAAGTTGTATTGAGAGAATTACATGAAAAAGTTTTATTTGCCATAGTCTATTTGTAGTATGTGCACTTAATTCAGAAAAAAGTCATGAAATATTTTGATCATTGTAGCACCCAAGGGTTAGATATGCAGCTTGTAATGCCCTAGGACAGCTGTGTACAGATTTTGGTCCTGTCTTTCAAAAGAAGTTCCATGACAAGGCAAGTTCTGTACAAAGAATTCATATTTTTAATGTTAAAGGGGGGATTAGTTATGAGAAAGTCACGAAATATTAATGAATTCAATGTTTTTAAGAAATGAGCTTTAGGTATCTCTTTCTGTTAAAAGTTAGCAATTGGAATTTGAAGCTTATGGTTAATATCCAAATTTTCAGTTAGTTCCTAGTTTGCTACAAGTGCTGGATGACAATGCGAATCCTCGCGTTCAGGCCCATGGTGCTGCCGCCCTGGTAAACTTCAGTGAGGAGTGCCCTAAAGCTATCCTGTCACAGTATCTAGATGTTATCATTCTTAAATTGGAAGAAGTGCTCAACAGCAAATTCAAAGAGGTGAGAATGCAGCTGAACTCGATTTAATGAAATGGATTTTGCTTGACAACAATTGACATCTTTTACATTGCAAATCAGAAAGGAAAATTTTCTCACATACCCCTTTATGATCCATTGAAAATTTTCTGTTATGATGCAATTAACTAATTCTAAACTAAATATTCTGCTAGCTCAAGTTGGCCAATAATCTTGGTGATCATTATTGCACAAGGAGAAAAAAATTTAGAGTATTTGTATTATTTAAGTGTTGCCTTCTGAGGGAATTCAGTTATGTTCACTTTTATTTCAGCTTATGGAAAAAGGAACAAAGATGGTTTTAGAGCAGATAGTGACTACCTTGGCGTCGGTAGCGGACACGGCCGAGGAGAAATTCACATCTCACTACGACAGGTTCATGCCCTGTCTGAAGTACATTGTACAGAATGCTGTCCAGCCAGAGTTACGGTTACTGAGGGGGAAAACCATCGAGTGTATTAGTCTGATTGGATTGGCTGTTGGTAAAGAAAAGGTGGGCAGATTTCTCTGTCACATGAACACCTCCCTCCCAATTCCTCAAAAAAGGAAATTCCTCCATATTAATAGCAAGTTTGAAAAAAAAATCCATGCATGATACATGTACTTGCATCTTTTGAATGTTAGGGAAAAATGAAGGCACTGTCAATCTATACTTAACTTCCATTAAAGGTTCCATAAAATAAATATTACATTTTTTTTTCCTTCAGTTTATACAAGATTGCAGTGATGTCATGCAACTGCTTCTAAAACATCAAACAACCCAAGAGGAAATGGCTGATGATGACCCCCAGGTGAGTTAGCAAAGACATTGTGATAAAATAAAAAGCACAACTGTATCTGTATGATCATTTTGAATTTTGCAATGGAGAAAACTGCAGTTTAAATACATATTTATTTAAATAAGCCAAGGAACTGGATATTTGCCAAAATATGAAAAATAAGTTGGTATTACAGTACAGTCTAACTTTGTTTTTTTCCAACTTGACAAAACCCAGTTCTGTGTACATTCAGCTTTCATACATGATCTCGGCCTGGGCCAGAATGTGTAAAATCATGGGAAAGGAATTTCAGCAGTACCTACCTATTGTCATGGGTCCTGTTCTCAAAGCAGCATCACTCAAACCAGAAGTGGCCTTATTAGACAGTAAGAGTTACATTGTACTCTGTCATTAAAATGAGAAATGTAAACATTGAACATGATTTGTTAACTTGTGAGGGAAGAAAAAGGAAAGTACAAAATAATTTTTTGAATTAAGTCAGACATTTATTCTTTAGATGAAATCTTCAATGGTCAAAATTTGAATGAGTGACTTACAAAATGTCTGTTTCTGTATTTACATATACCTTCATGTTTGTATAAATGTACGAAAGTAAAATAAATTGGTTTTCTGCAGGTGAAGAAATTAAAGACATGGAAAGTGATACGGAGTGGCAGTTTGTGACTGTCGGTGATCAGGTATTTCTGTTATTGTCATTATCTACCCCTGGTATTTACAACCAGTATCAATCTGGATTTATTTCCCTTTACCTGATTTAAACTGCAGATACAGCTTTTGACTTGATTTTGGTTTGCAGCAAAGTTTTGGGATTCGAACCGCTGGTCTGGAAGAAAAGGCCACCGCCTGTCAGATGTTGGTTTGTTATGCTAGGGAGTTAAAGGAAGGTTTTGCCGAATATGCAGAGGAGGTTGTCAAAATCATGGTCCCATTACTCAAATTTTACTTCCATGATGGTAAGTTGTACTCTGTATGTATTCAGTATTGTCAGATATCAGTTTCTCTACTACATGTATATAAGCATGAATTCAATCATTTTGCCATAAGCTGTAAAATCAAATATCTTCATGGGGACACTTCTTTGTGGTATGAAGGAAAAAAAAATAGGTTCATGAAGATTTTATTTTGTGGCTAAAGAATTCTAGAGTATTTATGTATATGACATTTTACTTTTCATGGAGGACAAGAATCTGGGTGTGCTTTAAATACCTGGAAAACAATGTAAAACTCCCATGAATATTAGTATCCTAATTTCTGAGAGTTAATTCAGTTTATGCTCCTAAAACAGATATAAGAATTGCTGCATCAGAGAGTTTGCCCTACTTGATTGAATGTGCCAAGATCAAAGGTGATCAGTATGTTGCTGAGATGTGGCAGTTCATTTGTCCCAGTTTGCTGAAAGCCATTGAAATAGAACCAGAAAATACTGTGTTACCAGAGCATATGAACTCCCTTGCCAAGGTAAAATCTACTTTTCCTTTTCCTAAAATCTAATTTTAATTAGATTGTCATTTTAGATGCCTCTTATTTACAAAAGAATGAATCGTTTAAACGTCCACATTTGGCCCCCTGATAATTTACAAAAAATAAGTTTAAAGATTTTCTACATATTTTTGTGTCAATCTTTTCATCAAACATTGTAGTTTATTAATTTCATTTTCAAGTTTCACTTACTTGCACTGTAATTGGGTATTTCTCTAATTAATATAGCAAGGGTACGTTGTTTACATCGATTTCCCATAGACTTTAGGCCACACCCCCATTTTGAAAGCCCAATTTTTATATGAGCGCATAGATGTTTCAAGTTGTAGTAAATAGGGTCAATGTAAAGAGTTAAACTTGTCATTTTAATTCATGAAAGAAATTGAAACAGATGCGCTCACATGTTATTTTCCAAAAAGGTGCAAAATCACGGGTACCTGTCCCTATAGTAAAGACACCTTGTTTACAAATTTCAACCCGCATTTGACCTCATGAATAACAAAGCATTAAACACATGACTCAGATCTATTCACTTTCATGCTTTGAGCAGATCAATGCGACATCGTGTCCAGTGTTGCGAACTATCGATGGTCAAATCCTTTTCAAATGGGTAATTAGAATTTAAAGTACCCTGGGATAAAATTTTTTAAAACGGTATATTTTAGACTTGTAAAAATTTTTGATTTACTTCTTATTTCAGTCAAATTGTTTGATTTTTTTCGGCATTTATCAAATGAATATATTTTGGAGGCTTGTAGCACAAAGCTTGCACTTACTGCTTGTATCTCATTGATACAGAAAAAATTTGAAAAAAAAATGCTGAGGGTTAATATTATCAATTTGTCTTTCTTCCTATGTACACATGTACATCACATCAGCGTTACCATCATTGATTCTTGAAAGATATAAAAATAAAATTACGATCGTTATTTGAAAAAATACCAATTTATCATATCTTTAGAAAATAAACCGTTTGTTACAAATGCGTAATTCCAATTAAAGAAACATTACGGAAAAGAAATTGAAGTGTGAGGAATTAAAAAGAATTATATATCTGATGAAACACACTGCACAAAATGCACCCCTACATGTAATTTAATAGGGGGAAACTCCGGGTTTCATCTGGCGACACTATAAATGTTATAACTTTTTACATCGGTACAAAATCTAACAACAATTCAAGGTTTAAATATAAGTATTAGTATGTAACAAAAAATCGAGTGAAAAAGGACGTAATCTTTTTTTTTATTTGAAATGGTTTATTGTTTATCTCACTAGAGGACGAGATTTTTTTTTTAACAATGCAATCTGTTAAAAGTACAGAATACTGAGGTTTTTTTTCTTTATCAAAAAATATTGATGTAACAACATTTTCACACAAATTTACTTTTTCATACATATTGAAGTTTTATACATTCGGAAATGTAAAAAATACGCAAAATTATAATATGTACGGGATATGAAAAATTATTCATTGTGCATGTAATAAGCTTTAATTATAATTTCAAGGAATTTGCCTTATTTTATAAGATAAAGTCATATAAATGATATACCTGTTGATTTACGAATGTGATTTGACATTTTGTGTGTATTTATATATAAATAGTTTGACGAATTTCTAATAAATAATTTCAAATATAATCTATTTTTAGCATTTCACAATTTTTTGCCTGCTAATTGTAAAAAAAGCATATAATATGTGTTGTTTTTAATACACTAAAAATTAAGGCAAGGTGTCACTTCATCATAAAACGTGAACACTTTTAAAAATTTCACACAAAGACTTTTCGTATGCCCCGCCTTCTCATTCAAATTATAGTATAGGCCTATATAAAATTGTATGGGTAATGGCGATTATTATATTGAAAATTCTTCACTTTATTCTCTTTCACATACATTGTATATTTAATTCATATTTCAAAAAATTATTTATCTTAAAAATACTTAGGATTTTCTAAACATTGTGTGTATTATTATATAAAAAATTGAAATTTTCTGCAATCTTAGAATTTTCATGAAATAATTTTTAAACTGATTTTTTTGTTTTTGTTTTGACATTTTTACAGAATCGCTTGGTAGAATGTCAAACAATTAAGAAAAAGGAATTTGATATTTTTTTAGTGCATTAAAACCTCCCAATGCTGAAAACGAAATTGTCTTCTGTATTTCAAGAGATCTTACACAATAAAAGACATAAATTTTTGTACACACTCAATTTTAAAATTCTAAAAGAATTTCAAACCTAAAGAACTTAATTTAGCCTAACATTTGATTTTTCATTTGAGAAATTCCTAAAGAACTTAATTTTAAACATTTAGTACTATGGTCTTAAATATATTGGCCTAGATATAGATATTTTGTCTTTTACATTGAAAAGAGCACTTTTGTGTATTTGTCGCAAATCAATTTCAGAGATCGAAAATTATATAAAACATATCTTTCCGAAGGAACCATGCTTTATGTCTAGATAATGGACATATATGTCATCAAGCGCATGTGTTACAACAGCAGCACAGTTTTGTAACATGCTGATTAATTTTACTTTTCAGCCATTGAACAAGTATCGATTAATCAAACTCCAGAAAATGATGCGCACTCAAGGGAAGCTACTTAGATCATGGAAAATTCCAGTTGCGATAAAATCTATGGATTTCATTGTAGAGCTGTGCAAAATCCTAATTGACATGGCATTAAAATAGCCGGCAAAATTTCTCGTACAGGCGGTTAATTTTGCCGGTTGCCGGCTCTTATTGAAAACACTGATGTCTTACAACCAAGCATGAATTGTCACAATCACTTGGTAGACATGTCAGAACCCAGATTAATAATTCATGTTGTATATTTTTCAGTGCATTGAAAAGCTAGGCAGGGGCTGCTTATCTGCAGAAAACTTACAGCTTCTGGTCCAGCTGATGGAGAAACAATTAGTAGCACACTTCAAAAGACAGGAAGAAAGACATGGTCAGTAACTTAATTTTAAACCTTAAAAACTTAATTTCAAACCTAAAGAACTTAATTTAAACCTAAAGAACTTAATTTTAAACCTAAAGAACAAGTCTAACTTTTATTACATGTAATTGGGTAAGATGTTTCAACTTGTCTTTTATACTTTGTTAAGTCATTGTAAAAGAGCGGTTTTGTGTATTTGTAGAAAAACGGAGAGATGAAGATTATGATGAAGACGTAGAGGAGACTTTGTTAGATGAGGTAAGTGGAAAGACAAACTGTTCACAGGCTGCACAGTCATTTGTAACATGCTGATTAATTTTACTTTTCAGCCATTGAACAAGTAACATTCATATTAAGGCCAGGAGAATGATGTATATTTTTGCATACATTTGAAGGCTTGTCCTTGTGAAACTTCCCCATTTGCTAGATAGTATCTGACTTCTGGCCTTAATGTGTACATTGTAGATTACCGCGATAATGGGTATGCCATGTAGAGATGGCATGTGCATTAAAATGAGACGATCATTTCATTTACATACATGTTAATAACGTCTGAGTGCCTCTCCATTCCTTAAAGTAAAGGAGGCGAGACCCAGATGCTAAAACTCCACTGTTTTTTAAAAATGCTCAAATACAGTATGTTTTAATAAGTATGCATTTCTATAGGATAAATCACAGCCAAAAAGTATTGTAAAATTCTTTAAATCCCCAATCGACATCCCCTTCAGTGCTTAAGTGTGATGAGTGCCCAAGTACAATTTAGAGGGTACGGGGATCAATATTCTGGGTTGTCAGAAGCCATACTTTTTCCTATGAAAATAGAGCTAACATTATAAAATTTCCTCAGTTCTAACAACCTTAGCATTGATACAAGTGTGATGGGAAGAACATGTTCATAGTATAAATTCTACATTCTCAATAGGATTTGCAATTCTCCATTTCCAAAAATGATGGAGCACTCACATCATAGTTGATTTTAATTCAGTATAAATTTCAGAAGAATGATGTATACTTTTGCATACTTTTGAAGGCTTGGCCTCATGAAACTTCCCCATTTGCTAGATAGTATCTGACTTCTGATAAACATTTAACCATTAATGAGGGCCTTATAAAGCCTAGAAGTGATACAAAACTCGGTATATGTTGGTTACAATGTGAATTCAACAGTTTCTTATTTATCCACTCTGCTATGATCTATGTTGAATGCAATGTAAATTTAGGTGTTACAAAAATCTACGTGTATGTTTAAGAGAATTTCCAAAATAATGGATCTATATATTTTTTATGAGGTGCAATAAAGGAAAAGTATTGAATTGAATACACATTCAAATTTCATATGCACTAGTACTGAATGTTGAAGGAGAAGAGCATACTTGACTAGAAAAAGATATTCTTAAATTTAGAGAGATGTTCAGAAGAAACTTGAGGGATGATGATTTTTCAATTGCGCATTGAAAAAAAATAATAATCATGAAAAGATGTAAAGCGATGCATTCTGACCTTAAGTTTCTTTCTGGTAGAAGGAAAAATGTAAAGCTTTGGATATATGGTAGTAAACAGTTGCATTAGAAATTTATGTGTTGATTCTCTTTTAAAAACTTCAATCAGTAACAGATAGTTAAATACATGTTATTGCAGTGAATCTTGACCTGCAATATAAGGACAAAGTCAACAGATAGCGTTACATGTAAATGTAGTTGTATGTGCATCTCGTACATTGTAAAAATCACAAACTTTGATAATGCCTAACTTAATATTCTCTCTGAAAGCAATGTGTGCAAAACTAATGCAGCAGTCCCTAATCTGAATCGGATCCAGCAGGAGACATGAATTAGACATCAATCACTTTCCAGTGGATACTGATTATCTTTTGTACTCCATTTGCAGTTTTAGTTGGTCATGCATTGATAAAAAGAAAGTGATGTGTAACTATTGCACATTAAATATTGAATGCAAGTACCTGAATTTAAGGGTCAGTTTATTTATGCTTTAACAAAAAAACCCAAGACATGATGACTATCAATTGCGCATTGAAAAATGCAAATGCATGAAAAAAAATTTGTAAGCGATATTTTCTGACCTTGGGCTCCTCAAGAGTGTTTAAATTATAGATCAAAAAGTACACCCATGTTTTGTTTGTGTGCCTAAGCTTCATTCACCAGTTTTGTTTTATGTCTTAGGATGATGAAGATGTGTACATTTTGAGTAAGATTTCGGACACCATCCATGCCTTATTTGGAACACATAAAGAAGAATTCCTGCCAGTCTTTGAACAACTGCTCCATCATTTTGTCAAGTTACTGGTAAGTTTAAGTGTACAATCAAACAATGAATTAATCAATAAAATAAGCTATTTTGTATCCACTTTAAGAAAGATCAATTTGATTAGTGAACATGATTGTGACAAGGTTGTAACTGTTACAGGCTGCTGATCGGCCGTGGCCAGACAAACAGTGGGGACTCTGTATCTGGGATGATGTGATAGAGCACTGCGGAGGAGTAAGTAACCCCCAACACTGAAATGAAATAGTTCTGTATGACGTGTCTCTATATTGTTATTTCATTGAGAAGTGTCGAATTTATTATTTAGAATATATATCTGCTGTAGACATACTTTTTTCTGCATGTGATTTCTGCTGAGTACCTAGTCACATTTGTAGCATGGAAATAAGTCACAGCATCTTAAAGGACATACCGTATAATCCCTATTAACCGCCCCGGGCGCTAAGAAAATTGCAAAAAGGGGGCGGTTATTTTGGTATTCTCTTTATGATATTTAATGTCATATGTTAACTTCAAAAAATCTTTTAAAAAAAATAAATACAAGGAACAACTAAAATAATGTCTAACTTTACTTAAAGTGAAGATAATCCACCCAAATTATGCTAAATTATTCATTTTCCACCGAGATATTGGATAATAGACAGGTTTCATTTTCACTTTCTTCAATTCTTTGATACCAATCTTTTTTATTTTAATCACTGTACAGGGGGCCCTTATTTCGTGACAATTGAAAAAGACCTAAGGGGGCGCGTATAGGGGCAGGGGCGGTTAATAGGGATTATACGGTATAAAGGCAATTCAAGAAATTGGTGTAATTTTTATGTGCCCAGATCAATAGATCCAGGGCATATATTGTTTTTGTCCTGTCTGTTTGTCTGTTTATCTGTTTGTCTGTTGTCAACTTTAACCTTCACCATAACTAAAGAATAGTGTTGGCAACAGGTACCCGGTTAACCGTCGAACGATGCGAGTATCAGTTAGTAAAACTGCTATTCGGTTACACGGATAAAAATCTTATATAGTAAAATCTTATATAGTAAATAACAAATAAATAAAATGTTAATTTCTTTGAAAGAAGTATATATAAACATCTAATATTTTCTTTACCGTTAGACTTGATGATCTAGTGTTTCACTAATACGATTGATTTGTTTTGATTAGTTTTCACAGTTAATTGAAAGCTTCAATTGCCAGTAGGTTGTAGAAGTTTTGAAGACCTGGGTTATAATTACCTCATTAAATAATTTAATACGATGCCGCCAAAGACAGATATAGCTTTGAAGTATTTTAAAAGAACATCTGAATACCTGTAAAATGTCATTTATGTGAATTGGAGTTATTGTGTGCGTTTGTGACTTCAAATTTTTAAACAGTTATTCTCCTCGTTCGTTACATATATCGAGGTCTAAAAGTAAAAGGTGATGAATGCCATTGCAAAAAAGTAGGGATTTGCGATTTTATCGATATACCGGTATATCGCGATTTTTATTGCATGATAAGTATCGTGATACAGAGACCTAAATACCGGTCTTTAGGTACATATTATAAAGTCCAGAAATTATTCATTTATTTGTTCAATCTTTCAAATTACAATTACAGAAAGTCTAAAAAAAAAAAAACATTGTAAAAGAACGGCATCTTACCTTCCAACATGATTAATTTTATGTGCATAAAAATGAAATTTTGTTTTTCTAGCATATTTTAAAGAAAAACACTGACTATTTATTTAAAATCATTGTAAAAATTGCTTGCAAAAATATCATGATATTATCGTGATATTTTGAGAAAAAATTGTGATATATCGCGATACGAAATTTTTGGCGATACCCATCCCTACAAAAAAGCGTGAAACAGCAATATTTATTTTTCTTCTGATTTGATTAATTACAATATCAAAATTCTTTCAAGATAGTGCGTGCGTGTGTGTCTTTGATTTATAAATGAAGTTCATTCACAATATATTGTGTTTTATTACTACCGATGAGTAAAGGATGCGATAAATGATATACATAAATAAATCATCCGAGTAACCGTGTACTCGATCGGAAGATTGAGCGAGTAACCGGTTACTAAAAATTGTCCGATTTGCCAACACTACTAAAGAACCATAAGAGATAGAGACTTCATATTTGGTATGAATACTGCACTAATAAAGTTCTCTCTAATGACATCAAGGTCAATGACCTTGTGACCTTGACTGTGACCTATATACTAAAAATAGCTTCAATTTTTTGCCATAACTTTTGAACCATAAGATATAGGGACTTCATATTTGGTATGCATACTCCACTAATAAATTTCTGTCAAATGACAACAAGTTCATTGACCTTGTGACCATGACCTATATGCTAAAAATAGCTTTGTTGCCCTCGGGCACATAGTGTTTCATAAACACATCTTGTTTACTTGTTTCTTGAGCAGAAACTCTCATTCAGCTGAATTATAACCCCATAGAAAATATATGTTTGCAACGGTGCCTTTTATCATGATCCGTATATGTATTTTTAGCAGAGCTTAATTAATGTGAATAATTGTATTTTCAGCATTCTGTAAAGTATCAGGAGTACTTTTTAAAGAGCATGCTAGAGTATGTCTGCGACAAACAGCCCGAGGTTAGGCAGGCTGCCGCATACGGTGTCGGCGTCATGGCCCAGTTTGGAACGGAAGCGTATGCAGCTACATGTGCAGGTAATGACATCAGCTGTTGACAAGGTTTGGGAAAAATAATGTTCCTTGATAAATTTGTAGGTCATCAGTCACTCAATCCAGTTTTAAAATTCATGGTCAACAGTTCAGACCCAATGGTGGGGCTAAATTAGACATACATTGAAAACATGATTATCTGCAAGCCTTGAACAGATTTATAAAATCTGGCTATCAAATTTGGCTAGAGCGCATTTGATAATTGATAGTAAAGAATTTTATCTTCGAAAAATTCTGTTCACTTTCATCTTAACACGTTGAAGATAAATTTAGTAAAGCATCATAAAAAATATTTGTATGTCATTTATTTTAGTAGACTTTATAGATTTCGTAAGAGTAAATAGTCCTTTTCATATACAGAGACCTTGCCATTACTTGTGAAGGTGATACAGGACCCGGAATCTCGGTCTGTAGAAAACATCAACCCTACAGAGAATGCCATAGCAGCTGTAACAAAGATCTGTAAATACAACAGCAGCCAGATCAATCTGAACGAGGTCCTACCTGTCTGGTTCAGCTGGCTTCCTGTGTGGGAGGATGAAGACGAGGCTGTACATACGTACAATTATCTGTGTGATCTGATCGAGGCGTAAGTTACGTACAATTATCTCTGTGATCTGATCGAGGCATAAGTTACGTACAATTATCTCTGTGATCTGATCGAGGCGTAAGTTACAAACAATTATCTCTGTGATTTGATCGAGGCGTAAGTCTACAGACAATTATCTCTGTGATCTGATCGAGGCGTAAGTTACAAACAATTATCTCTGTGATTTGATCGAGGCGTAAGTCTACAGACAATTATCTCTGTGATCTGATCGAGGCGTAAGTTACAAACAATTATCTCTGTGATTTGATCGAGGCGTAAGTCTATGTACAATTATCTCTGTGATCTGATCGAGGCGTAAAGTACAAACAATTATCTCTGTGATTTGATCAAGACCTAAGTTTCCTACATACAATTATCTCTGTGATCTGATCAAGACCTAAGTTTCCTACATACAATTATCTCTGTGATCTGATCGAGGTGTAAGTTACTTACAATTATCTCTGTGATCTGATCCAGGCGCAAGTTATGTACAATTTTCTCTGTGATCGAGGCTTAAGTCTATGTACAATTATCTCTGTGATTTGATCGAGGCGTAAGACTATGTATGGTAATCTCTGTGATTGAGGCGTGAGTTACATACAAAAGTAGTAGGTTGGTGAGGCTAGTCAAGTTTGTGAAGAATGTTCAGACAATATTCTTGATTTGATTTTTTGAATTACCTGAAAATGTGATTTAGTGTGGAATTATGCTTTGCTACAAAGGTTAAGTTTGTCATAAATATTAATTATCCAACCAAACTACTTCAGAAGATATATTCCTATTTCTTTTTAAGGTAAATTTAATCCTGCAAAGAGATTATTTTGAATTATTTGGCTTTCAAATTGTTTTCAGAAGTGTGAATTCTGTGGCTCTTCACTACAAACTTAAAATTGACAAAGTTTGTTTTCTGTCTAGAAACTAATTTTAGAAAATTTTGTGGCTTTTCATTTCAACTTGAATAGTCAATGCTTTTTTTTTGCTATTTTTAGAAACCACCCCTTAATATTAGGAGCTAACAATGAGAACCTGCCACGTATAATCAGCATTATTGGGGAGGCACTGAGTCGAGAAGCTGTGAGTTCAGAAGATGACTGTTATCCTCGTATGTTGAACATTGTACGACAAGTACAGGTGAGGGCAATATTCAGTGTAAAGTAATGAACATTGTACGACAAGTACAGGTGAAGGCAAAATTTAGTGTAAAGTAATGAGCATTGTGAGACAAGTACGGGTTAGGGCAATATTTAGTGTATAGGAATGAACATTGTACGACAAGTACAGGTGAGGGCAATATTTAGTGTAAAGTAATGAGCATTGTACGACAAGTACTGATGAGGGCAATATTTAGTTTAAAGTAATGAACATTGTACGACAAGTACAGGTGAGGGCAAAATTTAGTGTAAAGTAATGAGCATTGTGAGACAAGTACGGGTTATGGCAATATTTAGTGTATAGGAATGAACATTGTGAGACAAGTACAGGTGAGGGCAATATTTAGTATAAAGTATGAACGTAGTGAGACAAGTACAGGTGAGGGCAATATTTAGTGTAAAGTATGAACGTAGTGAGACAAGTACAGGTGAGGGCAATATTTAGTGTAAAGGAATGAGCATTGTGAGACAAGTACGGGTTAGGGCAATATTTAGTGTATATGAATGAACATTGTACGACAAGTACAGATGAGGGCAATATTTAGTATAAAGGAATAAACATTGTAACAGGGGAGAACAGTATTCATTATAGAAAAAAGATAAAACATGATGAAAGCCTCTGAAAGCATTTATAAGGAGAGGAAAGTGTTGTGGTCATTCTGATAGCAGCAGATAACTACAACTCATTTATCTCTGTTTCCTATGAAATTCACTTTGAGTAGTTGATTTTACACGAGAGAGATATATGTCTATTTTAAAAAGAAGGTTGGAGAGGGGGGAGGCTTGTTTGAATACCTTAGTTTCAATTTTCTGTACGTTGCAGGGAAACCAGGACATGTTCCAGGCCTGTATACAACAGTTATCAGAGGAACAGAAGGAAGCATTATCTCAAGCTTTATCCAAGGGCTGACCTCCTACAAACTAGTCGCTATACCAGACATTTTATCTTAGTGGTGTGTGGCAAAACAGGGACAGACATTGTGATCTAGCTTGGATGAACTGCTTAGCTTTTACCATTGCTGAAGACCAGGGCTTTCATAAACTATCGGGATTCAATCCTACAAACTTTATATTCTGTGCAATTGTTACCAATGCTGTGAATGAGTGTGAGTGTATAGACTGATAGAATGTGACCTTTTTCAAAACCAGAAGTTTCTGAGTACATACTGCTTCCTTCACAGTTAGGTACACCTCCTCCCCCCCCCTCCCCCAATTACCCCCTTTACTGAGCCTGACAAACTAGAGGGGAGGAAAATTTGCACTCCTAGACTTTTGTTATTACTAGATTTGTAGACATAATGAGATTCTAGACTTAGATACACTGTCATGCAGTTTGACATCAGTCAACATTCTGTTCATGTTTGTGGAAGTTTTAATTCTTAGAATTTCAATTGCTGGAGCTGCAAGAGTGTGAAGGTGGAGATTATTTCCTTACAGAAGTGTGAAGCTTCATGATAAATAGGACTATAATAATTACATTATAATTTTATTTCTTAAATGCTAGAAAAGGTTGTTATATTTTATGAAATAAATGAATTTGCATTGTAAATATATACAAAATTTATATAATGTAATATTTTGAAAATTTACTTTATATTGCCCCATTCCCCCGAAAGCACTTCATCTGTTTCTCTACAAAAAAATCATTATCATTCCAGAGATTGATTTTAATTAGAAGATTATGCTATTGTGCTAGGATGAACATGTATATCATTTGGAACCGATTTGTTGCCTTTGTTAAATGCTTATGTTGTTTTGGATTGTTTTAAGAATATCCTTGTGAAAATACAATTGTTATACTCTCAGTTGAACTTCAGTAGCCTCAATCATTCATGTCTCTAATACCACGGATATGTCAAAGTGTGTTGTAATCCCAACCACTTCTTTTTTCTATGAAAATTATCACCAGTATCTGGAATTTTTCAGGCTTATTGTACTTTTACCTTGCAGTTTGTTAAAAAAAATCTTTTATTCTCAGTAAATACAGTGTACCTTTCTCCATTTTATTTCATATAAAAAACATCTACCGCAGTATATTTTTGGGTGGAAATTCATACTCTTTTATACTGTATTGTAGTAGTTATAATTTCTGTCATATTCTAAATCTGTCATATTCCAAATAGGTTTTATTAAATTTTTTTTTTAAACAAGTATACAAAAAAAATTGCTACATTGGAGCCTCATTTATCCGGACGCTTTGGTCCTAGTCAATTTGTCTGGATATGTGAAGCGTCCGGATATCTGAATTACCAGTTAAACAAGAACAGATAACATTCAAAAATTCTGTTCTGAGGAAAAGTCGTTCGGATACTGAAGCATCCGGATATCTGGCGTCCAGATATCTGAGGGTCCACTGTAATTGCTTTACCATTTTGAAATGTGCACTACCTTCTAGTACTTTCATAACTTTTGCTTAATGTTTTAAAATGTGTAGCCATTTGTGAAAACTTAAAATTTACTAATTTCCCAGAGATTTCTTATTGAGAAACTAGCTTTTGATTACCTGGTATTTCACTGGCATTCACTTGACACTAGGAGTTGCAGTATGTGAAAATGGCAGAAAATGTTAACATATGAATTATATACTGTTATGATGATATGCAACTTATTAAAAATTCTATAAAACCACAGGCTTCATTCTGTTATCAAAGGTCACTGTATGAGAATGAGGGGAAACTGACTTCAAACATGAAAACTGTAATTAAGAAATTGCGGTGAAATATAATATTAGGTGACAATTAAATAGGGGATTTGTTTGGTTACGTTAGCCTGCCTAACTGCACAAGGTTGAAAGTTGAGATCTGTAGAAGCTTATTGCTTTAATCCAAGTAAATGATTTTGGAGAAATCCTGTTACTAGTGGTAGCTATAATTTTTATGCCCTTTGTGATTGAAGTTAGCATATAGTTTTTGGTCTGTCTGTCTGTTGACCAGTGCTGGAGTTGGACCCAATAGATCCTAACAGATACCAGATTATGGAATGAGGTCCTCTTTACTCTCCAAGATCAGGGTGATGAGAATGAATCCCCTTTCCCAGCACAGGCTAGTGCTAGTGAATTGTTGAACACAAGCACACAGCAAGTATAAGGGAAGGATAAGAAAAATTGGCAGCTACCTTCTGGTCAGTTTGTTGGCAGAATTGTATCAGAAATTGATGTGCTGAAATGATGTGCTGCAGAATGAACATGACTTCTTGGCATGAAGTACAGCTCTAATGAAAATGACACATGACCAATGACAAGTACCAAGAAGTCAAAGGCATGGAAGAAGGGGTTTTCATGTATTTGGTGTAAGTGTGAGAGTACAACTCCTTCCACTTCAGTGTTGCTTGCCAAATCCACACAAGCTCCAGGCAAGCACCCACAAGACGGGTGCGAACAACAACTAATAGATAGCTTGCACTACTTTCATGACCTTGGCTTGTCAAAATGATAAGCAGGTAAATGAATGATAATTTTATAAAATTGAATATTTTTAAAAAGAATTTCAGCAATAAATGTGTTCAAAACGTATCTTATATAATTGTCTCTTGCTTCAGGATGATGTTGAGGACTTGCTTTCCCAGCACAGACTAGTGCTAATGATTCTAACTGATGAGCACTTGACAGGTACTAGGAAACCAAAAGTCACTCTTAATATCAGGTAAGTCTCTTGTTTGGGGGTCTGTGGTAAATATGTCTCCTCTTCCAGCACAGACTAGTGCTAATGACCAAATGCACACCAGCACACAGCAAGTACCAGGGGATGATTGGGGAAATTCACATAAGCATTTGGCTGTTATCTTGTGTCTTTATCATACAACCCAAAATAAAGTAATGTGATGCAGAAAGGAGAGAGAAAGCCAACAGTACTTTGTTTCTCTGAAATTTTACATTTGCAGTGTAGAGTTGCAGAGAGGACCTGGTTTCCCAGCACAGGCTAGTGCTAATGATAGTGTCGCATGAGCACATAACAGGTACCAGGAAACCAAAAGTCCACAAAGAATATTAGGTAAGCTTCTTGTTTTGGGTTGTTAGTGTCTCCTCTCCCAGCACAGACTAGTGCTAGTGACCAAATGCACACCAGCACACAGCAAGTACCAGGAAAGGATGACAAATGCACATTTTGTAACAAGTATTGGCAGTCTTTTCGATGGACCGTACTCCTATTTAATCAAAGTGTGGTGCTAATTGGATTGGGTTGATTCTTTTGTGATGGAAAGAGAATTTAATGGAATTGAAGAAGATATCTTACAACTCAAATTATGTCACCTGCCAAGAAATGTCAGAAAATGGTAAGATTTTGGGATAACAAGGACAGTCCATACAATTTAAACATAAGAAATACATTAATGTGTTTAATTAACGAATTGATGCATTACTAACAAGCATCAGTTATAGCTATGGGAACATGGTTTCCCAGCACATGCTAGTGCTTATGCACATAACCCATGAGCACTTAGCAGGTACCAAGAAACCATAAATTTCCCCTGAATATAATTTTGATTCTGTTGTTCATAAAGATTCTGATAATAAGAATAATCTCCTCTCCTAGCACAGGCTAGTGCTAGTGCAGAGATGCACACCAGCACATAGCAAGTACAAGGGAAGGACAGTGCAAATGTCAGGAGCTACCTGTAGAGGTTGTTCAGTGCAGAAGTACTTCAGAATGAATCTCATACAGAGTTGCATATAGTACAAGTTTTCCAGTTCAGGTTTAATGGTTACGGCTTGTTATCTAGGGGTTTATGATGACAAACATCCTCTCCCAGCACAGACTAGTGCTAGTGACCAGATACACACCAGCACACAGCAAGTACTAGGGAAGAATTCCGAAATGACAGAAATGAAGGTGAAGGCTGCAGGTGTTTTCTTGGAAGAGTATACCACATTCACACGGTAGAAAACACATTTGGTTTTCCAGCACAGGCTAGTGCTAATGAATATAACCCATGAGCACTTAGCAGGTACCAGAAAACTAAGGTTTTTAAGGATTGAGATAAATACTTTCAGAGCTGATTGTTGAGGATAAATGTCCTAGGCATGGGAATTTATTCAACAGCTCCAGCAAATACAAGGAATATGACAGCTAGATCACTTAACCTTGAAGTTTCTGTTTTCACGTATGTTCTGTTTGTAAATCATTAAATCTTATATGGAGAGTTGTAGAAAGGACTTGGTTTTCCCAGCACAGGCTAGTGCTAATAATTATTTCTCATTAGCATGTAACAGGTACCAGGAAATCAAAAGTCTATTAAAATTCAGGTCAAATACCTTCACATCCCGATCATTATATACCATTCCACTTTTCTCTTTAATGTGTTTTATAAGAATGTAACTCCTCTCCCAGCACAGGCTAGTGCTAGTGACCAGATGCACACCAGCACATAACAAGTACAAGGAAAGGATTGGGAAATAAGCAGAAACCACAGCTATTAATTTCTATGAAAGTTGTACTCAGCATTTTGTTTCACAAATGGTGTTGTAGGGGAAAAAAATGATTTCCCAGCACAGGCTAGTGCTTATGCCTTTGACTCATGAGAACATAACATGTACCAGGAAACCAAGATTTTCAGAAGTAAAAGAAGAATGTCTCAGAATGAAGCTGCTGTGACTGTGTTGTCCCAGCACAAACTGGTGCTAGTAGTTAGATGTACACCAGCAATGCATATAAATTAATATTGAATTGCAGAAAGGACTTAGTTTCCCAGCACAGGCTAGTGCTAATAATTGTTACTCATTAACACGTAACAAGGACCAGGAAACCAAAAATCCAAAGAGAATGAGATGAGGTAATCTGAAGAAACATGAACTTTCGTGTCTCTTGTGTGATGAGAATGAAACTCCTGTCCCAGCACAGGCTAGTGCTAGTGACCAGATGCACACCAGCACACAGCAAGTACAAGGAAAGGATTGGGAAAGAAGCAGAAACCACAGCTATTTTAAATTTCTGTGAAAGTAGTTGGCATAATGTATCACAAATGGTGTGATAGAAAAAAATGATTTCCCAGCACAGGCTAGTGCTTATGCCTATGACTCATGAGAATATAACCTGTACCAGGAAACCAAGATTTTCAGGGAAAAAAAGAGGAATGAGAATGAGATGTATTCTTGAGAGAATGAAGCCTTCTTTCCCAGCACAGACTAGTGCTAGTAACTAGTTGCACACCAGCACATAAAATGTACAAGGAGAGTATTTCAAAGTAAATTTGCAGGTGCTTACAATCCTGAGAGATGGACTGCACTCCCATCTCAGCACAGGCTAGTGCTAGTACACAACAAAGACAAGCACAGAACATGAACTGAGATGCTGGTAGAGCAATAAAATTATAATGGTTCTGTGGTCTGAATCTGTCTTCTTAGTGGGTCTTGGAAGTTAACTATCTTTAGAGAGAGAGTGAATGCTATAAATGAAAGTTTTAATTGTCACTAACTAAAATTTATTAATTAACAAGAAAGCAAAGATTGAGTTGACATAAATAATAAATGATTATATGTTATAATGTTTCACATTAAAAATTTTTTTCTCTATTTGGGAAAAAAAAATTATGCACAAAACACCCTTGAATTTATAAACTTCCAGATGATTGATTTAAATGCACAGTAATTTATTTAGAAAAAAAATCCACTGTAACTCCTCTATCTTTCATCCAGGGTGGTAACAAGGACCTGGTTTCCCAGCACAGGCTAGTGCTAATGATTACCTCCCATAAGCACACAGCAGGTACCAGGAAACCAAAGATCCATACAGAACAAGGTAAGAAACTTACATTGAATTTGTAATCAATCAAATGATGAGTATGCAACTCCCCTTTCCTAGCACAGGCTAGTGCTAATGATCAAGTGCATACCAGCACATAGCAAGTACAGGGGAAGGAGAAAGAAATTTTATCTCCGCACAAACTGATCCTTATACCTAGTGCACAATCAAAACTAGCACAGAGTAGGAGCTAGAGTGATGTTACAGCAATATTATTAGATGTCTTCTGACATGACTCCAAAGCAATACATAATTTGAAAGATATTATATTGGATTGGTAGACAGGTAAACCATTTGTTAAGTAATGTAGTTGATGAATTCTAACCATGCAAGAGTATTAAAGAGTAACAACTTAGAATTGCTGCATAAACATAAAAACAAATTTTGTACTCACCTTATGCATTCAGTTTCCTTATTAATGAAATAAAAGCTGTTTTCATACACATGTTTTCAAACAAAACTCATGGAGTTATTTAAAAGTTAAAAAAAATATCCATCACAATTTGTATGTTTGTTGAAAATTTTAAAAAGGTAGAAATATAAAGAACACTTTCAGTGTTAGTCTTAAAATGAATGAAGTAATTCTGCTGAAATGTTGATAGAGAGTTGGATTTATATGTTTGTTAGGTGTCATTTGTTGACTTCTGGGCTGAGTAGACCCTGAGTGATAATTGTGATGACACCAGGAGTTACTTGTGTACTGAACTTGTCAAAACAATAATTAGACAGTGGCAATACTCTACTGTTTATACACAGACACCTGCTAGTTAACAGTCCTAGACTAATTACACAGATGTCACTGAAATCAATTATCTAATGTTTTTATTTTTTATGTTTAGATAAAAACAAACAAATATCCAGTACTACCTGGCTGGATTGTAAATAGAAAGTTAATAATTATTTTGATTAAATCAGAATGTTGAAGATGTAAATTTAATATAGTACAATATTTAATTTGTGTTCCACAATTAAATTGAGGATGTTGAAACCAATATTTTTTTTTTGTTTGTTTGTAAATTCATAGAAAATATTCATTATATTTTAATTATGATATTAAAAAAAAAATCAAAGATTTCTTCATATAATTTGATAATTATCAACTATTGCACGACTTTGCAACAATCCACCCCTTAATTTCCCCATTTAAATAAGGAGACATTAAATATTAAAAGGAACTTACCTTGAAAATGTAACAATTCAAGTGAGATTGTCAATCCAGTTCAAAAGTAAAAAAGTGTAGTAAAAAATAGAGAACTCTAGAGTTTCAGCTCTTAGTTATGAATTCCTTGATATATTCTCTGGTTCTCTTCCAAAATCATTGACTGGATTTTATTTTCATCTTACATTTATACCTTTTGATTGACAAATTATTTTTCCCTCTAGCAAACTTAAAATTTGTAAAAATTAATATTTCACACTTACTACTTAACTGTTTTTAAATTTACTTTTGGGTGCTATATTTGAACAAAAGAAAATGCCCAAGGGTATATTTATAAATTTTAATAAATACCTGTAGCTACAAATCTAGACATTATAGTTTCTTTCTGGTACCATAGTTCACCACCGTGTGTCATAATTATACTCTTAGCTACCTGGCTTTAAGGAATTTTATAATGCATGGGAAAATATTTTATAACAATTTCATTGTCTATTCAATTGATAATAAATTAAAGAATCCTTTGAAGAATCAAATAATTATGAATGCACAAATCTTTGTTCCCTGGGTATCTTTCCTTATTATACCATTTTGTTAACACAGATTTAAGCTCTTTCACTGAATTCAACATTTTACAATAACAAATATAATTTATTTTTGTATGTAGATTTAATATGTTTAACATTTAATAATTATATAAACCTTCAGTTAAATTATTTCTGACAGCATAATATCATATAATTTCCTTATTGAGGGGCCAATCATTTCAAGAAGATATTTGTGGTACATATTGATTTAAAGTTATGGCAAGTAATTTAAGTTATATTTAGTAATTAGATCAGATCATGTTTCAAACCTCTTTTCTTTACATATAGTTTTAAAAATTATACTTTAATAATTCTAATCTGTGGATAAAATTATCCTTGCATCATACAGTACAAATTTTTCGCAGTTTTCTCAGATTTTGCAACAAATTTAAACATAATCTTCCCTGAGGCATGCCATATGGTGGGATTCATATTTGTTCAAACCTAATGTCAACTTCCTGTGATGGCCATACCAAATTTTCAATTGTGAACACCTTCTACATAAAGCTGATAATTTAACATGTATACTAGCCGTCACTAGCTTTCATGTATTTTGTATAAAATTGTAGTAATTTAAACACCATTTTCAGCTATTATAAACTTAAAGAGGCTATGATTTTTCTCTCTTTTTCAACATTTGAAAATTATATAAAGAAAAAATAGACTGTTTTCTACCACATACATCAACAACTTCAGGTTCAATAACAATAAAGTCTTCATTCAATAAATTCTCTTTATTTCAACATTCCATCTGATTCACATAAATAACTGCATAGTAATTTGTGATAGTACTTATTCATATAGAATCAGCATTACACAATGTCATACATAACATCAACTTCTCACAGCATACATTTACAGCACTCTTTGGTAAATAAAACATTTCTTTAAATTTGGTAAATTTAAACAGTCCAGCTGTTTCAAAATAAACAATTTTCTCTTTTATTAAAGTATGTGTGTACATAATGATATATGTAATATATATATACATATAAATGTATCTGATTGCTGGCTGCAGGAATGAGGTTTATTATTCCAACATTCTAAAGTTTGAGCACTGAAACAGAGTGAAATTCTTTAAAACTTCAAAGCTAACCGATCATGAAATTTAATACATCATGTATCGGTAAAGAATGCGTCCTTCCAAAATTTTTACCATTTCTATAACATGCATCACCTAAACCATAAATTTGACGAGGAGTAAGTAATGTTACACGTCATGATATATAGAATTTTATTGTAGAAGTTGTGAAATTTTTTTTTTTTTTAATAATTATGCCCCCGGAAACGAAGTTTCGGGGGTATATAGTTTTTGTTGTGTCCTTCCGTCTGTCTGTCTTCTGTATCTCTGTCTGTTTGTCTGCAAAAACTTTAACCTTGCCCATAACTTTCGATTTAGTGGAGCTATGACTTTCATATTTCACATGTGTATGCCTTGTGACAAGACCTTTCTTCGGGTACCACCAAAGTTGACCGTTTGACCTTGACTTTAGAGTTCGACCCACTTTTAAACAAGAATTCCAAACTTTTACTTTGGCCATATCTTTTGAACAGTAGATACCAGGACATTTATACTTCACATATGTATTCTTTGTTGAAAGACCTTTCATTGGATACCAACAACCTTGACCTCTTGACCTTGACCTTGGAGATTTCTGTACTTGTGAAAAAACTTTAACCTTTTCCATAACTTTTGAACGGTAAGGGATAGGGCTTTCATACTTCACATATGTAATCCTTGTGAAAAGACCCATCATTGGATGCCAAGAACTTTGACCCTTTGACCTTGACCTTGGAGTTTGACCTACTTTAAAAAATCTTTAACCATGGCTATAACTTCTGAGAGGTAAGGGCTAGGGCTTCCATACTTTACATTTGTATTCTTTGTGGCAGGGTCTTTCATTGGACACCAATTACCTTGACCTTTTGACCTCGACCTTGGAGATTTTTGTACTTATGAAAAAACCTTAACCTTGGCCTACTTTCATATTTTACAATTGTATTTCCAGTGAGAATACCCTATTTTTGGTACCAATACATTAAATTTGCATTTAAGAAAAGTTTAATCTTTGCTATGTTGCCATACGAGGGCATCAGTGTTTCACAAACACATCTTGTTTTACAAGCAATTATTTTAAAAGTCATGTTGCTTGAAGATCGGCTAAATCTGGGACTATAAGAAGTATAACAAGTTCAAAATAATATAATAGTTATGCTTCCTAAAGCATGTAAAAATTTATCTAAAAATTTGATGGATTAAAAAAAAATTTAAGTCACATATCTTTAGTATGAATTTTCAATATGTTTAAGTGGCTGATGTTACAATATTTTACAGATATAAAAAATCAATTAGAATAACAAGTTGTGAAGGCAAATTCAACTATCATACCAGAAGTTGTAACAAAAAAAACACACATTATATAATATTAATTTAAATGTACAGTCAAATTTCAGTCATGAAAATCGAGGATTCACTGATAAATTGATAAATTTTTTGAAAGTTCAAAATGTTCTGAATAAAGGGAGGTAAAGTGTACAGATCTATAAATAGAGAAGTAGTAGATAGAGTCAATTCCATATAAATCATTAAGCATTTATAGATAGCATTGAATACCAAAATATGAAAATTATACATAATAAAAAGAGCTATAAGTATTTATTTAATGGATTACACATGTTCAGTGGTGTTACACATGTATGTAAAACATTCTTTTATCATAGATTATTCTGCAAAATCAATGAATTAAACAGTAAATAAAAAAATTGACAATGATAGGAAAGTTATCTAAGCCTTACGGTTTACATTTACAATGTACAGTAGTGTATATTCTGGACAGTTTCCTCCTGATCTGTTTATTTGAGACTATAAATGATTGGTTGAATTTTGAGAGTTGGTAAAGCGGTTCCGAGATCCTTCAGGCATTTGGCGCAGTGGATTACATCCTTTGTGTCCACCACAGTGGACTGGTGTCTGCAGTACGAGTGGAGTGGGCTACAATCTTTATCTGGCAGTGGACTGGTGACTGATTTCCGAGTGGATTCAGTTGAATAAGAGATCTTTGTAGCAATGAAGTAGGCACACGATACTGGTGCAGTAGTTAGTGGTCGTCCTTACGACCTTCAGTCTGTCTGCCCTCTCGAAATTGGACTTGACCATCTCGTAATACTCACCATCACTCAGGGTGAAAGACTTAAGGTACGGACAACGCAACCTGTGTAAAAAATAATCAGATTTATTTATGATGAATATTTATTATGATAAAATCAGAAATGCCATCTTCAGCAAGATTCTAATTTATTATGAAGGTTACTTGAAAAAATCAGAAATGCAATCTTTTCAGCATTAGATTGAATTTTTTCAAAACTAGTATAATGTGAAAATTAAACATGCAATTTTAAAATATTTGTACACCAGATTTATTTAAGTAACAGAGAATTAACATCAACAGCTGCTCTGGCAATCAACAAAGTTCTCAAATATAGAAATTTAATGCCAATAAATATATCAAATATCAGCAATACCTGACTGACACAAGGATATATAACATTTCTGCTTAATTCTCTGACTCTGATTCATTATTTCAATTTTTATGGCAATTGATTAACAAATTAAAAGAAAATAGGTGAAAGTAGAGAAAAGTCACATCAGTCATTTTAAATGGTCTGCAGCATTAGATTTGTGTTGTTAAGCTCACCTGATATCAGATTCAAGCCTTTGAGCTCAATTGATATCAGACTCTCATGCTTCTGAGCTCATTTGATATCAGATGCTTACACTACTGAGCTCACCAGATATCACACTTTCTGACTGCTGTGCTCTTACTTTTTTGGTCTTGCTGAGCTCACTTTAAATTAGACTCACATTGCTGCTGAGCTCACCTGATGTGATCCACAAATTTGTTGCTTTTGTCGCTGAACCTGATCGTGTCGGGGTCCCACTGAATCTCGAGCCTCTCCAGGCGGGAACAGTTCTGGGCAAAGCCTTCAATCACTTGATCTATATGAACCTTGCTCTGGATCCTGAGGAACCAACCATTGGCTGTACCTAGTACACAAACTCTACAATAGAGAAGTTAATGTTTGTACACAGCTGGACTTTATGCCCTGTTCGCACAGAGAGTTTAATTTGCAGTAAATTAATGCAAGGAGAGGGAAGAAGGAGCTAGTATTTGTTACTATTTAATTGTTGTACGTGCCAATAGCAATATTTATGTCCTATATATGGCATATATTCCAAGTTTTGAAATCTCTTCAAAATCTTTCAACACTTTTGTCAAGTCACCTGGTAATTTTAAGATCGTTGATTATGACACAAAGCTGGCAAGATTCATTTGGAAAAGTTTACTTCAAGATTATACTACTTTTTTCTAAATCAAGGAGTGCCATTCCTAATTGAATCCATTTTTAAACACAACCCATCCTTCCAGACTAAAAGTAAAATATATACATATTAGGAAATGGACAGATAATGTTACTTTCATTTCAAGTCGGGTTAGGCTCCTCCGATTTATTCTGAGTGCTTCAATTCCTGAAATAAACTGCAATCAAGTCATTGACATTACCATTCCAGTTGGCTGACAGACTATTAAACTTATAAATGCTAAAAATAGAAGATCTCTCTTCCTCTCCAGACACTATGTTTCCGTGTCCTGATGAAAGATGACAGAAAAATAAGATGGCCAAATTGATTTCAGATTTGCCAAACAAGCCAGGGGGATTATAAAACTAAGAATAAGCATTTAATGGAACATGATTCCGAAAGGATATAACTTTGGAATTACCCTCTTTGCAAGTCCTATTTTATCCAAAAGTCTCACACAGCGAGATTGCTACTGCAGGCAGATTCTTTGTAATTAATGATCAATATTTCACAGCATTCAAAGCAGCTGATTCAAGATTTTAGTACATGGGGTTTTTAAATCTATATGTATCTATCTTTAACAGGAAATTAAATCAACGGCCTTCCATGTAAAATTGAGCTTCAAAGTCTTGCTCTCTTCTTACACATGCAGGGTAATGATCTATATTTTTTATTGACATATCTTTTTCATGGAAAATGAAATAAAATCTATAATACACAAGCTGATGAACAGATGTTGGATATTATTGAGAGATTAAGAGATAATATATTGGCAAGTGAGTGCAAAATTGCATGCTCATCAACAGTTTATGCCAACTGCATCCATCTAGCAAATATTGAAAGTTGTCAAAATGACATGCACATTTTTCTTCTATTTTATATCTCTCAGTTTTAATTCTTTATACATGAATACACATTATCAGTTTATTTATGGAAATTTTGAATGGAAAAATACTTGATAATGAAATGTATAATTACAGTAATGAAATACTAAAGCAATGTCAACATCAATTCGAAGATTTGATTGAAACTAAACTCCTCTTCTTGCAATAAGTTTACAATTTTCTGCCTGAGAAATAAATATAATATGATCTGTTCCACAGAGGATAGTCTAGCAAGAAGTTCATTAGCAAGACCAAACTACAAAAAATATTGGGAATCCAATTTACTTTTTCAGACTAAAGCCTCACTACATATAGTTCATCATAATCTTCATCAAATACTAATGAAAATTCATGTAGAGACTATGAGTATTATTATTTGCACATGTAATGAAAGTGGGTAATTCTGGTAGTTTTAATTTTTATGATCAATGCAAGCCATTTTTCAGTAATTCCTCATTTGTTAAAGAGTACGCGTTGACGTCATTCATCATTTTATACAAAGAATTTAAGATCGTAGAACTCTTTCTTTCTTTCTTTTATTTCTATTAAAAGGGGGGAATAAATTTAAAGTATGAAGGGGGACTAAATTTAAAGTTACATATAATAAATGAGATTGTGTGCTGTTCTAACAAGTATTACATATTATATATGAAAATGCTGTTTGATGTTATTTTTAGGAAAATCTATTGTGTACTGTGCAGTATGACCTATGTCTGAAGAAATTCCTACATTTTGTTTATTGGTATAAAAAATCAGGTCCATATAATGAAATCTAAATTTTACAAACAATTTTACTATTAATGGGATCTCTAAATCACATTTCGTAAGGCGACAAAAATTGTGAACCGGTGAAACCTTCTTGCAATTCTATAAATCTTTCATTTCTTCAAAGTAAGATTTTTCAATATTTTTTTCTACTTTAAAATTGAATATCTATATAAAGACATGTTACTTTTCTTCTATATAATGTATTTTGTATTGATTCGGATATTATTGAGATCTTTAAAAAAGGTATATGCAGTTAATCGATCAGGTATGGAAACTATGCAAAACAATATAGGCGCAACGCAACGTCCATTCGATACGGGGGATATTGAATTATCCAAGTTAATCCCAGTGCATGATGTCAATCCTTCCATTCTTATGAAGCTACAACCATTTGGAAACTTGTCTATTGTATGTGTAGGAAATTCCGGGCAGCATCTTGAACATTTTAATCTCTTTTTATACATTTTCCTGTATGCACACATAATTTTTACGTAGCGCAGTGCTCCATGACGTTCAATGACGTTCCGATTTATGGTTGTATTTTTACGCGTTGATCATTCATAAACGGCTATAAAACATTCATATACTCTCCAATTTAGCTTAAAATTTCTCCAAGTGACGTTTCATGAATACTTTAGCGGCAGGTAAAATATCATAAAACTCTCTGCGGTACAATTGTGCAATTTTTAATTGTAATAAAGAGTCTTTGTGATGTAAACGTGCCAAAATGTAGCATGCTCCGTGAAGCAAGTTTTATCAAAATAAAAAAGCTTTATATTTTTCAATAATCGTCGAGGAACACTAAATTCTTGTATAGTTATTGGAAAAGGGGTAAAGATTTTATCTGGAAAGTTTGACCGGTTTCGTGGAAATAGCGCGCTCACAATAGAACTTGTCCGCGAACTTTTCTAACACCCCTCGTATATAAAAATGACGTTTGATGTTATTTTTACAGGTTTTTGCTCTAGCTGTATGCAAGCAGCTGAGAGAAATATGAATTAAGCAATAAAAGGATGCAGTGTTTCTCTAATATAAAAGCAAACAGTTCTTCCTTAAATCTCTAAATAGACATTTCTATGACACAAAAATTGTGAAATGTGAAACCTTCTTGGAATATAGACAAAAAGTCAAGTCAGATATTGTTTGCCTGAGAGAGAAATCAAAGTAAGAACACAATAGAATAGAGATTGATCTTGAAATATGGCCAAAAAGAATTTTTTGCACATCACAGGAACAAAACAAAACCATCTAATAGAAGAGTACAAACAAATGACTTCAACATATAGATCTGTACAAATTCTTAGCATCAGAAAATAAGATGATTGTAACTTGTGCCTGCATGAGACTACAACAGGAACATGTCTCACGCAATGAAGCCTCCCTAAATCCAATTTCCCAGTGCATGATTATTTACACAGATTTTGTATTGGAGCTGAAGAGACATACGGTCTATACATTTCTGAACCTAACTGAATTTGAGTCTTCTTTTTTTCAGGAGGGAGGGAGGGGGGGGGGAAGGTAAATAGGGCGAGTATAAATAGATATTTGATCTTTACCGAAGCATATATTTTGGGATATGCACTTGCTCTTATTTTCACTGGACAGTTTTTGTTATCTAAATCAGTTTGGGAGCTATATTACAGTTTAATTGATATGGATAGTCCTCTATGCAGACTTTTAATCCAGAAATGAACTATTGTGGAGATGAGACTACCTTTAAATGCCAGTACAATGTAATGGTAAATGCAGCCAATTCATGACATTAAAACCACTAAAATCAAGTAAAATATCCCTGGAGTAAATCAAACATGAGGTTTGCAACATCATGAAATCTTCAAATACTGTATGCAGGGTTATTCTGAATTATTACTCTTGCAACCAATTATCCTTTATTTTAATTTGCCCATACTGTACTGAATTGTGTGAAAGAGTAAATGATTTTTTTTTACTTGAATTCATCCCATTTTTAATTTGACCCCCTTTTTTGCAACCAGGGTAAAAGGGGCGAAAATAATATGGGGTAAAAATTTCCCCGCATACAGTAACTGGATGAACAAGTAGTCCTCAATTGCTACCTGATGCTAGTTAGAAATCCTATGACGTTTAACCAGAAGTTTTCCGTCAGTTTGGGTTTTCCACACAACATGAGTCCCGTCAGATGGTGGCCGTGAGACTGTAGGAACTGGTAGATGGCGTTCTCGGAAAGAGCATGGGTGTGGCTAATATCTAGAGCTCGCAACTTGTTAAATTTCCCTTTCTGTGACAACTGATCCAATATCTATAAAATATTGAATATTATATGATAAGCATTATATTTCAGATGCATGTTTACCGATATATATTTTTCAGGAAAAAAGGATTCTGATTTAACCTCTATTGAATTTCACAGCTATTCGTCGTAAGGACATGGAATCCTAAGCCAGTATCTCAAATACTCTGGATATAGCAAAGTGATTTAATTGAAAGTCACAACCACATAAATTATTCCTTTAGTATTTTTGCCTTAAACTATCAAATTTTCTGATATTTCAAAGGTTTTTCTCTGTTCTATGGAGTTTGAGATAATAAGGTTTGATTGTGCTAAGTTAAAAACTTCTCCATTATCTTAACATTTTATTATACTGAATCAAAGACTAACCCTATCTGAGAAAAATTCACAGTATCCTAATGCTAGGTAGGTAAAGCCTGGCATGCGAAGTAGAATATTCTCTAGACATTCTGTGGACAGTTCAGTTGAGGTGAGATCGAGTTCTGAGATAATGGACGTCTCCCAAGGGACAGCAATCATGTGTTGATCCTCTACACCTACAAAATAGAGATCATGTTAAAGTATTATATAGACAACAATATGAGATTTGCATCTGATGTTAGTCCATATAAGATTTCTACTGGATTTAACCAAATCTAAGTTAAGCAGACAAAACAGTATTTTGTGAACATCACATCTTGCTAAATATAAATATGCAGAAAAACTTGCATGTAAAAATCACTGATGTTGACCTTATTGTAAACACAAAACACGAATGCAAACTTTATATCCAACTACAACGATTTATTTTAATTTGGCAATGTTCTTTATTCTTATTCTAAACTTCAGTAGACATCTCAAAGTCTCAAAATGTTCAAGATATCAAGTTTGATTTTTTTTCCCATAAGAATAATGAATTTTTCTTTATTACAATATTAAGTCTTATATTAAAATTTTAAAAGCCGCCAATGCTGTGTACCTGTATGTTGCAGTAAGAGAGTTTTCAACTTTTTGCATCTTTGCACCAAGGACTTGAAGGAGGAGCCTTTGACTCTGAGACAGAAGTTCAGAGCCAGTGTCTCTATATGGATACAGTTGGAGGTGAGTAGCTCTATGTGGGTGTCATCTATAAAGGTGATGCCGTACATGTTGACAATTCTCAGGTTCGGAGTGTGCGCCTTAATTTTCCCAATGTTGATGACTTCATATATGTCCTCCTCAGCCTCCATTGACATTTCAAATGTTCCTGTAAATGTAAAAAATAGCTTATTAATTTTTGAGGAAGGGGGGGGGGGGGGGGTATGAAAGAAAGAAAAATTGAATGCAAGCATCTTTCTGTCATGCATCAAATTGACCACCATACAAGCAACCAAACTGCATGTTTAGTTGAAAATCAAATTTTGAAAAACTTCCATTTCAGACATCTTGAAGTTTTTCCCTTGGTAATCTTGAGTTTGAGATAATGAGATTTGACTGTATTTGTCAGTTTAATTTACACGTGCCCCTTTAAAGTGCTCATTATGAACTGTCATCAATTTTAGGCACCCCTATTCTATGCACAATTTTTTAGAAAACTTTTAAGAATCTTTTTTCAAGGATTACCATATTATAGTAAAAACTCAATCTCAAGAACTCTATGGGATTGAAAAGGGGGGAGGCTTGGTGATATCTGCATGAGCATTCAGGATTACATCATGAAATGGTTGATACCTATACCTCCATTTAACTCACTTTAATATACATGATATTCAAGATACAGAAGTTCCAAATACCAAAGTTCAGCTGTATATATATAATTTTCACAAACATTTAGAATAGAAATCATTTAGTAAAATACTCTTATATGAGTATGGCATTATCAGCTCCCTAATTTGATATTTTGGCAAGTTCAGATAAATTCATTGTTTATTAGATTGGCAACCAGTAAACAACAACATGAACAAGAGGCCAATGGGCCACATCGCTCACCTGAGCACCAAGGGTAGGACTAGTATAAAATGGCTTTTTATTGTAAAGTTTAGATCCAAAAGTAGTCCCATGACCAATCATGGATTTGCTATTTTTTAGAAAATGATTGAGAAGATTTTTAAAGAATTTTCCTATATATTTCTATGTAAAACATTGGTCGGCCATTTTGGCCCCGCCCTACCATCATGATTTGAACAAACTTGATCTAGTAACATGCTTCCATATAAATATGATGAATAATGGCTTTGTCATTCTTGAGAAGAAGATTTTTAAAGAATTTTCCTATATATCTCTGTGTAAAACATTGGTCGGCCATTTTGGCCCCGCCCTAATGGGGGTCATGATTTGAACAAATTTGAATCTACACTACCTGAGCATGCTTCCATATAAATATGATGAATTATAGCTTTGTCATTCTTGAGAAGATTTTTAAAGAATTTTCCTATATAATTCTATGTAAAACCTTGGTCGGCCATTTTGGCCCCGCCCTACCCCCGGGGGTCATGATTTGACCAAACTTGAATCAACACTACCTGAACAAGCTTCCATATAAATATGATGAATTATGGCTTGTCATTCTTGAGAAGAAGATTTTTAAAGAATTTTCCTATATAATTCTATGTAAAACTTTGGTCGGCCATTTTGGCCCCGCCCTACCCCCGGGGGTCATGATTTGAACAAACTTGAATCTACACTACCTGGTCGGCCATTTTGGCCCCGCCCTACCCCCGGGGGTCATGATTTGAACAAACTTGAATCTACACTACCTGAGCATGTTTCCATATAAATATGATGAATTATGGCTTTGTCATTCTTGAGAAGAAGATTTTTAAAGAATTTTCCTATATATTTCTATGTAAAACTTTGGTCGGCCATTTTGGCCCCGCCCTACCCCCGGGGGTCATGATTTGAACAAACTTGAATCTACACTACCTGAGCATGCTTCCATATATATATGATGTACTATGGCTTTGTCATTCTTGAGAAGATTTTTAAAGAATTTTCCTATATATTTCTATGTAAAACTTTGGTCGGCCATTTTGGCCCCGCTCTACCCCCGGGGGTCATGATTTGAACAAAATTGAATTTACACTACCTGAACATGCGTCCATATAAATATGATGAATAATGGCTTTGTCATTCTTGAGAAGAAGATTTTTAAAGAATTTTCCTATATATTTCTATGTAAAACTTTGGTCGGCCATTTTGGCCCCGCCCTACCCCCGGGGGTCATGATTGAACAAACTTGAATCTACACTACCTGAGGATGTTTCCCCATAAGTTTCATCTTTCCTGGCACAGTGGTTCTTGAGAAGAAGATTTTTAACATATACCACTAAATTTTCATTCATTCCGAATTATCTCCCCTTGAATAAGGTCATTTGATAATAATCCCCTTCACCCAAGGATACTTTGTGGCAAGTTTGGTTGAAATTGAAATTCTTGAGAAGAAGTCGAAAATGTGAAAAGTTTACAGACAGACGGACAGACAGACAGACGGACGCCGGACAAAATGTGATCAGAAAAGCTCACTTGAGCCTTCGGCTCAGGTGAGCTAAAAACCGTTAATAAGTCTGCATTATAGAGCAGAAAGCAAAGATAATCATAAAACTCTCACAGCAATGCTGATATGCAGTCATGTAAGTGTCTTTGCATGGTTTTCCCTTTGCTTGGCTGCGGCAGCTTCTGTAGCCGTGCATATGTCATAAAATAATGATAACAAAAACAGCTGCATCTAATCCTGCTTTCTCTTTCACTGACTCTGGAGCTTGATCAAAGCTTCACAGAGCAACGCTTGTCTGCAAACAAGTCTTCAGCAAGGTCTCTCAATATTTTACATGCAGCACTTTGCTAAGCATCCTTATCACTGTGCTCCATTGAAATTAGTTACAAAGTATGTCTTTTCCTTTGAATAAATTTCAGATTTAATGACTCTATTTTATATTACTTCTCAACTTTTTTTTATAGATTCATGACCACATAGCTACTTTGCTCTTTAATGTAAATTTTCTTGATACGTGTACATATTACTTTATTTATATAATACATGTACATTAATTTAGTTAGTATAAAATCTATGGAATTACCAGATTTTTTTGTTTTAATTTTAAATTTTTAAAATATGTTAATTTGGTAAAAGAATAGGATGTGAATAATTAATTTAACTAGCAGTTGTCATTAATCAAAATCACTGAAGGATTTTAAGAACATACGAAGTATTAAAAATAACTGCCTAAGCTTTGCAGAGATAAATCAGAGGAGGAATTTTAATGATGTTTTTTGTCTTATAATTTGACTGCAGGATAAAAGACATTGTAACAAATATTGACAAATTTCCCCCATTATTCCAGGATGTGGTTATACTCTTTTCCACTCCCTATTTACATGTGTATCATCTTTGTTACTGATATATTTTTCATTACATATGGCATGAAACAAATATTTTAACAAAGTTAAAAATGATAATTTACAAAATTGGCTTGGTTGGTAATGTAAATTGTCATTTTATTCATTCATATACAGTGCAATATGGATTCTATCAATCTCCTTACATATTAATGCATCTTTTTACATATCTTATATACCATTAATTTTCATAAAATCATTTCAGTTGTGAACTTAGTGATAGTACTTCTGTGACCTTGATAATATTCCAGTGACGTTGATAGTTTTGTGTGACCTTGAACTAATACCTATGACGTCAAAATTTCCAATTTGTGTAGTTTATTTCTAGAGATACTTAATGTACTGGAAATAATCTGTGTTCTATTACATAAAAACACATGTATGTGATTGTTGTTCAGTGTTCTGGCCATAAAGCAGTACTAAAAAGCAGAGCCTTCTAGTGAGACTGAAAGGACATAGCAAGCAATATCAAAATGGTTCCAGATATGGAAGGGTTAATTAGTTTGTGTATATTAGAAAAAACTATAAAACTCTAACATTTATATGATTTTTTCCTGCATCAACTTTCCCCTTGGTTTTTCTGTATTTTTTTGGAAAATCACATTTGGCAAGCAAGAGACCTTAGGTCTGATCCTCTATTTCTAAATTATATTAATATTGAATTGTCTGTTTTTCAAGCAAACTCAGATTGATGAGGCTGTTCTATTTTCGTTAAGATACAATGCAGCACAATATTTCCGTGTCTTTTCTTTCTAAATAAAACAGCACTTCAAGTCATTTTCAGTTTGAGATATCATTTCTACTCTGGCTATTTTTTCTTTTAAGATAATAAAAATTATTAACCCAAACTTAAATGAAAAGAAAAATATTTCAGGAGAAATTTTTGTTCTGGTAGCTTTTTTAAATACCAAAGAACATTGGAGAGCTATTAATAGCATAATCATGGTGATATGACTCTAATCAAGAGAATAAGGTTTGACTGTATTTATCTTAAAGTCTGTATTTTTATAGCTATCAAAGATTTTCTTAAATCTAATTTATCCATCTGTATTTTGTGTTTTATTGAAATATTTCACTTCTCTCTCCTTCGCTAGTTTTCCTAACTATTTTCACCCTAAATACCTTTGGAGTATTGCAAGCACTCATCCAAATGGAAAAAAATACCAGTCAGTTTCATTCCACAATAAAGTTACTGTGGATTGTTTCACTTCAGATTTTAATTCTTTCTACCAGAAGTATATTTTGAAATTCAATACAATTTGACTTGATTGGACTGATTAAGTGATAACCAATTAACCACAGGAAAATGGTAGAGGTCTATACTTGAGATGTATAATATCAACAGATTCCTTCATGCAACTTGGGGAATAAGTGGAGGTCTTGTAACAAGTTAATAATTAAGAGCTAATTCCACGGGTTTAAAAATTGTTTGGTATGAGGCTAATCTTTTATACAATGAGTAAAAACATCTGAAAACTTCAAAGGGAGAATAAATTTTATCAATGTCTTAATTTTTAAGAGTATTTCTAGAATTAGGGCTCATTGCAGCTTTCACATTAAAAAGAAGATGTACAAACATCGTTATCACAGTTTTATGAGCTTGCAGCAACTGTGAACATGAAAAAAAAGATTATAGGGAGTCGTATGTGGCTTAGAGATCTTAATAAGTTCATATCAATCTTAGTTATCTATGACATCAAACTTAAAAAACCCACTGATGTAATACCAATTATCAGTTGGTGAAAATCTTAGTATGCAAACCAATATGACTAATGCAAAAGAAAATCTTTACTGGTAATTGATATTGCATTCAAATAAATTATTTTACCAAAAGTGTATTTTAATTATGACAGCAGTATTTTACTCCATTGTGTATATGCTTTTATTTTCTATTGTCCATTCTCTATTTAAGTGGGCTGCATTTCTGAGGCAATATGGGCTGGGTCATGTTCCTTTAATTACGCAAGCAATTAACAGAGAACAATAATTGATGGGAGGTAATAATAGGTTAAATTGTGCTACCTCCGTCCCTAACCTCAGCTTACCAATTAGATGGAGAACTTCTAGAGATGAGAGGCAGCTGTATATCCTCCTCATGAACCCTTCCAGGAATATGACCTCCGACAAACATATACAAAGGCTCCGAAGGTTACAGGGAAAGGCGTTAAGGTCATTAAAGTCGTGCAACTGCATGGCATTGGCGAAGTCCAACGTCATGTAAGCAAGGTTCGGACACTTGTTTGCCAGTTCATGTAAAATGGGGGAAGTAATTAGTTCACATGGGAGTTCTATGTACTTCAGGGTAGATCCGAATCTTATGCCAATCAGAGTCATTAATGCGTCCAGATTTTGAACGTGTAGTCCACCATATTCTGGCCGTAGGGATACGCTCGTCCACAAGCGAGGGTCATAGGCAAGCAAGCGCCATTTCTTACAGACGCGGGCCACTTTTCCAAGTTCTTGATGCTTCAGAAACGAAAAGATATGAAGCAGAAGCTTGTCTGGTATTTTGTGGATTGTCAAACTCTGAAATGGAAAAACAAAAGATCACAGAGAATTATACAAACACACACAAGAAATAAAGAGCTTTGAAAGGAATTTAAGTAACTTTCCAGGATGTTTGAAAAAATTCTACGTTTAATTAACTCCTTCAAAGAGCATCCATGCCCCCTTCAGCACAAATATTTCACCTGTAAAAAAAACTGCTTTCTTTCACAATGTCAAAAATTATGTGAAATACCACTTTAAACAACTGAAGACACACATTTTCTGCATGGGATTAATTTTCATTTACAACACGTATACGGTCATTTTTTTCCATAAAAATTTGTACTTAAAAGTTATTCTTAAGACCCAGGGGCCGGGGATTTTCCACGCCTATAATGATGTGAACCCATGGTTATTCTGGTTTTCAACCTCAACCACTATTTAGGGGTGGAAACCTGAAGACCCCCTACTACTTCTTTAATGCCCCCTGCTATTTCAATTCTCATGAACAATCCTGACTTCCAATACATTAATGAATTTTACTCTATGAAATCTGTGTAATTTTCTATCTGTAGATTGAACAGGAAAAAGTGATTTAAAATAATATTTTTATTCAGCATTGGGAACATTGTGCTTAAGAAAAATATCTTCCAACAAGTTTACATCAATTTTTTTAATGAAAAACACATACTCCTCTCAGAAATATAATACCATGTGTAATTAAGCAGAAATAATGAGGATTAACCCTCTTTTTCCAAGATCCTCATAGAAAAGAATTGTCATGACTGCAAAACAGTTGAAGTACAACATTTCTAAACATGCTCAGATGCAACGGAATTATATATCCTACAAGTAAATGAGGGAAAACTAGATTTGCATCAATTAGCAAAATACTAAATTCAATTATGTGTTCATTTTCTTAACTGATTACTAAAGTACCATACAAAATGGCAAAGTAATGAAGAGCCACTCAGAGTAAATGAGGTAGCCAAGTATTCAATTTTTTTGCGTGTAAGATAATAAATGCTCGTGATTTGAACTTTTTTGTACAACTTGTGGTTTGTTTTATGCGGAATGGGTTGTAGAAAAGTTACGGGTTTACAGTTCATTTTTTCCAGATCCTATACACATCTTTTCAGCTTGCAGAAGACTTAAAGTCAATCACTTTCAGTGCATTCTTATTTAAACTTTTATATCAGAAACATTAATTGGAAATCTGTTTTTGAAGACAAGTGCATCACAATTTGGAGAATAAATAGATTTGGGATACAAAAAGGATGAGAGCAACCATGTGCCCATATGTTTAATATTATTATCAACTCTCACTACCGTTCAATTTCCATTCATTATCCCAACCCTCCTAGCCCCAGCTCATCAAGTGCAGAATCTGATATACTGAGGATAATATACCTTATACACTGCTGAGCTTAGTCAAGGAGAAGATATGAAAAAAAGATATTTGGGAGATCAATACAATCTCAGAAAACTCAGCATCTTCAAATAAAATGAAAGGAAATCCTGCAGTATCCTCAACACAATGAGAAATCATTAAATTCAACTGCAATGCAATGGGAAAAAGCAAGAAAAAAAAAGGGATCAATATAAAATGTTACCTGTGTTTTAGTCTTATCTTATACTGCATGCAAAGCGTTATCTCGGCCTAAAATCAATTTATCAGACTTTCATGTCTAGTAGATTATTAATCAAACCCCTTCAAGGTGGCAAGTGGAAGGATGAAAATCTTAGAAAAGTTCAGATCAGTGATGGGCGAGGGCAAGGAAGATAAAGGTTATTTTTCTCCTGAAACAATCACAGTAGGCAGAATCAACAATGGAAACAAAAACAGACGATAAAAAACTTTTGAGTTATTTGAAAAGTATTTTATCTTATCTATAATCAGGCTGCATGATGACCCCTCTGAAGATTAAGCATTAATAACATTACCACATATACTAGGCATTATCTTAACCCTCTTTAGCTAATCTCAGTCTGTTGAACCCTGCATTTTAGCATTAATAATAGGGATTTATGGATGATATCCCACTGGATGAAAAATAGTTACATTTTCAAGTAATATAATAACTTGGTTAAGAGAATCAGCAACTTTTAAAAAAAGTCTTTTTTTTTGCTAAGTACACAGGGATGTGGAAAAGTTAATATAAAAAGCTGAACCATTACTTTGCATTTTGTTCAAAATTTTAAATCAAAATTAAATACTTTTCTTGAAAAAATTACTGATGCAGTTTTTTGTTTTTAAATTAAATTATTTCATTTAGTTATTAAAAATAAGATTAAGGTTTTCAACTTTTTTTATAAATAAAGTTATGTCATGGGGGAGAATTAAATAAAAATGAAGAAAAAAAAATAAAATATGGTATTTAAAATGTTACAAGAACTAACTATCTACCTTTAATTGATAAAGCTACATGGAAATGTCAATAATTAGTGAACATGCTAGGTAGTCTATAATAAATCTGAAGGGTTAATTAAACTACGTTATATACCCACCGGGTAAATATACCAGAAATCTGATTTATTTGTGGCGGTTGCAATCTGAGTAGCATCCTGAGCAACATCGTATATATCCATAATGCAATCAAAAATGAGAAGAAAAAAATCTGAATCTCTTTTTTTACAATTTCGTTGGCCAAAAGCAATAATTTTTCGTCAACGCATCATAACAAGCTATCGACACCAAGCTTATAAATAGAAGAGCGCTCGCCGGTTGTGTATTCGGTAGTACACACGTTGATCTCTGACTCGGTTTCTGATATAGCACGCATTGATAAATATTACATCCACTTTTCCCGCGAGCTGTCTAATGACGTCAAAGTGAAATTCGAAACTGCGACTTATCAAATAATTTATGCATGTAGATTATCTTAGATTTAAATAAAAAAATCAATAAGATATATTCTTTTTTATCTTTATCGCAATTTTCAGCTTTCTGATATTTATTTTTTGTTGTACATCCTGAATTCGAAACTAAATTGTATGCTGGAACTACCTGATAAGATCAAGGACGAATGCAGACGTTAAAAACAATGTAGGCCAGTTGGAACAGTGGACTCTTGGCCCTATAATCTTATGTATACGATGGCTGTCTATCAGCTGTCGTTGACAGTCATCGTTATCACTTTACTGGTGATACCACTGGCAGATGGGGAGATACACAGAACAACGTTAAAAACGGGAGTACCGAATCGTTTTTCTCAGGACGTGGCAAGTGAAACTCGATCCGCTATGTCGGATCCTGAGGCTGAGAGAACGTTTTATGAAGTTTTGGTTTATTCAGTAGGAGGCGCAGTGCTTGTAGGCCTCAGTGGCATCTTTCCTCTCCTTGTTATACCTATAGAGGCTGGTCCTGCACTGAAACACGGTGGTAGGTACAGTACACGTTAGTTCAAATAGAGAATATCTCGAATTATCTCTATTGTTTTCAAAGTTAGCTATAGAAAATCTCGGTGCACAATTAGCAATCTGAAGATGAAACTTCAGGTTTAAGGATATTCAATGATTGATGCAGATCATATACTACATTTTTCCATCATATGCTACATTAAGATCAAAGTTCCCATATGTGTATTAAAATATTTGTAGCCATACACCTACAACTAAATGCTGTATATCCATAGCTGACTAATCATTCTTAAATATGATTAAAATATATGAAAAAGAGTTTAATTTTGTGCCTTTAAAGTTTTGCAAAATTGGTCAATTTATGAAAATAATTTTATCTTGAAGTATTTTCAAGAGTATTGAAATAAACACAAAGGCTTGTGTGTCACTGAATATTTTAAAAACTTAAAAGTACATAATGTATCAGCTAAAATATTGCACCTGTTTCATTTAAAAACAAGAAATGTGTATGTGAAAAAAAACATCTTTATTTTTATCATGACCCATTGTACCATAAAAATAATCAGATACTGGTGTGCCTATGAATTTCTTTCAAGTTTTACATTGTGCATTCTGCTATATGACATCTATAATAAAATCAATATAAAGAAACTCGGCCAACTATAGACTATGTTTTTAATTTATTTACACTTTTTACAGAATCTCTTAATCTTAAAATATTTTTAATAGAGACCTAATCAACAGTGAAAAATTTCTTCTACTAGTAAAATATTAATTTAAGTTTTAGTTTTGTTTTTTTTTAATTTTCAATGTCTTCTTGGAAATAAATAACCAAAGATACATGTATGTATTATGGCAAGTCCATCCTGGTTAGATAAAAATAACCACCGGTAGCTTTACCACATGTTTAGATGTAATGTTGTTATTCATCATTATTTAACAGTGTCATGTCTGTGACACCTGTATCCTATTTGTTGCTCAAACAAAAAACTAGGCAAGACTCAAAATTATAATGAATTAATAAAAAGAAATAACTTATCTGTATAGCCTAGGTAGCGTGCTTTGTTTTATTTAAGCATTGAATTCATATTTTGGGATGTCTTTGGTCCTATAACACACCTGGCCGTGCCAACAAATTGAATACCGCGATGATAATTTGTCGGCATGGCCAGGTGTGTTATAGGACTGAAGACATCCCAAAATATGAATTCAATACTTATATTTACATTCTTTAATTTTTCCTCTTCATAATTGTTTATTTCGGTAATCTTTAATGTGAATTTAGTGCCCTTCAAAACTGGTGTGCTTTATAGACGTAAGAGCCGTTTGTGACGTCATAAAGTTAAATAATGCAAACAAATATTGCGAGGGAAAAAAAGTGACAAATTAATTTTAAATGCACATTTGTTGTATTCTTGCGTTAATTAAACAGGGTTTATTCTTTTTTATTAAATTGTGTCAAACAATGTGCATTATGGTGTTCATAAAGTATTGAAAATGCATATAGTTCCTACTGTGTATTCTAACACACGGTGACAAGGTTTCGCGTGTGTTATAGAGATTTGAACGTGGTGGATTTCTAATGGGTTTCATAAAGAAAATTACACTGAATGTAAATATAAGTACATGTAATAGGGTTGTGTAAAGGTGATCATTTTAACAGGTAATAAAACTTGATATTGTTATAGGGAGTGAATAAGTTTAGTGCAGTATCAAATATTTGCTTAATGATTAAAATGCACAGTGTCATTGAACTAATTCAGAAATGTAAAAGTCATACTAGTTGAATATAGCCTTGGTATTTTTTATGGCCTTTCATATTTATTCTCATGTTAAATAAAATTATTACACCTGTTTTCAACTTTTCACATTTTAAAATGAAAAACCTTTTCTTTCAACTTTTCTCCTGCAAAAACCCAAGAGGAATTTAAAAAAATGTCAAAGCTTTCTTAATTTAAAAGGTATTATATTCCCTTAGAGTAAAGTCATTTTGGAAAGATGTTTTTTTTTTCTATATTAATTTTATGCCACAGCCACTTGTTTCAGTTATAAATTTTTGACCCATTATAGTATAATAATAACACATATTCCTTGTTTTGTCTTACTGTAAAGATTGTTAATTTCATTTGTATATATTTTTTCTCACATTTTAGTTTATAAATTATATATTCCTTTCACCATTATCTCTCTTACTAAAAACAATTTTGAAATATTATTTATTTGATAGAAGTCTTTTTAGTCATTTAGATTAAACCCCAAAAGTGCATGATCCAATGTACTAATTAATGAATGAGGAAAAACATGTAAAATCTAATTCTTATAAGTAAGGTCTTTATTGGATAACAGGGTAAGTATCAGAATTAGAATTTGGACAAAACTTAAGATTGTGAGGATAAGGCATATAATAATAACTACATGTCAATGCATTAATTTAGCATGTACTAACTCAAGAGTTTTGTCCCTTTGATTTCATTAGCTACAGCCAAAGTCTTTCTTTAATTTGTATGTATCAAAAACTTCATAATTTAAATCATGCACATCACTCTGAATTTAAAGAGATTGACCATAAAAATACAAATGGCCATCATCATCTTTATTTCAACATCCATTTCATTTATTTCTATGATGTACAATACTAGTAAATAAAACTCATACTTGATGCCAAATGCAAAGATTTCAATGTGCAATGCTTGTAATGTTAAGTTAGGGTTACATATTGATAAAGTAGGTAGAAATTTTTTTTCAATCATTTCAGTCAAAATATGGCCATTCTTACCGAAGTATATGTGGATTTAAAATCCCTGAAACTCTCCTGGATTTTTAAAGATGTCATGTTGTAATAGTTATGCACTGCGTGTTAATTGCATGTATCCTTGGAGTTTCAGCAGCTGCTAACAAGAAATTATCAACCCAGATACTGCAGGTTTTTTTGATATGACATTATCAGTAAAAACGCAGAATCACATGTTTTATGACAAAATGCCGGTCTTAAAACAAAATAATGACTCCTATTTCACTGACAGCTTGGCTCACTAAATTACATGAAGCAGCTTGTCTCGAGTTCCTTTGCAAAAGAATATGTTTTTGTCTCCCTCCTTCGGCATGAGCAATATTCTTTATTGGAAAACGTCAAGGCCAAGGAGATGTGGTGAAACCTTATGTGAGGATGTGGGTTTTGAACCCCGAATTAACCTGATTTGTTTGAGATGGTCTCAGGGGATCCCATTTACAAAAGAGCTTTCCTTTACAACACATAAATCACCCTTTTACTCAATCTCTCTTGCCCCTACTGTTTTATATTAGCTTTTTTTTTCTTCCTTACTTGTCCTAAGATGACTTTCTGTCCTGTACAATTACTGATTATCAGGTGGATGGAGCTGGGTTTCAGGGGATTGGATGCTGTCTTTAAGTTATCCTGGAAGTTGGCCTTATTTCTGTCTGTCTTGTGATGTATACACAATGAGAGACATGTGTTATCATTTACAAACATTTTGAGTGGGATGACTTGAAACATCTTGTGTACTGCTTGATTACATTTGGATTAAAAGGTAATCTACTTGTGGTTCTTGAATGTCTGCAGAGTTATGGAATTCTGTGTTTAATATGGAATATTTAATTCAAAGCATTTTTACATTATGTACTCTAGCTGTATATTTGTACTGAACAATTAACCCATAGATGCATGCTAAAAAGATAAATGGGAAAGTATATGTACTAAGCAACAAACAAAAAATGTATTATGTTTTGTGGTGTCTATTATGTGGAAGTTCACTGACCATTCTCCTGGTATTCATACCTTGTCCTGGCCAGTAATTATCTAAAATACCACAGATTTGCTACTGCAGCTGACATTGTGCACATAGTTATTATGTGCAGTTTTCTTAATTTACAAGTTACTAAGGAAAAAGTAGTAATTTCCTATCCCATTGTGTAGCAAAGAGAGACAGTTTACATGCTGTCTCCAATGTGAATAGCAGCAGTTTTTTTTTATTTTAGCTCGTTTACCTTTCTTTTTGAAGTATTGCATCTACTGATATATGCAAGCCTGCTCAGGTATAACAGCAACAGACAAAATAACAGACTCACCAACAGACATACTTCCTATTTGCCCGTCTCCTAAAATGTTTTTATGTTTTTAGTAATTAAGAACAGCTGAAGAAGTTAGAAATAGAGCGAATCGTCTAGTTGTTGATTAAACATATCAAGGCCTCTATTAAAGCAGATAACATGGCATAACATGCATGTCTGAGTGCGGTTTTTTTATGATATGTGGTATATTGTTCTTGTGAATAAGCTGTTAATGTCAGGGAGGTAAAAATTGGTTCCTCCTATCATTTCAAGTATATAAGTGTAATTTGTACAAGAATATCAAGTGGAATTTTTTCATGCATCATTCTGAGAGAATTTCTTTGTAAATATTTTTTGATTCTTTTATAAAATCCCAAGCCACATCCTAGTTATGATCAAATTTTTATGCCAAATTATTCTTAAGCTACTACAGAATCCATTTATAAATCAAAGAAAGAAATAAAATATGTCCTTTTTTTTCTTTTGAATGTCTTGGTTGATCTATCAATTGTTTATTTTATCTCTGACCTGTCAAAATGACTGCTGGACTTGGCTATTTGCTCAGTGGTTAGGGATGGTGTATCTTTGATGTATTTGAATATTATACAGATGAACTTTGATATCTTAATTTCTGTATTTTATTTTTAATATCTGGACCTCTTGAAGTTTCTTTTTTTTGGGAGGGGGGGGGGAGTTTGAGATAACAAGGTTATAATATGGTGATACTTGTCTGATCCGGATGTTGTGTAATCCGTAATCTTGTCTAATACAGTGTAAACTTCAGTCCTTTGCTGTAAATTTCTCATGTTTTAAATGTAAATGTCTAATCTGGAATGTTGCCTAATCCAGCCAATTTTTTTGGAACAAGTGATGTCCAAATTCAGTTGCAGATTCCAGGGAGGTAGTCAATTCTGACAGAAAATTTGATTTATTTTAAGCATCAAATTTTTGTGACAGATTTGCTTTATATCAGGGGAGATCCCCTTATCCCCTCAAAGTTAAATTTTAGTCCCTGCCTATGGCATTCCTCCTGTCTCCAGGGTTGATTTGAGATGCTGTAAACTTACTTTTTTTCCAGGGGGTCATAATTACATCATCATGGCATCACAAACTTCTGTACAATCCACAGAAAACATATTATCAGTAAAATAAAATGGATTTCTATGACTGCCATTGTACTGTAAATCACTTTTTATTTGTGAGAACTTTATTTTCGTGTTATTACGCAAGACAGTGTGCTCACGAAATTTTAATTCTTGTATATAATATTATTCCTGAGGATTAAATAGAGCAAAAACCACAATTTGTGAAATTTTGTTTAGCTTATCAAGAGTCAATGACTATCTTGTGAAAATAAGGTGTCGTGGAAATTCAGTGATCTACAGTATTCTTTTAATTTACCTTGAATACATTGTGACATTTGCGGAAAATTTGTGACAAAATACAAAGTTATTAGCCAAAATTAATCTCATGCAGAATAAAGTATGTCTATGAATTAAACTTACTATAGGTAAAATTATTGTAAATGCATGGTCATTTATGAACTTAATGACCCTCTATACATATTTCTAAGTTCTTTTTTGCATGGTACTGATAAATTATATTTAGAGACAACAATGATGAGCATAAATTACTACTCTTGCTTATTCAGATGTGGAAAATACATATACATGTATATACAAATACATAGATATATATATAGGGTTTTTTTTCAAGATGATCTATTTTTTCCTTTTCCCTTTCTTTGTGATCATTTTTAATTGGCAAAATATAAAACATTCAGAAATTATGTATGCTATTAATGTGGCATAAAAACATTACCAAACGGATATACAGTATACTAAATACTGTAAATCACTTTTTATTCGCGAGAACTTTATTTTCGCGTAATTACGCGAGACGGTATGCTCGCGAAAATTTCATTCTCGCGTATAATAGAATTACTACAATTCGTGAAATTTTTTTCTCGCTAATAAAGAGTCAATGACTCTCTCGCAAAAATAAGGTGTCGTGAAAATTAAGTGATCTACAGTATTCATCTGTTGATTTATATGCATGTAGGTAAAATGTTAAGAATGCTGAAAATTTTCATTTCAAACTGAGTAATACATGTATTTATAATAATTGTTGATTTTATTTTAGTGAATTCAAGTGTAATTCATTCTTAAAAATGACACAATCTCACAAAATTAGAACTTTGGGTGCAGTGTTAATTTGTCAATTTCACTATTGACTGTACTTTTCTTAAATTCTATTATTTAATTATTAAAAAAAATAAATTTGAATTCTATTTTGTCTTGTAAAAAAAAAATCTAAAAAATTTGTTATTTAAAAATTCTTTTGATTTTAATTTGATTTAGGTGTACATGCAATTATATTAAAAAAATTTTGTATATACATGTATAAACCATAAAAGATAAGATCAAAATTTTATGCTACAAGTATCATTTTGCTTAATTAAAAACCCAAGGATTGTGACATATGGTCAACAACAAACAGAAAACATCCTGTTTGCCTGTAGAAAGACCAAATGAAATTTTGTGTGGTTCATTTACATCATTGTTGAAATACCTTCTCTCTAAAATTCTCTGTTTTGCATAGCAACAGGATGAATATTACTCATTTAATGACACTGTCAATGATGTCTTTGTTTCAGTCATGAATTATACAAAAGTGCTTTTAAATGTGAAGTATTTTGTCATCTTAGCTGATGCTGGCACAAGTAAATGTTCTTAACAAATATGAATTATTCAACTGAAATCTTAAAAGTAGACTGCAGACCTGTTCAACTGTGCTGCATTCCTAATGACATCTGATATAAGTCGGTAACTGATGAAATATATGCTGAACTTTCGTTCTGAATTCTTTTGCAGATTCTTATGCAAGGATAATATATATGCTCAGCATGATGCACACATGTACACATTGAAAAAAATATATAATGGAATGTTCTCAATCCTAAGAAAATTACACTCATGCTTCTACAAGCAAACATGTTATAAAACATTAATTATCTTGTTACATATGCTAAATTACAGTATAGCTAGGTACCTCTCTGAGATATATCATAACTTTGAAGAAAAAAATGTACAGTTTTTAATGATAACTAATACCAGGTGAAGATGGTAATAATTTAGTAGAAATACTTGCTGAAGACTTTCCTCACAGAAGGATCAGATTATCACAGTCATTAGACAATAATTAGGAAGACGTTTGACCCTGTGCCCAGTTTGGTTCTATAAATAGTATCGTGACTTCCCCCCTGACTTACCGACAGAGTAGCATGGGGAGAGTGGTGGTGGTGGTGTGGGTCCTCCTCTGTTGCCATGGTGAGATGCATCTTTTCCGGTCCCCCCCTCTAACTGTATCCTTGTCAATGAATTAATCGTTCCCCTTCATTGATAAATGTCTATTGCTACTGTAGATAACAAGCACACCTAATTTGGTACAGTAATGTAATAAGATCCCCCGATCAGCTGATTCCTGCCTCAGTATCTCTGGCTGCCTGTTCAATGCCGAGGTAGCTCCCTCTCTCTCTATCTCAATCTTTCTCTCTATTTTGTGAGGTCTGGTTATTATCTGCACAATGATAAAACAGCTTTCAAATTATTATTCTATATGTATGTTTTGTATTTTATCTCCCCTTGGAATATTAAATATTAATGGCTGTGTTTTCCCCGAGCTCCTGCTGAATGGGCCTTTTGAGAGCACATACCTAAAGCTAGCAAAAATTGGCCTGGTGTAGAATCTGCCAATAATTAAATGAGGAGCAAATTAATGATTCATTTGTTGCTGGATAAATGGTTGGGTTTTTTTTTCTTTAATACAGTGGAGTTCTTTTTGTACAGTTGGAAAATGTGTACTCTGTCCGCTGCATTCTGTTTCAGACATAAAATGATGCTTCAGTTATTTAATTTTCTCTTGGGGAATTGCATTTACTGGTATTCATGTCTGTCTGTTCATAAAGATAATACACTATAATCTGAAACAAATGCGCATTTGAACAATGCCCAGCATCAATCATTCATAAACTAATTTCACTGTGATGGTATGGAAATTGATTTTTGAAAGTGTTCAAATTTCAGAGAATATTGTTACATTGTAACAGATGCCATTATACTAAAGCTCTGAAAGACCTAACAGCTAGGCATAAAAGTATGATAGATTCATGAATGTATCAAGTAGGGGTGAACATCTATCTACATTTCCATAGTCAAACATTTTTTTTTCGTAGTGTTTTTTGAAGGTAAAATGTACACAATTTCTTTTTGATTATTTTATTCATGAAAGAATGTGGTAAATGAACAAAATGGTAAATGTACATGCCAAGTCACCCAACATCACAAAAAATGCAAGTAACTAAGGTAACCCCCTTTCACCACCACCACATCCCCACTCATTCATAAGTCACTAGTGTCTTTTCACATTTCTGTAATTTTTTTTATTGTCAATTATAGGACCAGAATAAGTGCTTATTATAATCCCTTCTTTGAAATAAAATTTCTTTGTAATAAAACTATGTTATTTATATTTTTTACAGCAGCGGCCAACAAACTGAAACTACTGTTGAGTTTTGCTGTAGGGGGACTACTTGGGGATGTTTTTCTACATCTGTTACCAGAGGCTTGGGCAGCTGTTGATAAAGGTAAATACATTGTTATATTCTGTTTTCACCTTTTGATCAAATTTACTATGAGGTAGATACTATATTCTGGTTTTATCTTTTGACTTTAACCAATAGTTCAAATTTTTAGGAACAAATGTATTAGATAAATTACAGGATAGAGCTGTCTTTATCTATTTGCAAGATGTTCAAATTGATCAGAAATACATGTATAGGAATAATTTTAGACAGTATCCAGTATATTATATGATTCAGCTTTCAATGCCCAAAAGGTCCTAGCTGTTAAAACTTTTCCCAGTTACATTACACTTACGGTTCCTGAAAAATCTATCCTAACCATCAAATGTATGTATAGTTTTGAAAAATTAATAAGAGAGCATACCTTAGAATGTTGTAATGGCTGATCCTTTTATCATTTTAGCACATTTATGAAATCAATGGTGTTAGTTTGCGGAGGAAAGCAAACATTAGAAGTGATGACAGAGAGAGACCTGTTTCAGTAATTCTCTGTACAGATCAATGTCCTGTCATTTTATTGTTCAAGAAACACAATTAGAGATTCAAACTTTATAAAGCATGTTGTATAAGAACAATGAGTTCACAAGAACTTTTTGTCAATAGGAAAGTATAAAGAAGAAATTTTCCTGTAATGGCAGTTGCTGAAGTTTCCCCTTTGTTATATGATTCGGAAGATGTTAATTTGAGGAGCTCATCAGATTCTGAGATACATGTACCTTGGTCTCGGATAGGTTTCAAAGGGAAAAAATAGTTCTTCAGAATGATTATCACCCACTAAAGGGACTTAATACTTTGTCTTGAAATTGCTGAAAATGTTAAGTTTCTCCACAGGAGTTTACTACCTATCAATTTTACCAAAATTTTCAGTAAATTAAAAAATATGTAATACCTATAAAAATAACTTATGTTGTGTTGAAACTGCTTTTGCAACATGAACCTCTTGGCTGATATTTCTCTTTTTCTACAGGTGGACAACATGATCATTTTGGACACACAAAGATTGGACTGTGGGTACTAGCAGGAATCCTCTCATTTCTGATCATTGAAAAAGTATTTGCCAAAGAAGGAGAATTTGATCATGTAGGTAAAACAGAAATATCTTCACATGTTAATATTAACATCTTAGTTAGGAGAGATTTTGTTTTTACAGAAAACATTGTATATTGATCTTAATTCCATCTGATGAAGATCCAGTAATTTACCTGTCTCTCTGTTAATCTGTCCATTAAGGTCTGCCAAGTTAAATAAGTGACTTCAAAGATGCTGTACTGCTTTAGGTTAAAGAGGATTTAAAACTCTTCTTTCATCCTGGGTTCTTAAAAGGTTGGAAATGCTATTTAATACCACCAGGGATACATAGCCAACAAATATCCTATTTAAAGTCATATAGTGGCTTTTTCCTATCTGATTTACTCTTAGACCAATGATTCCTCAAGGGGAAATACTGTCTGAAAAGGCATGCAGGGTTCTAGAGGGAAATGGCCAGATGAAAGTTACATACTTATTTCCAAAATGATATTCTGAAAAAAGAAACATTTAACACGTTCAAATATTGGGATAATGTGAAATGGAAAGAAACAGAGAGGCCATTGATTTTTAAGGATAAGATGCAGAATAAGGATGTTCAGTAAGGCTGTTCAACTTCCAAATATGTGTGTTATTAGTTACTGTTGAGTGTGAGCATGATAAATAATTAAAGACCTCCAGACATCTGGTAACAAGTTGTGTATTGGTAGACAATTGGTCAGGGTTTTATATGTAGAACAAATTCAGAATGCTTAAAAAAATATTTGGTAGTTGTTTTAGGTTAAGTTTGCATAATCAGACACAGAGGTTTTGCCAATTAAATACTGGTAGTCATTTATGTAGAAATGACAATTATGTTATACTGTAGTAAAGCTTATATCTAATGTTGATAATGAATGATAACTTTTAATGCCCTTAATAATTTTATTTCATCTGAATTGCACCCAGAAACAAATTTGTGTTGATTAGTCAGGGTTTCAGATTGCATAGTGTTAAAAATATAAGATGGGAATCAAAATTAGAATCAGAATTCACAGTGAAATGGATTGCACAGGTGTCAAATAAGGCAGTTTTTACTGTAATAGTTATATTTCTGAAGTACACATTGCATGCTGGTTTTACAGTGCACTTTTATTATTTGACGTAAAAGGGATATTTTCTCAAATAACAATTTTAATGTTCTTTAGCCTAGTACATGTTGCCTTGAAGTCTCTCAGTGCAATGTGCAAAAATCAAACATTGAACTGTAGCCTTTTTTCCTGTATTCTTCAGATGCATGATGATTGTGATTCGGATAATGAAGAAGAAGACATCCACAATAGACAGATTTCAGATTTGCCAAAAATAAATGGTTGTGATTTAAAACAAAGGACTAGTTCATCAGATAATCATAAAACAAATTACAAAAAGCCAAAAAATCATGGAGTTACATCATTGCAAAAAACAACCACTTCATCTTCATCCAAGCAGCACACCAGCGGGGCACCAGAGGGGGAGTCTGATATCAAGGTATATAATAAAGATGGCAGTCGCTGAAAGCATGCCAGTTAGATTTGATGAAGAGCTCGATGCTGCAGGGAATGTTATCATATCAGCCCATATGTTTTGACATGTTTTTAATTCCTATGTCTAAAAAACCCTCCAAGAAATTCTTTTCTTTTTCTTTTTTTAAGGAATGATAATGTATTGTTATTTTTGGTTGGCTGGCCCAGATCAGTTCAACTGTGAATTTTTTTTTTTTACTTTTCTTGAAGGAAAAGTAATTTGAAGGAAGAAATGGAATATTACCTGAATTTTAAATTTTTAGGATAATCGAATACCTGTATAATGCATGAAACAAAAATGTCTAATCTGTAGAAAGTGGAAAAATTACACTATATGTATATGCATAGAAGCATTCAGTGCCAGGTTATAAAATCTTTTGTAGGTTAGTGGATACCTGAACCTGCTGGCTAATGTCATAGACAACTTTACCCATGGTCTAGCTGTAGGAGGAAGCTTTCTAGTCAGCAACAAGGTATAAATCAATATCTACCTATAATATCTACCTGTCATTGTACCAGTAACTCCAATCTTACATAACATGTGTTATATTATACAGGTACTTATCTTTAATACTGGCTGGTTCTCTACTGAAAGCAGTGAAGATTATTAAAAAAAAATAAAGTTCTATCTATTAAGTACGATGAAGATTTTGATTCAGTATACAGTTTAGGATGGGGAACAAATAGAAATGTATTAGATTAAAAAATGAGGGATGGTTAATTATTAAATTCATTGGTTTTAAAAGACTTGGTTATTTTTACAACTCTTCTAGCTTGAGATATTAAAGTGTCTGGATATTCAATGCCATAGAAAATGAGTTACTTGAAACTCTTACATGTTAATATATCATACAAAAATCATATTCATAGTCCCTTAAGGGGACTGAAATCTAATTAAGCAATGACTGCATGGATATAGATAAAACAGTTTAATTATCTTTTACAATTGTCAATGCTAACTACGATAATTAGAATCTTGGGGATAAGCCAGCGGAGTAATGTAAAACAAAACTTTATAATGATGAACAGAGTGAGAGCAGATGGGTAAACATTACATACAGCTTGTATTTTACTGGGAGGCTGTAATTGAGTATACAGTAAGGTTATGTTCAGATTTAATTAGTTCTTGGCAAAAACCTGGATTTATATCTTAAATAAAAAGGATGATGGTGAATTAAGTAAGAAACAGGCACACTTCGTACATGTTTCTCAGTAGTGTTTTTAATCAAGATGAAAAATACAGGGCTCTGTTTTTTTAATCGATGTTTTCTAAGAGAAGTAATAGGAGAATTGATACAAATATTTACCAGAGAGCAGTAACTGGAGAATTAGAACAAATATTTTCCAGGGAGGAGTAATTTTAGTATTGGAAGCATAAGTCGGTTAGATACTGAACCTTTTTCTTTAGAGGTTAAAAGTAAACTGCAGAGTAGATAAGACATTGAATCATTGTTGACATATTATATACTGAAACTGCATCTTCCTTACTTAGGATTTTTTTTTTTTACATTTTAGATATTAAGATATACATGTGCTCTCATATATCCATTTATCAGTCTGAATAGAAAATTCTTTTAGAGTAGGCAAGCAGTCTGTCATAAAATCTAGCTCTACACATCACTAAGTTACTTTTATCTATTTGATTGATCATGTATAATATATTCTGAAGTTAAAGATTACATCACATATCTGCACTTAACTACAGAAGTACACATCTCTATCACAATTTTCAGACACATTTTTAAAATGTGTTGAAATGTACACAGGGCTGAATATTGCTTACCTGTTTAATCATGAATTTTCGGTATATTTTTTTTTTATCTATGTTTTCATTATACATGTATATTTTTAGGTTGGTTTTGTGACCACACTAGCCATACTTTTACATGAGATTCCACATGAAGTGGGAGATTTTGCCATTCTGTTGAGATCGGGCTTCAACAGGTGGAAAGCTGCTAAAGCGCAGGTATAATTTCTACTATCTGTCTGTAAATCATTCACTGTTGGATATAAAAATAAGATAGGATATTTTGTACAATCTCTGTGTCAGTACTGTATCTCTGGCATGAAGTCTCCTCCCAATTCTTCAGAAAAAGGACAGTTACTTGTTTTATCTACATGTAATTTTATCAATTCTTTTTAAAAAGCATACAGATGAAGTATGTTGAAATAATTTTACCCATCTCAACCATTTGATTATATTCTTTATGTTTTTTTTAACAACATTATCTCAAATCCCTGGATATCTCAAAGTCTAATCATTGTCCTGCCAAGCTTGAGATACTGTAGACGTACTTATTTCCACGGGGTTATAATTCCGCGGAATCTCAATTTCTGTTTAATCCGCAGGTTGAAAATTACGAGGATTTCTCAGACTAGCACTATATGCCTTCCATTTATATTAAGTACGCTTGGACAAATTTCCGCGGAAAATGTGTGACAGCGTACATAGCGTAAATTAATACCACGCGGAAAAAAGTACTTCTACAGTATCAAGATTTGACTGTATATAAATTCTTGGAAAGGACTATGTACAATAGCAGTATCATTATTTTTTTCACTCTTCTGTTTAGTTAAAATTACTGGCCATATTGTGAGCCCATCTGCTGATTTTTTTTGATAAGCAACTTCTCTTGTAATCTTTACTTTAATGATTGGGTAAATACTAGTATCAAAAAGGAAATGAAAAATAACTAGCTGGTTTGAGACAATAAACAAGTACCAAAATTGAAAATAATGCATACTTGTTCTTGACAAAGTCCAAAGTATTTTGAAATTTAGTAGCATACACTTTGTAAAATGTTATTTGCTTAATTAAGCATTTTGTATCGTACAGTACATGTACTTTTACTGTAGTTGTTTGACTTGGTCAGACATGCACTAGCTCAAAATTTATTTCCTCAAATGGATTTTTTGTAAAGAGTTCATTAATCCTCAGGGGGGGGGAAATGTTCTGGGAATTAAGCATATGGCTATCTGTAGTATTTTATTTATTGATTTTTTCCTTTAACGTCTATACTGGAAAAATATTGTGCCACAATTTCTGAAAAATGAACAATTAATCTTGCCTGGGTCACTTAGGCAGAAGAGAACAGTGTAATTAGACTGGCAGTAATCAATATTTATAACTGCGAGATGACATCGAGAGCATTGCCCGTAATTGACGATATTTAATTTTTATTTTTTTTCAGATGATGACTGCAACAGGAGGCATTCTGGGAGTGATAACGGCTCTGACTGCAGAGTCAGCTGAATCAGCCGGTATGAATTGGGGGAAAAGTACTGCACTTAGATTTACACAGATTACAAAGTTCTTATCTTTAAAAAAAACTCAGGCTTTTTAGCTCACCTGAGCCAAAGGTTCAAGTGAGCTTTTCTGATCAAAATTTGTCCGTTGTCTGTCGTTGTCGTAGTTGTTGTTGTCGTCGTTGTCGTTGTTGTAAACTTTTCACATTTTCATCTTCTTCTCAAGAACCACTGGGCCAATTTCAACCAAACTTGCTACAAAGTATCCTTGGGTAAAGGGGATTTAAGTTTGTTCAAATGAAGGGTCACGCCCTTTTCCAAGGGGAGATAATTATGAATTAGAGAAAAATTAATGGTATTTTTAAAAAATCTTCTTCTCAAGAACCACTGGGCCAGGAAAGATGAAACTCAGGTGGAATCATCCTCAGGTAGTGTAGATTCAAGTTTGTTCATATCATGACCCCCAGGGGTAGGGTGGGGCCAAAATGGCCAATCAAAGTTTTACATAAGAATATATAGGAAAAATCTTTAAAAATCTTCTTCTCAAGAACCACTGGGCCAGGAAAGATGAAACTCATGTGGAATCATCCTCAGGTAGTGTAGATTCAAGTTTGTTCATATCATGACCCCCGGGGGTAGGGTGGGGTCAAAATGGCCGATCAAAGTTTTACATAGGAATATATAGGAAAAATCTTTAAAAATCTTCTTGTCCAGAACCAATGGGCCAGGAAAGATGAATCTCATGGGGAATCATCCTCAGGTTGTGTAGGTTCAGTTTGTTCAAATCATGACCCCTGGGGGTAGGGTAGGGCCAAAATGGCAGATCAAAGTTTTACATAGGAATACATAGGAAAAATCTTTAAAAAATCTTATTCTCAAGAACCACTGGGCCAGGAAAAATGAAACTCATGTGGAATCATCCTCAGGTAGTGTAGATTCAAATTTGTTCATATCATGACCCCGGGGGGTAGGGTGGGGCCAAAATGGCCGATCAAAGTTTTACATAGGAATATATAGGAAAAATCTTTAAAAATCTTCTCAAGAATCACTGGGCCATAGGAATATATAGGGAAACCTTTTAAAATATTCATTTTAAGTAATTCAAAGCCATGCTTAGTGATATCTATAGGGAATCATCCTCAGGTAGTGTAGATTCAAGTTTGTTCAAATCATGACCCCCTGGGGGTTAAAATTCAAGCCCCCTTCCCCCTCAGTAAACTTTCAGTTCTGATCTGATAGGTGCTTTTTCCTAGGCAATTGCTCAGGTGAGCGATGTGGCCCCTGGGCCTCTTGTTTTATTGATATTATCGAGAGAGAAAAAAATGAATCCATCTGTTATACAATAGTGAAGAGAAGTAAGTTTTGGGATTTTATTTTTTTTGCAGGAGAAAGCACAGCTTGGATCCTTCCTTTCACCTCTGGAGGATTTATCTATATTGCCCTTGTCACTGTAGTCCCAGATCTCTTAGATGAAAAACATACATTGTAATTATACTCTTATCACTCTTTACCCCCCTTATTTACTATTTTATGTTGGTATTATTACTCATTTTCTTTATTTATATAATACAAGCAAACATACATTAATTTTCCATATTTACAGTTTGGTTAATCCTATTGACATCAATTAAATACATTAATATATACACAATTTTTTTTTTTCATTTTCAACAGTGAAATACCATGATTTATTGAATAAAAATTATATTCTTTCAAGTGCTTTGTACTCATGAAAATATGAAAAAGTCCAGTCCTACTCATGAAATAAATTCCATATCCAACAACAAAAAATTGAATTATTCTCTATTTACACTGCTTATTGGAATTTTTCTTTTTTAGGGAGTCTTTGAAACAACTTCTGTGTCTTTGTGGTGGGATTCTAGCAATGCTGGTAGTAAGCCTCTTCCATTGACATTTCTGACCTAGTGACAGCTAAAAAAGGACCAATTTGCATTTTCTATATACTGTATTTTGAACATATTTTTGAGGGAAAAGGTGATATTGAAATACTTTTTAAGATTTTATATATAGAGGAATTTTGATGTCCTTTTTAACCTTCGAGTTTGTCGGAGAACAAAATTGTGTATGAGAAAGTTTATTATTTTTGTCATTTGAACGTACTTTACACACTTGTGTTTATATGCCAAAAGGCATGTGGATATTTGTACAGAATATTTGTACAATTGTTTTCATTATATCATACTGTACAATTGCATTATGCAACATTTGTTCAAAGTTTTGAATATTTGCTTTTCCAGTCTTTGCCAAATTTTATTTGATATAGCTAACTGAAAGCCATTACGTACACGTTTTAAATTGGTGTTCAAGATAGATGTTCTTATAGTGTATTTTTGGAAAAATATTGAAATATTTTTGACGACTATTTTACTGAAGGAGAAATAATTCCTATATTTTTATATACAGACAATGATCCATATAAGGACAGAGTGTCATATTAGTTTAGATTTGCCTGTTTGTTTGTCCTTGTTCTAACATTATAGCCATAACCTGTGAGCAAAAATAAGGTGGCATTGAACTTAATGTTGGTTTTTTGTAGTCTACAAATGAAGCTTTGTTAGAAATTACAAACATGTTACATATCGGGGTACTATAATTTTACTTGGAGGGCAGAGATCAAATAGAAATTTACCTCCACTAAATTTTAGACTGTTAGTTTGCATATCAAATAAAATTTTTAAGTAATTCTTAAATTTGAATGTACATTATATATACATGGTCATAACCTGTTAAGTTTGATAGTAAATGATATAGTTATGCATATATTTTCTTTTTGGGTATTATTTGTGCAGTAAATATAGTTAAAGGGTTTAACCCCCCAAAAAATTATTTTCGTTCTCTGCAATGTAAGCCTATACTTCACACTTTCCTATGACTTGGACATTAAGGAAATGTGTGAATTTAGCAAATTAATCATAGTGCAATATTTTACACACAGTTTTATGTGTTACATACGTTGTAGATTAATTATCATGTGGTATGGATTCAGGGTGATATTACTTTGTTGAAGATGAACACGATTGTATTTTGGTGGAATTTTGTTTTTATGAAGGGTGGAAAGTGTTAACTTTCTGTTGGTAAACTGCATTCATATTTAAAGAAATATTGTCTATTTTCTCTGCATTTTTTGACAAGGTATTTACGGATAAATATAATGTACTCTGTCAAAAATGCTATAGTATGTTAAAACAGGACTTTATGAAGACTTTTTTTTTAAATTTCAACAAATATAGAAATACAATATAGTGCATTTCACTAGCATATTGGTAAACATAGATTCTACAAATACTTATCAAAGAAAGATCTCAGATAATCATGTGCTACCCAATCAAAGTATAGGTGTTAATGAGTATCACAGATGTTCTATTATGTAAAAGGTCTTTTAAATCCATTCTTAATTGAATTCTTTTCTGCTCAACATAGTCTGCATCCTGTTAGAAGTGGATAGTCAGAGCTTTTTATGTCATCAAACTGTTTTTTAATTATCATTTCTCTTTATCCATGAGATCTGAGGTTTTAAACTTCGTAAAAATCAGCAATTCCAAAATTTTATACACTGTATACATGTATATCAGCAATTCTTAAACCGTGGGTAAGAAGAAAATAAGATTGTATCCAAAGGATTTTTTTCCTGTCAAGATTAAGATACAGTCTATATCAATTTTAACAATTCATTTTAAAAAATTGTTAGAGATGGAATCAAAATGTTTTTGTTTTAACTTACACTGTATATATTCCAGTATATATTATACAATTTAGGATTGCATTTTCATAAACACATGCCATGCATAAAGCATTTTCATAGGTGCTGGACTTGCTTCTTATATTTTATTTTTACGTAGAATTTTATTTTTAAATTGTTAAGATATGCCAATTTATGGTAAAATGCATTACTAAAAAGTGATTAGCAGATGGCATTAGCATTGCATTTTATTCACATTAATTAATTCTGTCTCATAATTTATGGTCACCTGACTAGCTCATTGCTATTTACTCTTTGTCTTTTATCATAAAAATTCTGCACCACTCAGCCAATGGCTTATTTTTTAAAAACTTCCCTTGTAAGAGCTCAAAAATTAGCAAAATGTTTTGTTTTTATATATATACATCTTTAGACTTAAGTGGGGAAGTCAGATGCTCTGAAATTTTACAATGGAGTAGATGGCAGTTCCATGATACTCGGGTGACTGTTACGGCCCCTTGGTCTCTTACTGAAAATGAAATCCAAATCTGTATAATATGTTAAATGGATAACCGTGATGGCAAACTTCTAGGAGTAATTTATTACAATCATAAGCAGATGTGTTCTTTATAGTCCTCAATAATGTATAAAGCATTTACTTCTAGAATAGTTTAAAATCTACAAAGATTTTTTTTTGTTTTTTCATTGTGATAAAATACCTATATTTTTGTGCATTGTTAAGGATGAGCACTATTGTTTGACAAACTTGCTTTGTGATACTTTGTAGCATTTTACGTTACATATGGATCACACCCAATAAAATCATGAAAGCATCGTGTACATTTCATCTTATTTTCTGAGACTTCAAATCATATTTGTTAAATCTGTTAAAGCATTTGTATTTTTTTTTCTTTCCCCTTACTGCTTAAGAGTAATAGTATCATACTTGATGACCTTGAAAATGAATTTCTTACTAGTTTGGCAGCTTTAATTGATTAAGAGAAGTAGTTTTCACAAAATATAAGTAAAAGGGGATTCAATGGAGTTAATGTATGACAAAAAATGCAAAGGATAACAGGACAACTGAAAATTTATATTCAAACTTTAATGGAACATTTGAGTATAGAGAATCATAATGTCTGCAGATCTGGCATTAATATAAGAATAAACACAATGTTGTCAACATTGTCAAGTTCTTTTACTTACAAGCAAGTATAATATAGGATATCTGCTAATGTATTGCTAAAATAATACACTGTGGATTACTTTCCACGTTATTTATTCATCGATATAAATCGATTTTACATACATGATCTCCAGTAGATCAATTAAGATTCAAAGCTTACAAATTCTACCATATTTCTACCTAAGATAAATGAATTTAAAATTTGTCAGGGTTATAACAATTCATAAACAAAATATATCTGATCATTTTTTAAAGCCATTTCAATATCAATTACTAGTAATTATTGAAGCACGACAATTTGAGCTTCATCTTTAAATTTTGCCTAATTTTATAAACATTTCTTTGCTCATGTCTGAATTTTACTGAAAGCATGGTTTATATGCTCAATTCTTTAAAAGTTAATGTTAAACATACACATGTAATTCACACAGTGTAAGTTTGTTTTGTTTTTTACTGAAATGAAACATAAGTAAAATTTGACCTCTTTGTGACATTAATTAACCTCAGGGTGCTGGTGAAAAACAATACAACCTCTTGAATAATAAATAATACATATACAACCTTACTGAAGCCATCCATTACACTATAGTGATAGGAGCAGATGAAGCTTTAACTGAATACAATATCATTCAATACGAGGAAATGATATTCACATGTACCTACTACCGGTACATATGAAGAAAGTCATAACAAATTGCATTTTTTACCACATAATTGCACTTGTGATGTATTTATAAATGCATCAAAGATTGATTATTCACTAAATAAACACAGCTTTATACAACATTTAATCATCATTAAATTTATCTGCAATGATATTTTCACACGAAATTGAATGCCTTCAATTGATAAAAAAAATGGGTACATTTGTGTTCTGTAAATGCTTTAAAATATTCTGAAACGCCCACTTTTACTATAATGTTGATTATGAGGTAGTCCAACTACATGTACATGTATTTAGAAGTGAAAGTTCTCCAAACCATGGAATACACAAAATTATTGCAATAATATTCACCCTTAAATAAGTACAATTTACTGTCGCTACCCAACCTTAATTAGTTTTAATATCATGTAATTTTCTGAACTACCAAAATTCAAATCCTCAAAATACAGGATTTTCATAATTTTGCATCTTTTTTGTTTTAGATCATTATTGTTTTTTAAAGTGTCATCTAAAATAAAACATTCAATAAATCTATGTTTCAAACATGTACTACAGGGCTATATACTTGAAATTATGACCACTGGCCTCTTTAATCTTAGTTTTGAACTTGACAAGCATTTTTCCATTTTATTTTCTTCATCATTTTACCACCCGAACCCCTTCTCTTTTTAGTGTCAAATTAGTTTAGACATCGGATAATTTTAAACTACCCGGTAATACAAATTATGTGTTAAGGATATATAGATTACAATATAAAACATTTTGTATCAACTGAAAACTATATGGTTTCTATAACTGAATACAGTCAAAATACTATACAAAACAAAAAGATGACCATGTCATGAATTCAAATTCATTTCCAACACTCCCACAATGTTTCAGATATAAATTAAGGTTTAAATGTACATTGTATTTACCAGTAACAGGACATGATACAATAGTCATAGATTTCATAGGAAACTGCAGGACATATATCAAGTATAATTAAGTACTATACATCTTTACAAATTTCACTATATGATTGATAACATTCAATTTTTGTAAGGACAACAAATACAATTGCTTTTATTTTTAAAATAATGGCCCATAACATTAAAATTTTCAAAATACGATAACATGATTTTCCTGGCAGTTGAAAGATTTTTACAGCAAGCTCACAAATTTTATGTGAAAGCTTTGCTTTCAGCAATTTGAGAAAAAAAATAATACACTAACACATAATTTCATTCAAAAACAATCCCCAGAGCTTTAAGCTTTTAAATTTGAAATGTAAGGTGAATTTTCATTCGTTGACAGTAAAGGGCGTGACCTGGAACAGGAAGCAATGATTACAGACTCTGACGGGATTCATGTAGCCAAAATGAGGAAGAGGAACAAAGTTGGAGGAACATTGGCCACAGTAGATCTGTAACAGAAATATAGGTTTCGTTATAATGAGATTAGAAAATATTTCTTTTATCAAAATGTCAAAGATCCGTGGATGTTTAAATCATGAACAATGCATACATCTTTTAAGTGATTTTCATTGTTTCAAATTTCTTAAACTTATTCTTCAGGAGAACATGATCTCAATTTGATTTTTTTCTTATTTTACAACCCACCCCCTTTTTTTGCATTTGATCTTATCAGAAGAAGGAAATAAGAATATTTGTGGAGTAATTTTTTTATATGTGAATTTTACCAAAACAGCCTTCAAGCAAACATGACAGGTAAAACTAGAACTGTCCAAACGGGACAAAATACCCCCCGATGGGTTTTTCAGAAGTAAGTTTTTCCTTAAGAAAGATATGTATCAAACATGAATTATGAAATTTTTCTTTCAGTGACCTTGAAGTTCCCCAAATGACCTTGGATCAAGGTCATGACACACCTTTGGGTCATGGGAAATCTTTGTGTGAAATGAAAACCTACCAAGTTTATCCATACAAAGGTATCGACTGGACACGAATTATGACATTTTTCTTCCAGTGACCTTGAACTTCCCCCAAATGACCTTGGGTCAAGGTCATGACAAACCCTTGGGTCATGGGCAATCTTTGTGTGAAATGAGAACCTACCAAGTTTACCCATAAGAAAGATATGGACCGGACACGAATTATGACATTTTTCTTCCAGTGACCTTTAACTTCCCCAAATGACCTTGGGTCAAGGTCATGATACACCCTTGGGTCATGGGCAATCTTTGTGTGAAATGAGAACCTACCAAGTTTATCCATAAGAAAGATATGGACCGGACACGAATTATGACATTTTTCTTCCAGTGACCTTGAAGTTCCCCAAATGACCTTGGGTCAAGGTCATGACACACCCTTGGATCATGGGCAATCTTTGTGTGAAATGAGAACCTACCAAGTTTATCCATTAGAAAGATATGGACCGGAAACGAATTATGAATTTTTTCTTCCAGTGACCTTGAAGTTCCCCAAATGACCTTGGATCAAATGACACACCTTTTGGTCATGGGAAATCTTTGTGTGAAATGAGAACCTACCAAGTTTATCCATACGAAAGATATCGACTGGACACGAATTATGACATTTTTCTTCCAGTGACCTTGAACTTTCCCAAATGACCTTGGATCAAGGTCATGACAAACCCTTGGGTCATGGGCAATCTTTGTGTGAAATGAGAACCTACCAAGTTTACCCATAAGAAAGAAATGGACCGGATACGAATTATGACATTTTTCTTCCAGTGACCTTGAAGTTCCCCCAAATGACCTTGGGTCAAGGTCATGACACACCCTTGGGTCATGGGCATTCTTTGTGTGAAATGAGAACCTACCAAGTTTATCCATAAGAAAGATAGGGACCGGACACGAATTATGAAATTTTTCTTCCAGTGACCTTGAAGTTCCCCAAATGACCTTGGGTCAAGGTCATGACACACCCTTGGGTCATGGGCAATCTTTTTGTGAAATGAGAACCTACCAAGTTTATCCATAAGAAAGATATGGACCGGACACGAAATATGAAATTTTTCTTCCAGTGACCTTGAAGTTCCCCAAATGACCTTGGATCAAGGTCATGACACACCCTTAGGTCATGGGCAATCTTAGTGTGGAGTAGTAGATTCTAATGTCCCTCCGTAAGAAAGATATGGACCGGACACGATTGCACAGACAGATAGACAGCTGGACGGACGGACGGACAGCTGGACAGACGGACAAGGTGATTCCTATATACCCCCCAAACTTCGTTTGCGGGGGGTATAATGACCTTGCATATAAGAATAAAGTATTGACTGACCTTTCCACAGTTTCTGCAGTGATGTCGCCTTCTGACAAAGTTAAAGGGAATCTCACAAGCCATACACTTCTCCATCTGATCATCTGGTACCCACTGTGGAGGTTCTACAAACACAAATATCAGGGATTGTTCTACATGGTATTTCGTTAGTCTGAACCTTTATTAACTTGGACAATTTTCTCAGCAACACAAGCATTCATATTAACAAAGCGAGTATGTCATGCACAATCAAAATCAAAGATGTAAATAAGCTTCCAATATCTTCATTTTGTGGGGTTGAATATATATCAATTTACATTTCACAAATGTAACAGACAAGACCTTTTTTAGGAAATGTTTGTCACATTAAAATACAATTTAGTCAACAATAAAACAGTTAGCAACTGTCACATATGCCCATAATATAAAACAAAGATTATCTTAATGGCATTTTCATGCAAATACATAATGAAAGCAAATTAAAAGCAAGCACTAAGAATCCAATTTACATGATTCACGAAATAGAACGATCAGGTAGTGACACACTAATTAACAGTTGTGTGTTAATGCTTCATAAATGAAACACTCAGACACGTTCACTTACCTCGAGGTCTGTTAGAATTAGATCTATGTCCGTATCTGTTGGTTCTACGTGACATGAAGCTGGGGTGTCGATCGAATTTCTTCTTTGGGTTTTCGTCTAGCACTATGACGGGATCAGAGCAGTTCATGTCAAACACACACTTCAGGATGTTCCGCAGGTCACCCGCGTAGTTTGTTTGTAGCTGATCTGCTACTCCTGTTGAATCAATAAATAAAGAATTGATGTCTTGGGAACAAATAATTATCATTTTTTGTAAGATTAGGAAAAAGCGTATCACTTCAAAATGGATAAAACAGTGAAGTTTAATTGTTTGGAAGTTTCAGCAATCAACTCTTGAACTTTAGCATCTTGAACATAAGAATCTTAATCACCACAGATATGTTAAATATGACTTAATTTAATTTAATTTTAAATATATCATAAGTAAAACACTGAGTCCTCAGATAGGTTTAAGTTTTTTCTCAGCTCACAGAGTCTGAGATCAGTAAGTTTAACTAAATGAGAATTTACACAATTTTGAATATTCTGTTCCCTGATTCTGCAGAAAATCCTGTCCTTACAATGTATGTTTCTAAATAATTACAAAAATAAACCTTTGGCTGGGAAACTTTACTTACCTGATATGCAAACAAATAGTCTATGAATGAGGTCACTGCTGCTTCTAAATCTGGCCCGAGCCTCTTTCCGAGATGCCAGTTCAGCGGCCTGAAGAGCCAGGGTTATCTCTTCATCGTCATTACTTTCTGAATTGTAGGAACTAGTCTCACAACTTTCATCACTGAAAAATTCATCAAAAGTAAATCATTTAAAAAATTCAAGGAAAAAAGTATATGATACTGTAGATCACTAAATTTTTTTATGACACCATTTTGCTAGATAGGTATTTGGTATTTATAAGGATTAGGTAGACGAAAATTACACAGAAAGCTAGTAATTGCTGTACATAAGCTATTAAAATATGAATAAAATCAAAGAATGGTATGTTTGCGAGCAGACTCACTATCTCATGTAATTACACAAAAATTAGTTTTCATGAATATAAAGTGTTTTACAGTATTCAATACTAGAAAGTAAACAACAGAGTACGACAGCCTTTCCATGTCCTTACCTTTCTCTATCCCACTCTGCATCATAAGTATTACTATGGCAACTAGAAAAGCTGGAACTCACACTGTCAGTTGTATATCTTAGTCTTTGTATGCGAGGATGCTCAAGATTATGAGTGCCCTCACTCGAGTGAGCTTCCTCAGTACAGTTTCCTTTATTGGTTCCACTGGTACCGGCTTTGGTTGAGTCTTTGTCACTATTTTCACTATCATTTGGTAATCCTGGAGAAGTACGAGGCTCTGAAGGGCCATCATGTTTATCACAAACAATGGTGTCTATCACAAGATTTGTGTTACTGGCAATATCACAGATAGAAGGGGCATCTTTGTTTTCTAAAGAAATAGTTGATTGGTGGACGTCGGAACTGAAATGGGATTGGTCGGGGCAGGTTTGTGGTGGTTTTTCAGAAATAACGACAGAACTGTCAGAGGAAATAGAGGAAGTGGAAGGCGAAGTGCTGATAGATGAAGCAGAAATCCGAGGAATTTCCAGATTTAAGTTATATTGCTGACTACTTTGTCGACTGTATGGAGGGAGTCCACCGGTAGCCTGATTTACTAGCTCATTAACAATATCTCTACAAAAGAACTGTACGTCATGGTCGGCTAAATTAGAATCAGCACTAAGGGTCTCTGTACAAACCACAGTAGAATCTGAGGACATGCTCACAGTACTGGCATCACACATAACCGTTTCTGAAGTGCTCACATTCTCACTTTGAAGCCCCGAGTCTCGGCTCTCGGATTTGTTGAGACTCGAGTTCAGAGATTCTTGACCCTCCAAGGAATCCACGAGTGTGTTAGTGGGGGAATAGTCATCAAACGGGAGATTGGACCCATTTGATGCCTCCTGTTCTGGGGTCAAAAGGTCAATAGAAGTGTCCGAGATCTGGGCCATTTCTTGCTCCAGACGGCGGGTGATTTCTGTCAGGGTGGTGGACGTACTACTTTCTGTTTCCTCTTCAAATCCCGGGTCGACCTGGGAGGATTCATCCTTTTGTTCGGGTTTAGTCAGAATTTTTTCTGGTTCTTCTGCACTACACAACGCACCCTCTAAAGCACTTAATTCTTTCTCATTTAGTGTGTGGAGAAGCTCCCTACAATAAGAGATACAAGTTATTCATTTGATTCTGAAGTGAATTTTTATACCATCATTTCAGATTTCTAAATGAAGAACACAGTTATGTAAATGTAGCTAACTATAAAACTTTTGATATTTGCTATTGAACCACATTATGAACTGTTAAACAATGTCATTTATACACAAACTTGTTGTGACAGAATAATCCCTACCTGATCTTCTGTAGTAGAGTTTGAAATGGTCTAAACATTTCTGATATGTTGGAAGGTTCTAAATTTGGGTTCAGAGGTCCTTCAGGGTACACCAGTAAACCACTGAAAGAAAAATAATTAAGGGTAAAGAATTTTTTAATGGTATAAAAAAATTCTCACATATCTCTTCATAAAAAATATTTAATTTATATCTAGTCAGTACATTTTTCCTTATTTTTAATCTATGAAATGACATTTTCAATTATAGGAACTATTGTGTTAATATTCAAAAATTTGATATCATGTCTAGATTTTTTTAAATTGGAGTCAGCACTCAAGACAAGGCAGCTGTCTCTACTTCTGGTTTTCACCTTGTCCTCTGCTTACTTTGGGCACAAATGTCTTTTATTGCATTTCCCTTTTTAGTGACTAGCTGAGTGCCTAATTTCGAACAGATTTCAAACAGATATACAAGTCTAAACATCAACACCTACCATACAATGGCCAGTCTTGGAATTGTGAACATGAGGGCTGGATCATAATCATCTATCATTTCTTGCTCAATCAGACCTTTTTTCAATGCCCTGCAAAATAAAACAGATATAATTAAAGGTGTATCCCTTAAATAGAAAAAAAACATATCATAAATATTGTTAAGTGCTTTTTTTCAAAAACCTCGAGCCAGTCAAGGTAATTTAAATTCTCTCAAAACCCTATAAGACCTTAATTAATATTTCATGATTTTGAATAACTAGTATATAATTTCCACTTCACATTAAACACCACTGTACATAAAAGAATGGTGACAGGTGACAGATAACTAAAATACCATTTTAAAAAAAAACTCATGGTAATTTAAATTCTGTCAAACACCTGTCAGACCTTAACTTTATTTCCCAAAATGTCCATGTGTTGCTATATATTGTTTTACGGTAATGTGTAAAGAGGAATAATTCCTATCAAATGTTACATAAATATATTTGACATAGGTAAACATATAATGGCAATATCCATGTTTTGCTATGGGAAGAGAATACGGTGATTTCTAAAATAGGAGGTGCACAATGGCAATATGTAATGAAGATTCCTTTTCATTAAATTTCACTCAGTAACCATTGTTACGGATGACATAGCTAACAGAAAAGTAGTATACAACATGTACTATATATTATGATTAATAAAATAACTGTATACAGGGTTATTTTCACCCCAATTTATTTTCGCCCTTTCACACCTGCAAACAAGTTTGTTCCATTTTAAATTTGGCCAGTCACATTTTTGGTTAAGATATTATACCATAATATTTGAATTCGAACCTTTTTAAATTTAACTGAGTAAGATGAAAGGAGCAAAAATAAAATAGGGGTGAAAATTTCCCTGTATACAGTAGTTAAAATGAAGTGTTTATCAATTTATTAATCTTGCATAAGAAAATGCAATTTATATCCACTGGCAGATTCAGGCAGAAACCTTCAAAACATTAATTTTATTTCCTTCCAATTTTGATTCCCAATAATTTTGATTTCACAATACAGTGTGTATATCCATCATATTGGAGACTTTTTGCTATAAGCCATGGATTAAAATTATTAGATACTTGTTTAATCATTACCTTAATTCAAATTCTGCAAACAACTTGTCAAATATGGTTAATGATTCTCTAACCTGAAATCAAAATTTATAAATATAAATCCACAGTTTTACAACACAACACTGAACAATAAAATTTCATGCTTAAAAAACTATTCTTTCATAATCATATACATCTTTTCCTGCTTATTGTATTCAAGAATTGTTTGCTTCAAAGTATTTCTGTCGAAAGTGACTATCGCATATTGAACATGCTTAAATTCACTAAAAGATTTTGTATTCTTCTTTCAAAGCTACATGCATGTTAAACTAACTCACCTTAAAATTCACTTATTTAAGGTTCACAAACCCTCTGCTCACTCAAACTTTAATGATTTTTCAAATAAAATGTATTTGTTAAACAATTATAGCTTAGTTTGCGGGGCAAAACTGGACAGAAAAGACCCTTCTACTTTAAGAATGTCAAAATATACAATGCATAAAAGAATAATAGACATTTACTTCATTAAGAGTTATCTATCTTGTCCGAGTATTGACCAACCTTAAGATGACCAGAATACTGTAGATCACTAAATGTTCGCGACTCCTTATTTTCGCGAGATAGTCATTGACTCTTGATTAGCGAGACAAAATTTTCGCGAATTGTGGTTATTGCTCTATATATATTCTTAAGGAATACTATTATACACGAGAATATATGCTTAATTTTCGTAACCTTGAGCACACTGTCTCGCTTTTATGTAATTACAGCTAAAATTTTAAATTTGTTCATCGCAAATAAAAAGTGATTTACAGTAATGAGACATTTACCCTATCTGAGTCTATTGACTGGTTCCTCAGGCACTGTTCTCTCAGTAAGGTACGGAGGCTGTCTAAATTCTTGGTCAGAGCCCGGGCCAGGGGCCTCATAGAGGCACTCTCTATCTCCCTGTTCATAATGCTGGACCCAGCAGCCAGGCACTGCAAAAATAATATTAAAATGGTCTTAATTTCTCCATATGTAAAATGTGTATGTATCATTGTAAACTATATTTATCTAGTGCATGTATACATGAGCATCCCCTCACAAAGTGCATATTAACAATGAATCAAGAAAGCAGTCAACATTGATCCTAATGTAAATTACCTCACTTCTGTTTCAAACAGAATTAATCACTCACTCTTAATGAATATTGCATTACCATTGTCTATACTGTATACCGGGTTATTTTTGCTCCATTTTATTTTAGCTTTCACACTAGCAAACAATTTTGCCCCTTTTAAATTCGTCCAGTCATCATTTTGTTTAAGAAATTATACTGTATTCTTTGAATTTGCCCCGTTTTAAATTCACCCAAATGAGAGTAGGGTGAAAATAAAATGGGTGTGAATATTTCCCTGTATACAGTATTCCGTCCAACTCCCTTGCGGGGGGATAATAAACATGATGCAGGTGCATTTGATTTATTATATCCATATGCAATGTACGTGATTTCTGTATACTACTTCATGTTCACAAGAAAAAAGTTTTTTTTCTCATTTTTTTTTTAACTTTCCCTCTCTTGTGTCACTAGGTAATCCTACTGAACTATTTCAATTTATTACCGATGACCTAATTGTAAATGTCATGCTTTTTGTCTTAGATTGATTATCTTGGGTTGAATGGCCTCTGGAAGTAGAAATTGTGCCAAAAAGATCAAGATACATTAACGTCTAAATCTAATTAGTGATTCATTCCTCATTCATCCCACATACCTTGTGAGAAATACACTCCCCAAAGGACTCATTAATTTTTACAAAATTCAGGTGTGCTAATAGAATTTTATTTAAAAAAAAAAAACCTTTTGATTAATTAAAATGAACTTTCATTTCCAAATAGATCAATGCTTGCTTCCTCTAACCAGTCAGTGAACAATTCAATGACGCATGAATATTAATCAGGTAGCTATTTTTGGAAACAGAAACTAATGAAGTGCATCGACTTGTGATAATTGTTACAGTAAACAAGGTAAAAATAAATGTACTACTGACATCAAATGAAATATTTAGAATAGCATCATCATCTTTCAGTTTATAATTAATTTTTTTGATTTGGCTTTTTCAACCATTTTTATTAAATAAAGAATAAATTTATGATTTGCAGGGCATAAAGGAAATGTCATGAATGAATCCGGTTGGAACAATGAAAATAAATGATTTGGGCCTAAAATAAAAATTTGTTTGTTTGCAGTTGCCGACCGACCCACCGAAAATGCACCCGACCCAAACTTTTTTTTAGCCATTTTGTAATATCATTTTTTTTCTTCAATTTTTCAGGATATTGAAACTGTTTCATTTTCAATTTTTTACTTTAGTTTTTATCAATCGGTGGATTAAACAAGAGTGAAGCTGATTTGTGTTTAGTAGGCCTATAAGAAGTTTTATCATCATGATCATTTGTTTTCTAAAAAAATCTTTAAACTTTTTTTTTCAAAAAAAAAAAAAAAAATGCCTACCTACCTATCCAGTCTAAAAATTATAGGTCGGCAACTGCAAACGAAGAATTTTTTAAGCTTGGCCTTGTGAAAACACACATAATCAGCATGCATACAAAACAAACAACACAAACCTTCATTTAACCACAATAACTGACAATTGCAATTGCATTCCTTGTGAATGATGAATGAATGAAAAAGGATTGTCAACATTTTTTGTTACCTCTGCCCCAAACCAAAGCTGCCCAGCCAAGTTTTCTTGCAAAACATCATCGGGGAACTTGACCCGGAAATCCCTGTTCGCTTTCTGGTTTCCTATGGCCTCGTCGATAATTTTCTGCACCACCACTAGGACTTTGTCCTGACATGTCCTCAGCTTATTGACCAGAGTGGTACATCTCTCGGGGTCCTTCCTGCCATCAAAACTGTCCAACTCCGCTGCCACCTCATTCAGTTCCTCGTCCGCAAAGAAAAACTGGGCCAACAAAGAACTGTCACTTTTCTGGAAAGGAAAATTCAGATAAATTAAGCAATGTATAATCTATTATAATATTTTTTTAACCCTTTAAAATTAGGGTAATGCCTATATAAATCTACTAAAATAGGTCTAACTTTTCCAATGTTTTACTGAGCCAACCACAAAAAGTTGATGTTTGACCACTCTTAGGATGTTAAGCCATCATTAAAAAAAAAAAAATTGTTTGATGTACTCCGACCAACCCATCAAAATCAAAAAAAAAATTATTTTTGGACTTGGCATGGTTGATGAGATGTTGGTCCACTATTACATTTTTACATCACACTTTATTCCTCAATATAGCCATTCTGATTGGTTAGAAAAATTCTTTCTTCTTGACAGGTTAATACAGGAACAAAAGATATCTATCCAAATACATGAAAAACTTATTTCTATTATCAAAGTATCAATGAACCTTGACAAAAAGAAATCTAAACCAATAAATACCCTTACCATGATGTTCCTTAGACAAGAGAGTCATCCAGAATGACAATTTTTAACCAGAGAGTCGGTATCTTAAGATAAATTTCAGTACAATATTAATGCTTATCTCATAAGGGAAATTTTATTGCAGCATCATTTATCCGGAGTCATTATAAATTATATATGACTATATGTTGTTTATGTCTCTCCTTAAATTTGCAATTAATTGTTTATATTTATTAGGTCGTGAAGATACGTTAACATACAAAAAAGATAAATGAAATATGATGTCGTTATCAGGTTGTTTAGTCTGAAACAATATAAACAGTCTGTGATTGATTCTACCTACCATCCTCAATTTGTTATTTGAGAAAATGAATTAATGTAAACAATATTTTATTCACAGGTGTAAAAGTAAATAGGATTGACCAGCAGGCTCAGCCCTCTCCCTGTTTAAGGAGAGAATTAAAGATACCCAACAAGGGGAGGTCAACATTACCGCTACATTGCCAAAAATTTCAACTCATTACCACTACATTTTTCAAATTTTTGACTGATCATTACCGCTACATTTGTTTGGCTGAAAACAACTCATTACTGCTACATATTGAATCAGCCGAAAACAACTCATTACCGTACATATTGAATCAGCCAAAAACAACTCATTACCGCTACATATTGAACTAGCCTGGTATGGTACGGAATATGAGTTCCAATCAACAGAATTCAATGAATATGTAGTGAAGTACAATTTCTATTTGAATTCTACACAGAAGAATGTGAAGACTGTGAGTTTTATCTAAGGACAGTGCTCGATTTAATTTTAAAATTTTAAAAAGTGTTTTATGAAATGAAATAAATTTCAAATAAAAAATAAAATAACATCCCGCTCAAAGTCCTACTTTCGCCTCCCCGTGGTGAGCAGGGGAAACAGGACTTAAACTTTTATATGTAGTATTACTGTAAATCAATCTGTACACGCATAAGTTGATGGCTAATGAAAGAGGCAATGTAGCGGTAATGTATACCTTTATACATTGTATGTAGCAGTAATGTAACATTTTTTGTAGCGGTAATGACTATGTTGCGGTAATGAAAATTTCGAAAATTTAGCGGTAATGATACGCACACCCCAACAAGTACACACTGGCTTGGAGGCTTGGAGCAGTGAATTTTTTTTTAAATTTGCATGAATTGTAATTATTTGATTTGTACTAATCAAATAAATATCATGACGTGTATCACATCAAAACCACTGTTAACTTGAAAAGTTTCATACTATAGGATCAACGTAAAACATTGTCTTTATATTAGTGGGCATTCATTTTTTACATCTTTACATGTATTAATTTTCTTTCCAAAACATTAGGGAATTCCCTTAACATGATACCTGCAAATTTGGTATTAACCATACCTTGTATAAATAATTTCTCATGCAGCAGACGAATATTGTTTTTGTATCTTATACAGACACAATATGGAGACAAAACATGATGCAACTTGTTAACAACTTTATAACAGGGTTACTTCAACCATATACAGTGTTCTATTTTATCTAAAAACGATTTCTAGGTATCTGAGAGTAGACTACTTTACTACGTATAATTATTTTTATCTCCAGTCTGATGGTAGTCAGTTTATTTACTGACTTTTTATATTATAATGACAATATATTTATTCCAAATATTGTGCTACATTGTCAAAACTGCAAAAGTGATTATATTGACATATCCACATTAAATGTTAAAAGAATTAGTTGCAGAAATTTGTTGACTTTATGATTCCCTCGGCAGATCCAATATTGTGAATAGTTTAGCAAGTGCTAAATTAAAAGCTGCAAGTACAGTCTGCATGAGTACTGTAAAGAAAGCGTCTCCCTCCCTAAATAAAATAAACATTGAAAAGCTTTCTTTGTCATAATTTTTTAAGAGTATAATTATATGCTGTTTTGTGAGAGTTCAGGGGATATTTTGTAAAAATGTATGAGGATCTGATCTTGCAATCTAGAACTTACGAAGGAATTTAATTTATTGAAAACACTGAATGTATATAATCACCATCGTTTAATTTGTTTTCTTTAATTTAAATAATTATAAACCTTTTACTTAGTAGATCCAAGAGAAATGCAAGAAAACTATGACTGATTGTCCTATCTACCTAATAAGTAATATTCAAATGAGTCTGTTTGCCTAAAAAATTATATCGTTAAAGATTTGATAAAATCAACAGGTCCGGCACAATGTCTTGATTAAGCTATATAGCTTTAAAAAGCTATATAGCTTTATTAAGCTATCTAAAATAGCTTAATAAATCTATTTATATGCAGTTTTAACAAAAACGTTTTTTGTAAGAAATAAACAAAAAGTCGCAAGTATTTGACTAAGCATATATGTACTTTTGGCTATCAAAATACAACCTAAATCATAAAAAATTCTAACATTGCTGTTGTTGAGTACTTTTAAGCAAAAGATGAATTTCCATTGTTTGAGTAACTGTGAGTGCAATGAGGGGTGGATAATTATGATTGCTTCTCATTGTGCTGAACTCTTTCCAATCAATTTTCCTGTTGGCCATAACTGACCTCCTTTTAAATTTCATTCAAGAAATAACTGTGTGGTCACTCATCAATAGCCCCCACACTTTTAAAACTTTGAGTACAAAGTCTCTCAAGGAGACGCAATTTGGTGAGTGATTTTTACATGCATTGTATTCAGAAGAATTCAAAGTTTAATATTTCCACTGCACCAAGGTGCGACTTTTTGCACTTGCTGAACAAATAAAACATTTGAGAAGAAAGTGTGATAAAATAGCTTAATCAAGCTATTCTGAATAGCTTGATAAAGCTATATAGCTAAATCAAGCTATATAGCTTAATCAAGACATTGTGCCGGACCTGATCAACATAGAAATAAACTAACTTACAATATTAAAGGCAAATGGACCTTATGGACATTTAAGTTTTAGAGGGAACAACATCATGGGCAAATACATTAAACTTTTAATTTTTAGGGCAAACAAACATACTTAAAATATGTGTGTTAAAGATTATAGGGTTCAATTTTGCAATAACACAATTACTCTTTAGTATAAAGTACAAATTACACAATACTAATAGATTCTATACTCTTTAAGTTTTACCTATGTAACTATGTAGTCAAAGTGTAACAATGAAATCGTGCTTTCTGACTGAGATAATAATAACAGCTTATGAGATTCTTGTTTGTCTACACGTTTAAAACCTGTAAATTTTCGGCTGTAGTGTGAAAAGTGACTTATCTGGTCTCGCAGATTCTACCATTTTCTCAAAACACAATCTATACTACATCATTCTCTTTCAGAAATATTTATACAATCTTACTTTTGATAGATTTAAATACCCAGTTATCTAAAAATAGCTACATAGGTGAAAACAAAATCTTCACAATATACTGAACCTGAAGATTAACTTGTATTGTTTTCCTATTCATATAATTTCTTGCCAATTTTATTTCATATAAACAGCGTAGAAAATCAGACCAACTCCTGAATCCACTGCAGTGATGACAGATCGTGACTTGAGATGACACAAATCGCGGATTTACTCTATGGTAAATGCGTAACAAAGGGATTTCTAAACCTGCCAAAATAAAAACACTAGGCCCGTATATTTACCTTTGGTCTGTTGAACCATTTTCGAAGAGAATTCATCTCTAGGCTGGTTAGATAACATAATCAGATTGAGATTATCACAATCATTTGTCACCTGAAGGTACATTAGTCATAATAAATTGTTCATTCTTTCCTAACAGGATTTTCTACCTTCCCAGTCTCGCGATCATCTCGAAGTGGACTAAACAAAGAACCCAATTTGAGTAAACCTGAATTATCCGGATTCATATGATAGAGATCAGATATTGGGAATTCACTAAGAAAATAAGGATTTCTTGGGATTTCCATTGTTGAAAAATTAAGAAAGTATTCTATAGCTAAAAATAACATTTCCAATCCCATTCTATCCTCGAAAATGCGACAATAGAACATAGTCGCAACACAACATCGCACGCACATTTCATTTTTTTTTAATGTTCAGCTTATTTGATACACTGTGTTTGAAAAAAAAAAAATTGAAAGCGACTTTTGATCATTCTAATTAGGCTAGCATTCATTTTTCTAAATTGAATTATGCATCTCGCTAACCACTGGCGGATTTTAAAAAAACATCCATATGATATTTATAAAAAATTTGAAGACTTTTTTAAAGAAAAGTTATATATACGTGTGTATAAATGTTTATTGAGAAAGGGGCGTATTAAAATGCGTAAATCAATATTATATGTTAAAATAGAGAATAAATATAATGATTGATAAGTTTGCAAAATCAGCTTTACTTGGAATTTACTTGGTATTAAGTAATCGAACACTCCTCGCTGACAAGCTTCTTGTTTTCATATGCCTACTCACCATTGGATACGCATTTTTTTTTGAAAATGTGCTTGTATTTATAAATTTTCGAAACATGAAGATGAATGGGGTTCTCGAAACCCCTCTGCTTTACTTCATAGGTGTCATTTCTTAGTTTTTGGGGGGTTTACTTGTCCCCCCCCCCCCCCCCCCCCCCCCCCCACCTTCGCAATTACATAATATAGGCATTGAAAATTGAGGTTTACTTTCTTTTGTTGGTTTAGCCCCCTCCTTACTTTCAATTACCCCCCCTTTCAATTTGCTTCCGACGCCTATGTACTTTGACATTTCTAAACTTGTTTACTTTAATTTACTTGTCTCAGAAAATTCTTTTGATCAGAGCCGCCAGTCCAAGTTCGGAAAATAAAGAAGAATAGTTCTGTTTACAGGCCTAATACATCTCTAGGCAATTTGATTTATTTTATATTGAAATATTTAAACTGGCTTTCCGGGTATGGCGGAGGGAACTTTGAAGGTATTATTAAGCAAATAAAAGTGACAAGTTAAATTACCTAAGTTTTTTTTTTAAGATTGCCACGGTCTAGAGTAAAGTGAAATAAGTTCAAAACTAGCGGATTTTTTTTTTTGGGGGGGGGGGTAGGCTTTTTTTTTTCGGATAGATAGTTGTGAGTTGTACAGTAGTTTCATACAATTCAGATACTAAAAATACTTGTGTTGCTGATTTTAAAAAAAATTGTCAGGTTTCATTGAAATGCTTTTCATTATCACTTGCATAGCAGTCTTTCCAAATGAAAGCCTTTTTCTGATATATGGGTTTTGAAATGAATTCACAAAATATGCTGATGTTAATTTTTTTCATATTGCCTGTCCCGGTTATCTTGCAACTTGTCAACGCTTTCCAGTAAAATATTTTGAGAAGATTGTAACTGTAAAAGAACCATGTCCATTTGCTGATGGCGAGATAACTCTTGTTTGGATTGTCTGCACACAAATGTTTCGTGTATATTACTTTTGTTGAAGTCAATAATAGGATTAGTATACAAGAAATGTCATATACATGTAATCGAAGCAATTTTTTTTCTTTTTGATTTTACGTTTTTTAATAATTATAACCTTATAATTATTTAATAATATCAGTAAACTATTTTAAAATAAACAACTTGTTATATGTATCACATTAAAAACAGTTTTTCGGGGGATATAATTATTGCAAATATATACTCTCTAGAAACTGAAAATCGGGATTATATAGAATTTTTTGTTTCATACATATTTTTTTTCAATTTGCTTCAAATGCCTATGTACCAAATGGCACTGGCAATGTAGCACTTTTTAAAATTTGAAAATTTTTTTCACATGTAATATTTGGATATAACAAACAGCACTTTGAAAAGATTTTTTTCAAAGTACAATACAGATTTTGTCACAGACCTTAAAATATCACTTTGAACAGGTGTCATGGAAGTGCGTAATTTTTTTAAAGTGGTCACACCATGTGTATGCGCCTTGTCTTGATGGGGGGAAAGGGGGCGTGAAAAATTCAGTCAATATTTGACTCATTGATAAGTTTTATTTGCTGACAAGGCCATTGTGTCGACCAAAAAACTTGCAAAATAATTACTTTAAACGAGACTCTGTTATCGATCCTTGTTTCATCAACTTGCTTTTCAATGTTCAGTTTAATGTTTTGTTTTAAAAAATGTCCATATGTAGAGCATGCGTATGGAATCAACTGCATGCGTTGCATGTAAAAACAATCTGATGGATATGAGGAAATGCATTGTAAGAAATGTTCAATAAAATCGAGGGGGAGGGAGGATGCCACAAATTAAGTTAACTAAAATAGTGTCTTTGCCATTGACTATTTAGTTTCTGATAAAGTATAAATGCAGAGTAGATCAAGGAATTTTTAGGGATCCGTTTTTTATCTTCTTACAGATTTGGATTCTTTGCAGGATTTTTGAGATTGATTACTTTAGTTCAACAGCTGTTTAGAAAAAAAAAATCAGGCAGATCATTTCGGAATATTTAATCTTATCGAACTTGTTTTTTTGTTTAATTGAGCATATTGTCTTAATCGCCTGCACGTTTAAAGCGACGTAGATTCGGTAACTCTTATTGAAGCAAAAAAGTAACATTGAATATTGTTCTTCTTTCGGTTTTCTCATTTTCTGTTCACTAGACAAACCATCAAACTGATTGAGATCAAGAAGTTAGAAGTATGGAACCTCATAGGCCAGCAGTATGGCTAGACGATACGAGAATGAATGTGTTGTTTTCGCCTTTTCGAGAAAAGAATTTAAACCCTTCTTCGTGGAATCAGAAAATGAAATTTTGGATTCAGGTTATAGAAGACGAGTATAAACATTCAAACAAGTGTATTCTTGAACGAAAATCCATACCATTTGTTTTCAAAAGAAAAGGAAAACTGCCAAGTTGTTTGGATACTGTTATTACAGAAATGCTTAGGTAAAAATATTTGCACATATTGATATTTGCAATTGCATATTTGAAGTGAATATCATATCCGGGCTTCTTTCAGCAGCTGTTATAGATCGAACCATCCAGTAGCCTAGCTGTCTTTAGATAACTACATGAAAAGTTCATATATTGAATGTATTGTATAAATTAACACTTGTTGTGAGTAGGATGCTACTCATGCTAGCATATTGTTTCAGAATGCTAGAGCTAAGTTACTGCTATAACATTCAACACAGCCCATCTTGAATGCACTGTCTTGGTCCTGGTACTGTCTCTTAGTATTTTTTTTCTTATGTGAAGCATAATAGAAACCGTCTTTTATGACATGCTTTAAAGATTCAGATTTAGTTATTTAGCTATATAGAAAGATTTCATTTTGCTGTTTTGATATATTTGAATAATGTGAGCTATTTTCAGCCTATAAGAAAAGTCACATATCCGTTTGATAGTTTTCTTCTGTGTTATTATTAAAACAATAGTTTTAATCTGTGTTAATGCATGATTATATAATAACATTTCAAAATAATGTTTCCTTCAGAGCATTTGCAATAAAAGCTCTTAAAGTTTGTCTGGGTATATTCAATAACTAGACCTGTGAAAAGTTGTGAAATCAATTTTGTTTGCTGATATTTTTTCTATTCTTTTGTAGACTTGGAAAGATTCGAAAACTTCAGAACAGTGACATTCTCCAGCCACCCTCAGAGGCCAGTGGGAGGGGCTGGCTGACATGGGGGTATGACACCCTACTAAAGTCCCCCATCACTTGGAGCTGGAAAGCATTGACTAAAGATGAGAAAAATGAGGATAATACACAATATATATTGGAGGAGTGTTTAAAAGTAGGAATTATAATTTAAATCATTCAATTTTTGTCATCAATGATTAATTCTTTTAAAAGTAATGGATAATATTTGCTGCTAAATATCTTTCCAACAATTTGACAATCCAGGTATTGTGGTGTTTTTATCTGACTCTTTCAATACAGGTATTATGATGAGGTATTTTCTGTTCAGCCGAATTTTGTCCATATATTTTTTGAATGTCAAACCAATTTACAATTTCAATAAAACTTAAATAAGGTACATTAAACTGATTGAAACATAAGTACATGTTCAAGTGCAATTATACTTGAGTTTAGATATAAAGATTAAAGTTTTAATTTCAGGATCAGTGCACCAAAGTTCTACAAAGGCATCAGTGTCAGGTATATTGTGACATTGTCAGCAACATTGTGGAATACTCAGTGCTTTACATTCAGTGTGGGGATCTGTGTTCTTCAGAACTGGAGTTTAAGGTGGTCTTACAACAGCTTGTAATAGAAAACAAAGCAGTGATCAGTTCAGATCAAGACACTGTTGTAAGTTCTTCTGAAGGAATATTTTTATTTTATTTTATACATGGTTTTTCTTAAATAAATGATATCTGTATAAAGATGCATGTAAATAATTGGAAAGATTATACTGTATCAAATTTATTTACAATCCTTTTTTATATTGAAGAAAATACAGTATAAATTGATTAAATTAAAGAATGCTTATTAGCTTTTTACCTGTATAGCACTTTCACCTCTATATTTTTATAGGTTGTTAAATTTATTTCCCGGGATGATGACCAAGTAAAGAAAGTTACAGAGGAAGATTTAAAGATTTTAAGGTAGAAAATATTGTAAATATTATCAAGAACCTCCAAACATTTCATATATTCAATAATTTTCCCTCATATTTTTTTTAAAGTTATCATTCTGGTTTTCTGGATTTACTAAACATTTTATGGGTTCTGTTTTAGAATAAAGAAAACATCGGGTAAACTTCTGAATGATGTTGAAAAACTGTCAGCTGTAAGTGAGAGGTAAGATTGAAAAGTTACACAGGGGCATCGTATACACTCTGTTCTTTATTTCTATATTATTTTGTGAAATAGATAACAGAAGGGATATGATGCCCCTGTGGTTAATGCAATATACAATGTTATGAAGTCTTATTTATTACTTTTTATTTCTGTGAAATATTATTTACATGCAAATTAAAGCTAAATACTACTTTTCTTAACACGTTTTCTTTACTAGTGTACGTAAAATATTGACAGTTTTCTGCTTGTTACAGATTAAAAATGGAAGCTATTCAACATAAAAATCAAAGCAAGAGACAACATGTAAGTTGAGTTATTTCTCTTTGGAAACTATGTTTATATTCCTTTATTATTTTGTTTATCATAAACTTGTCATACTTGCCATTGAGTGAAAGACTTTTTTTGGAAGAATATTGTTAAAGCCATTGACAACTATTAATAATTTGATATTTTAAAGATTTTTTTTCATCAATTCATGTATATCTTGATTTGGTTAATGAAAGAAGAACATTTCCAAAGGTTTTATAATGAACCTAATACTGAAACAATTTATATCTTTAAAGCTCCATAATTAGCTCTACTGGTCAGAGACCAGAAGAGCTTATGCGATAGTAAGGTGTCCGTCGTCCGTCCGTCTGTCTAGCTGTCCGTTTGTCTGTAAACAGTTTTTCAAAATGCTACTCCTCCTACAGTTTTTGTCTGATTTCAATATAACTTTGCACACAAGTAGACTACACTAAGATACACAATGTAGTGCATCGGTTTATGATTTCGATAAACAGTGTTGCCATGGTTACTAAAAATAGAAATTTTTGTGAAATTCCTTTAAACCGCTACTCCTCCTACAGTTTTAGTCTGATTTCAGTATAACTTGGCACACAAGTAGACTAAACTAAGATACACAATGTAGTGCATCGGTTTTTGATTTCGATAAACAGTGTTGCCATGGTTACTAAAAATAGAAATTTTTGTGAAATTCCTTTAAACTGCTACTCCTCCTACAGTTTTAGTCTGATTTCAGTATAACTTGGCACACAAGTAGACTAAACTAATATACATAATTTAGTGCATTGGTTTTTGATTTCGGTGAACGGCATTGCCATGGTTACTAAAAGTAGAAATTTTGTGAAATTCCTTGAAAACATTACTTCTCCTACAGTTTCAGTCTGATTTCAATATAACTTGGCATACAAGTAGACCTCACTTAGATACATAATGTAGTGCATCAGTTTTTGATTTCAATGAACGAACCGCTGGACCCAGATGCAAAAGCCAGTGTTGTTCATATATGACATATCTAATATATCATTTGATTGGTGTTGCCATGGTCACTAAAAATACAAATTCTGTGAAATTCCTTTAAAACACTACTCCTCCTACAGCTTTAGTCTGATTTTAATATAATTTTGCACACAAGTAGACTACACTAAGATAAATCACTTAATGCATCAGTTCTGGATTTCAATGAACGGTGTTGCCATGGTAACTAAAAATAGAAATTCCTTTGAAATGCTTTTAAAATGCTACTTCTCCCACAGTTTTGGTCTTATTTCAATGAATTTGGCACACAAGTTTCTCCAAAAAGAGACTTATTCAAGGATCATTATTATATGATATTCATTGCTGTTGTAAAGTTTCAAGTCCAAATGGCTACTTTTCTCTTCATTTGTTATAAATACAAACCAGTAGAGCTACAGTTTCTACAGAGACTTCTGGTTTTTCTTCATCATTGTGTACTTTTTAAAACTTTTTTTTGCAGGCATTGAGAACATTCAGACAGTATAAGAGAATCCAGGACAGAATTTCCAAATTGTCAAATTCTATCGACTTTTTAGATGACATTTTAAACAGAATAAGCCATGCTGCATCAGAAGAAATGGTAATTCCTGTCATGCATTAACATAGCTCAGCCAGATGTATCAGTCTATACATGTACAGTCGACTTTGATTGGGCTGAGAAAAGTTTTTTTGAGGATTCAAGATTTTGAGGATAAAATACTGTATGCAGGGAAATTTTTGCCCCCGTTTTTCGCCCTCTCCTTGATTGGGTGAATTTAAAACAGGGCGAATTCAAATTACTCTTAATTTCTTAAATTTAAAATGGGGCAAAATTGTTCACAAGTTCAAAAGGGCAAAAATAACACGGGGCAAAAAACCCCTGTATACAGTACCGTATGAGTAGAAATTTTAGCGAGGATTTGATTTTAGCATTATTAGCAAGGGTGATGAAACTGCTAAAATTGAATATCGCAAAAAATTAAATGCGTTTTATTTGTAATAGTTTCTTATGTGAACAATTTTTAAGAAAAAATCGCTAAATTTGCATCTCATTAAAATTTCCACTTATACTCTACTTGAAGAAAAAATGTTGGGACTTTTCCAAATCATTCTGGCATTTCCATGCTATTCAAGATACATGTATGGGTGTTTAAGATACAGAAATTCAATTGTATATGTAATTCAAAATGATATGAGATGTTATTAAAATTGAGATAATCAGAAAGATTTATTGACATCTTTATTCATCATTCATTTTGTTTGTAGATTGTGAAGGCTATTGAAAGTGGAACCCAAGCTTTAAAAAGTATCAATGAAAGAAATGACCTGGATAAAGTAACTGACATCATGGACGACTTGAGTCAGGTATGTTATCAGTGTTTGATTTTTTTTAATCTATGAATTTTCATAATGCCATGGATTATTTAGGGAATATTTACTACCGATATTTGGTGTTTTTCCCCTAGAGAAAATTTCCCCTGAAGATCTAATTTTCCCCTTTGGATGAGTAAAATATTCCCCTTACAATAATAAAAACCTCAAATATTTTTTTTCCTTCATAAAAACATGAATTTTAAAGTAAAATGGTTCCCAATTTCTCCAGAAAGGGTAGTTTCCCCCAAAACCTAGATTAATCCCTGAATGCCTATAACTGAGTAAGGTATCTAACAAATACAATGTATTTGAATTATATAATGGAGGATTTTATCAAACCTGATTCAGGTATCTTACAAATATCTGGATTTCTTTAAAGGAGGGGGTTATTATATCTGAGTCTCCAGGTATTCTACCAATATTTGAATAAATTAAATGGGGGGGGGGATGACATATGACAGTAAGGTTCTAGTTTCTAGCAGTGATTGGTCTAACATAGCATGAAATCTTATTTGATTAATGAGACATAAGCCATTCTTCTAACTGTCCATCTTTGATCAGTGCAAGTCATTTAAGTTTTTCATTTCTTTTCTTAAATTTGGAAGCCATCATTTTTAATTTTTACCGTTACAGACAATAGAAGATCAGGAGGACATTCAGAATGAACTGGGAAGATTAAATAACGAAGAGGAAGAGTCACTGGAAGCTAGCCTGGAGAATCTGTTAAAGGGAGATAATTCTCCTCTAGAGGATGTTCCCTCAACACTCCCTGACACTATGGATGGAAAAGGAGATCAGTTGTCAAGTGCAGATGAACTTGCAGATTTACTGTCAGGTGAGTAAATATAAAGAACATGAATACACATACATAGTAGACAGTAAGTAAAACAGTCTAGTCAATATGTACTAAAGATCACCAAATTTTTTTACACCTATTTTCGTGAGAAAGTACCGGTAATTTGGAAATTATAAAAGAGAAATATATTATTCATGAATTTCAGATATTGTTGTATAATGTTTTTAGCAAATAATAAGTGTAGTACTGATTGCTATGTTTAGAATTTAAAAAATCCCAATCTATTTTTAGATCTTAAGTTGCCTGATGTACCTGATTCTCCTCCAGAAGAAGAAGTGGATTGTGGGAAGAAAAAAATACCGGCACATGGAGATATATTTATTCCTGATCTCTCTCTATCAGAAACAAAAATGACAGAAAAGCCCAAGAAGAAAAAAGAGGCTGCTTGATAATGCATTGAAAATGTATACCCTGGTCTTTCACATAACAAATTATGAGCATTAAAATGTAATTAATGTAAAAACAATCATGTTTATACAACTCTCATCTTTTAAATCATATCAATTAGATACAATGAACTTATTACTGTTCAATATCCCTATAAGTGTTTAATGGATATATTTTTATCAAACTGTTATTTTATGAGTTTTGATCATCTCTTGCCATTATAATGAATCTGTCAACATATTGCCATGAGATATTCATTTCTCTGTGTATCAATAAATTTTTAAAAATACCTCAGTTATATTAACCATTTAAAAATATTCAAATAATTGGTTTCAACTGACTTTGTGTTACCACAGTAACTTTCATCCAACATAGCTTGGTAATGCCAGAAAAAGGTACAAAATTCCCAGATGGAAACATTCTTAGTGAATATTTAGAAAACTAGGCCATAAATAATGCTAAGAAATTATTTAAAACACAATGACTTCAGTTTCTTCAAAAGAGCTGTTTAATATTCTACAAAAGAGACGTCCATTACTGCTTACTATTTTGTATATGGAGAATAAAGGAGAAAGTCATTCTGGACCATATAATCAACAGCAACAATCTGGAGATGGATAATAATGAGTGAGCAAATATACTGTAATGAAACAAGGTGCATTAGTGAATCACTGATGCCTCCGTATGGCAGTTTCTGGTGAAGGTTGTGAAACACTGATGCCCCTGTATGGCAGCTTATGGCGAGGGTTGAATTTTCTCAAAGGCATGTCAAACTCCATAGGTTAAGGTCAAAAGTTTTGGTACCAAAAGAAAGGTCTTCTTACAAGGATTGATTATATATTGTTTTACGTCCCTCCAGAGAACTTTTCACTCATATGGAGACGCCACCACTTGCTGGTGGAGGGCTACAAATTTTTACCTACACTCGGCACTCATGGCCATTGAGCAGGGAGAGATCTTTTTTGTGCCAACACCTACTGCGACACAGGACCTCAGTTTATACAGTCTCATCCGAAGGACCGGTCTCCATGTCCCAGAGTGGGATTCAAATCCACGACGTAAGGATCAACTCCTTACTCCTTGAGTCTAGAGCAGATGCTCAATGTGCCACGTGGGTGACTCTTGTGACAAGGAATACACCTATAAAATACGAAAGCCCTAGTTCTAACTGTTTAAAAGTTATGGCCAATGTTAACATTTTTAAAAAGTGGGTCAAACTTTAAGCTCAAGGTCAAAGGATCAAAAATATTTATACCTCCTGAAAGGTCTTGTCACAATAAATACACATGTGAAGAATGAACACCATAGCTCCAACTGTTCGAAAGTTATGGCTGTAGTTAAAGTGTGGTATTTTTTTTTCTAAAAGTAGATCAAACTCCAAGGTCAAGAGGTCAAATTTTGTGGTACCCAAAGAAAGGTCTTGTCACAAGGAATACACCTGTGAAATATAAAAACCATGCATAGCCCCACCCACTCAAAAGTTGTGGGCAAGGTTAATGTTTTTGTAGACAAACAGACAGCTAGTCAGAAAGAAGGGCGGACAGGACAAAAACTATACATCCCTGAAACTTGTTTACCATGTTTACAGGGAGCATAAAAAATTTAAAAGCTTGCAGAAATGCTACAGTTATTATCTGAAAACTATATAACTGATATTGCCCTTTGGTCCTCAAAATGAAAATGGGTTATTGCAAAATCTCAGTCTTTTTGTCCCCCGCTTTTGCAAAAGTGAGGGGACATTAAATCTCATTCATCTGTCCACCTGTCAGTCTGTAGTTCTTCCATCTGTCCCAAAAACTTTAACCTTGGTCATATCTTTTGAATGAGAAGAAATAGGGCTTTCATATTAAAGATGTATATTACCTGTGACAAGACTTTCTAAATGCTCTATGATTTTATTTTTACCCATGACCTTGACCTCGAAATTTGACCTACTTTTAAAAACCTTTAACCTTAGTCATATCTTTTGAATGAGAAGAAATAGGGCTTTCATATTACACATGTATACTACTGGTTACAAGACTTTCTAAAAAACACTGATTGTTGACCCTGTGACCTTGAACTTGAAGCTTGACCTACTTTTAAAACATTTAAACGTTACATTGAAATGGCCATAACTTTTGAATGAGAAGAGATAGGGCTTTCTTTTTGCAGATGTATATATATATATATATATTACCTGTGACAAGACCTTTCTGAATACACTATGAATTTTGACCTCGTGACCTTAACCTTGAAGTTTCACCTACTTTTCAAAATATTTAACCTTGGTCATGACTTTAGAATGAGAAGAGATGGGGCTTTCATGTTGAAGCTGTATACTTACCATGACAAGACCTTTCTAAATACATTATGAATTTTGATCTTGTGACATTGACCTTGAAGTTTGACCTGCTTTTCAAAAATGTTAATTTTTTCCTTATAACTATTGATTGAGAAGAGATAGGGCTTTCATATTTTTTGACATGTGCATTACCTTTGACAAGATATTTCCCAGTATCTATGATTTCTGACCCCTTGACCTTCACAATTAACCTTTTTTTAAAGAACTCAATTTCGGTGATAACTTCTGAATGACATAAAATAGGGCGTATATATCTGATGCAATATGCCCTAATGAATGGCAACTCGCCCACAAAGACACCGAAACGTGGGACCTCAATTCTTCGAATTTGCTTGTTAAGATAGAGTTTGGGGGGAAAGTGTTTAAAGACAGAATGTATGAATTTATGACCTTGACCTCTGACTTTCTGACTTCAAAATCTATAGGATTCTTTTCAAATCCATATAGTTGTGTTTAAATTTCATGGAAAAAAGTTCATTGTACAATGTATGGATTTATGACCTTTGACCTCAAATTAAAAGGGTATTGGAAGTATATATAATTTATTTGCAAAAGCAAAAGGTTAAAGTCTCTTTAATATACTGATATTTTCCAGAAACAAAGTGGTACAAAAAAAAAAACAGAAAGTATGAATTCATGTCCTAAACCGCTGACGTTTTGACCTCAAAATTAACTAAGATCTGTTTTAGGCCATAGGAAGTAAGAAATTTCACAGCATAAGCGCAAGGGTGTCTTGAGATATCATCTGAAAATGAAAATATTACACAAATAGAATTATGAATGGCCTTAAAGACCTTTTTCATTTTAAGGTCAAAACATACGTTTTAAATAAAATTTTCCCTTTAGGGGTGGAAAACCTTATAACAATTCATTTAGATTTTTCAATTAAAATTATATCAATTCCACTTTGCCCTAAAAAACAAAAGAAAGAAAGGTCAAGGTCAAAATAAAAATAAAGTGCATGTTTACTTTTCAGATAATAGATAATAATTTTAATTTTTTTTTGTAAGCTTTTGTAATACATCTTTTGATTGTGAATATCTTTTGCTTTAAAATACTCTTCTTGTTTTAAGGCCAAAAGCTGAAAGGTCAAGGTTGAGCTTTTTTCGTTTATATCATATGCAAGATAAAAATTGAAACCAATTGCAATTGTGTTTATTCCTCCTTAAAACAGTTGCTTAATAACAGTAGCTAATTAGTATTAAAGCCAAATTCCAATCAATAAGTAATTTGTATAAGCAAATAAAAACATTATATGAACCATAGAATTTGCAAATTGTTGACTTTTTAAAAGCGATATTTTTTTAAGAGCTGTCAATTTACTTGTCAGTAGCATGCCTGGTTTTAAAATTGATCGACATCGGTGGATGCCCTTGCATATCAAGTTATTTAGAGAAATAAACAGCATATGGTTATATGATAATTATGATAATTAGAATTTTAACTACAAAGAAAGGAAATTTCCTATGGAAAAGCTGAAGTCGTTACAGATTACTTACAAGTTGTTCATTAATTCATTTAACTCTTCAGGCAGTAAAATGCTGAAAGATCGTAGGTTTGGTGTTACTGGTTTTGAAAACATTTTTATTTCAATTTTTTGATTTTTCTCTTGGAAGTCTTTGAAGAATATATATTATTAATGTTACTTCTTGAACATGTAGCACGGCATGTCTGTAGTTTCTCCTCCGTAGCAATTAACATTTTTGTGAGGAATAAAGACTGATGTTAACATTTACTGGATCCTGCAATGTATCATTTTTTGTAAGAATTTTCATAGAATGTTAGAGAATTCAGTACAGATAATTATGGTAAATTCATTTCCTTGATTGGAACAGTAAAAGTATACTAAACTGAATGAGAGTATGAATGTGATACTCAAAAAAAGAATATGGGCAAATTAGGCGCGGTAAATGCCCAAAACTTACAATAAGTATCCATTAATGTTAACTGCAATACCAGATTAAAAAGTTTACAGTTTACACTGATAAAATTATGTTATGATAAAGTGACACAATAAAGCAACACAACAGTCATTTGAGGCCAACAGCGCAAATGAGCGTGATGACAATGTAGCTGAGGTGAAAGACAGTGGATTCAATGTTTGAACATCGAGATATTACCTCAGTTTTCCTGTATTTGGATTCCTTTGAGTATGGACACTCACAGCATTGTCTAAAAAAGACTGATAACAAAAAAGTTTTAATCTTTAATCAAACTTTCATCCAGGATGTGTGACCCAATACATATATATCGAGATTTACAGCAAAAGAAATATGGATACTTTGATGGATGACGTTGCTGAACATTCAACGCTAAACGTTAACCTGATATACGCCATACTGTCACACAATCTTACAAGAACAGTAACGTTCTAAATGCGGCATTTCCTTCTGTATACAAGCTGAAGTATTCCCATACTTGTTGATTCGACTAATTTCTTGAGCACTTAGAATAAAATTGTCACCTTGAGCATTATACTTCACGGTAGTTTCAAAAATACCATCACCAGGTGTTGTTTGTAATGTGATTTGATACAAAGCACTTTTGTCTATGGCATCTTTCGATTCGATCTTTGGAACTCTTCCATCGGTGTCAACACTACCCAAATAACGCGCTATGTGTGGATTTGATTGTAAAACCATAGCATTTTTGATAGATTTCAATGACAATTCGTGGCATTTTGATCTAAAATTTGCAGTCAAGTTGTTCATAAATTTCACAATTGATTTTGCTGCTTTCTGAGTAATGAGATCATCTGAGGAAGTGACGTTCCACCCTAAGCATGCGCACCAATGAGGTGCTATATCTGCATCGCTACATGTACGATATACTGGTATTGGTCTGAAAAGACTCATTCCTCTCGGCAGTTTCTCTGTTTTAAGAACTTTATTCTCAAATTTCATCATATCAAGGAATGTTTCATGTATATCAAACGGTGTTGTTAATCTATCAGTATTTTCTTTGAATGCTTTAAATTCAGACGGATATTTCTTAGAAAACCACTCTGGAAATCGAAAAGCAAAATAAGGCATCCTTTCTTCGTACTTTCCCTGGATGCTCTCCCTGACTGCGTGAAATCGAGCACCATGATCGCTCATTAGAATCAACACAGTGTTGTTCAGATAGTTTTTGTTCTCCAGATATTTAAGCATTCCCAGCAAATCATCGTCTGTCCACTTTAGTCTGCTTGTATCTTCATGACTATATTCGCCATGGAATGCAAAAATAAATTTCAATCGATTTCGATACATTTGAAATCCATCTTTGACCCAGTCCATCATAATTTTGTGTCTGGCCTCAGATCCCAAACAAAAAGGTTTACTGTATTTTTCTATTGCTCTCGTTGCCTGAGAATATGGTCGCCAGTAATGATCAACAGGCTGTTTGTCAAACCCAAGCATTCTGTAATTGAACGCTCCGATCCAATGCATATCTTCCCCGTATTGTGTCATATATCCAGTCTTTTTCAATTCCTTCCAAATCCAGGGATGGCCATCGACAACTTTTGCTCCGCGTTTACCACGGCGTGCTTCCGGTAGTTCGACTTCTGCTTTTCCCGTCAAAATAGGTAGCAGAGCTTGAGGTGTCCCGTCCCCCACAATATTGTAACCCTTGAGAACAATACCCCCTAACTTTTCCGTGAAATACTTGTGAGTTTTTGGCAATACTCTTAACCACGTATTTCTAGACACAGAATCAAATGCATACATCAACACATTTAGAGGCATGTAAAGTTCGCCATAAGAGGCTTTGTTTATTCTGTCGTATACTGTTTTATTATAAGCGACAGTTATATGGATGTTGGAGTAATTGGAACCCGAAACCTCCGAGTGACAAGTTATTTTGACAATATCAGTCGGTGCTCTTATAACACCCTCACCAAACGTCTGCTTGTTACCCACCATAAAATTATCTTCGTCCTTCCGGTAGATTGGAAAATATTGACAAGAAATGTTACCATGTCTAGCTTTGGCCTTTTCCGTTATCCAGAATGTTCCATTGTCGATTTTTATCCAGTTCTGGGTTTCGTCACATTTCAGGATACCTACGTCACGATAGAACTTCATAACGGTGGGATCATAAGGGTCTAAATATGGATGGTTGCAAAGCTGGTTAAAGCTGAAGTGTTTCTTAAGCACACTATTCAAAACTGCACTGTCGGTCACTTTGTTTAAATTCTTGACAGGTATTTTTGTATTTGTTTCAGATGTTTTTACATTTGTTTCAGGTAATAATTTTGCATTTGATTTAGATATTATAACATTCCTTTGGGATTCTTTTGCATTTCTTTCAGATATTTTCACGTTTGTTTCAGATATTTTTACGTTTGTTTCAGATATTTTTACGTTTGTTTCAGATATTTTTGCATTCGATTGAGATATCTTTATATTTGATTCTTCTGCATTTCTTTCAGCTAACTTTGCATTTCTTTCATATAATGTAAAATTTCTTTGCCTTAGTTTATAATTACCAGTAAGTAACCCCTGACTCTTGTCAAGCATTCTTTGTCGTAGAAATTCTCGTTGAACAGTTTCTTTCAATATCATCAAAGAGCATATTATAGAAAGAAGAATGATGAGCACTATTTTTGGGCGTTGCCTCCATATTCGATAGTAAGTCCAACGGCAAATCCACATGGCCAGCAATAAGGGGAAAAACGGAACTACAAAGAATAATATAAGTGCATTAATATATTATTCTACCATGTGTGAAATTTGTCATGTTTAGCAATTCATGAAGAGGATCTAATGTTAGACCGTTTCAAATTCTTTCTTTAACAAATATAATATTTTTCGACACAGGTACTTGTTTTATTTCGTAAAAATAAGCAGGGGTACCCCCGCCCCTGCTTATTTTTACCACAAGGTATCTAAATTAATTTCAGGCACCCCGCTTCGAGTTCTTTATCACTCTCTTACTAGTAACCTATTTAAAATGACAGCGTTTGCTACGAGAGACTTTTTTCATGTCAAATAAATCGTTTCAGATGTCTCTGGACGAGCCTCTTTTTCTAAACTACTCATTTATTCCTTGAATATTACCACCTCGGTACATATCAAGACTTAAGATGGGATACACATTTCCGGGTGGGGTTATAAATGAAGAAAAAACCAGAAACATCTGAATGGCATACTGGGAAGTCTCGGGTTTCAACCTGCGCCTAACCGGAAGTTATCTACTTGTGTGCCAAGTTACAATGAATATTGAAATTAGACCAAAACTGTAGGGGATGTAGCATTTTAAAAATAGTTCAAAGAAATTTCTATTTTTATAACCATGGCAACACCGGTCATTAAAATCAAAAATCGATATAGAGAATCGTGTATCTTAGTGTAGTCTGTGTGTTATATTGAAATCAAACCAAAACTGTGGAAGGGTCGAAATATGGATGGTTGCATAGCTGGTTATGGCTGAAGTCGTGTTTCTTAAGCACACTATTCAAAACTCCACTGTCGGTAACTTTGTTTAAATCCTTGACAGATATGTTTGATTTCGTTTCAGATATTTTTACATTTGTTTCAGATAATAATTTTGCATTTGATTTATAAATTTATTTTTTACATTCCTTTTGAATTATTTATATTTTTGCAATTGTAAAACAATATCAAATGTTTTTTTTAAAAATATAATTATTTATAAAAACCACGGTTATTATACCCCCCGCTTGAAAAGCGGGAGGGTTTTTCCGTACTGTATTGTCCGTCCTTTTCCTTTATTCCGTATATTTTTGCCTCTCATACCACTGAATGAAATTTGATGCAACTTTCACAGAATCTTTATTACATATTGCCATTGTGCACCTCCTATTTTACTTTTTGATCCGACACATATTTTGGGTTTCCCGGCCACAAGAAAACATGGACTTTTTCACCAGTTATAACCATATGGGAGCTCATCGCTCACAGTACCTCTAGTTTATCATTCGGATTCAGTAAATGCCATTGAGCAGTTGAGCAAGCCACATTTCTAAATTTCTTGAGTAGCGGGTACAAGTATTCAGCCCTGGTCAACACATTGCCGCTGGTCCAACGGTATCTTGTTGACTCAGGACCCCTGGCTTGCGAGAATGCGGATATATTCCATCATTGAAACATTCAATGATTTATATTAAAAAAAACTAGAGGTACTGTGAGCAATGAGCTCACTAAATGATACCCCCCGCCTCCCATATGAATATAATGGCAGTGTCCATGTTTTGCTCTGTAAAATCAAAAATATATGTCAGATCAAAAAGTAAAATAGGAGGTGCACAATTGCAATATGTGATAAAGATTCTGTGAAAGTTTCATTAAATTTCCTTCAGTGGTATGAGAGGAGTTGCGGATAAGAGATGGGTACCCCAAAGCGTAACAGACAGGACGGACGTACGACGGAAATACCGATTACTATATACCCTCCCACTTTTCAACCGGGGGGGTATAATAACAATAATACAATGTAGCACTTTTGTGCTTTTTGACATATACCTGTCATAAATCTGATTAAAATCAGATGTTATGCTCCGTTATATAGCGACATCAAAATATCGGAGCGTATATCATAATAAATGTAGAAGTACTATATATTTAAATCATTTTTATCACAGTTGAAAAGTTCTATTTAACAGCATCTAATAACAGAAAACCCTATGTTTTTTCCCTCTTGTCCTCACAATGGAATTCACTTTTAAAGTTAGCACGGTCCCTGCACTGACCTGAAAACCGTTTATAAATGATCTCAGTCAAGACGATGAAAATGAGAGCGTATCAACTATGTCTTTTATAAAAATCACCGAAGGATATGATTTTATTTGAGAAAAATATATTCTTTCAACGTTGTATATAGTTATCAGGTGGATTCAATAAATCAAAAAAGAAAAAAAAAGAATTAAAATATAACAGTTAAAATGGTCTATTGAAAGAAACTGGGGGATAAGCCCAGCCATACGCTTATATATAACGATCGAAAAAAAAACAATAATTTTTTTTTCAAAAATTTCACTTATTGTTGAATTTCTGTAATGCTTATAATCATTTGTATACAAATTTGACAAAGCCTGAATACTGTAACGGCAAAAATTATTCTGTTTCACATAACAAAATGCAAAAAACGCTAAATTTTCACAAAAACTGACATAAAATGATATATAACTATATTTTTTAAATTAAGTAAGTCATCGATTGTATCACTATTTTGAGAACGATTAGTACAAGGCAATAGAAAGATGTTGCTTTGCACACTTGCAAAAATTTGGTTCGAAGACCCGCTCTACATAAAAAATTAAGTTTACTTACTTAAATTTTCACCGTTGTCTCCAAAAATTTCAAGTAAAAATACGCTTGCTTAATATAGAGAAATATACGCTATTTCAATGGCAGGTATGTGTGACTCCGTGGTCCAGTGGTTAGCGAGGGGCTCTTAATAGGCACGTTTATTTATAATAAAGAAAGTGTTCGAGTCATGCTCTGATTTTTTTAATTTTAATTTTGTTGTACCTTTATTTTTAATTTTGTTAGCACTTTAATTTAAAAAAAAGGTTATATAAATAATACATTTTTTTTTTACTAGAAATAAAATATGAATAAAAAATTACAGTAAATGATTTTAAATGCCTGATAAAAAATGTAAAAAATATGAGGATAAGTTTATTCTAGTTTTTATTTATTTTTTTACAAATAAATCACCACTAGCAATATATGCAATGTTAACATTTTTCTATCTCCACAATAATTGTTTACACTCAACGTGCAGATCAAAGAATAAAAGTCCCTACCCATGTCAGACACTTGTGACAGTAAAGAAATGTCAACTGTTTAGAAAATAAATATCATTTTGAAAACAACTGTTAACATTAAAATGCTTTAAAAAGTATATTCAAACAATTGAGAGTTTTTTATACCCCCCCCCCCCCCGCTTGAAAAGTGGGAAGGTACTGTAATCGGTATGTCCGTACCGCGTCCATCCGTCTGATACGCTTTGGGGTACCCATCTCTTATCCGCAACCCCTCTCATACCACTGAAGGAAATTTAATGAAACTTTCAGAGAATCTTTATTACATATTGCCATTGTGCACCTTCTATTTTACTTTTTGATCTGACATATATTTTGGATTTTCCAGAGCAAAACATACTGCCATTATATTCATATGGGAGGCAGGGGTTGTTCATTGCTCACAGTACCTCCGTTCTTGCATAGCCGAAAAATGGACATGGGCTTGTTTTATCCCCCCCCCCATATTCTTTGTGGATACACCACAAAAAACCAATGCTACATGTGCTACATGATATCTGAAAATGCTAGATTTACACTGAAAGACATTGACATTCTAACAAAATATACATTTTTTTATATCAGATGTGTCGTATTTGCTTATAAAAGAGCAGATTGTTTGTTTTTATGTGCCGAAATCGAAGATTCGGATGTGTATAATTTTTGCCCTGTTCGTTCGTCCGTCCATCTCTCTGTCTGACTAGCTGTTTGTTTGTCTGGTTGTCCATAAAAACTTTAACCTTGCCCATAACTTTGAGTGTGTGGGGTTATGACTAAATTCCTTGTGACAAGACCTTTCTTTAAATACCACCTTAACCTCTTAACCTTGATCTTGGAATATGACCCACTTTTACAAAAAAAAACTTTTACCTTGTCCATGACTTTTGAACAGTTAGCACTGGAATTGTCATGATTTACAGGCGTGTTTCTTGTGACAAGATCTTCCATTGCATATCAACATTGATCAACATTTGACATTGACCTTAAAGTTTGACCCACTTTTTAAAAATTTAAGGCTTGGCCATAACTTTTGAACAGTAGGCACAAGGGCTTTCAAATTTCACAGTTGTATTTCTTGTGACAGGACCTTTCTTTGGATACCAACAATATGACCTTGACCGTAAAGTATGACTCACTTTTTAAAAATCTTTACCATGGTAAGCACTAGAGCTTTCATATTCACAGATGTATTCATTGTGACAAGGCTTTCCTCTAAATACCAACAATTTTGATCCCGACCTTCGAGATTGACTTGCATTTGAGAAACTTCAAACCTCGCCAGTCGCCCGCGTGGCGCAGTGGTAAGAGCATCTGCTCTTCAGTCGCGAAGTAAGGAGTTGATCTTCACGTCGCGGGTTCGAATCCAACTGTGGGACGTGGAGACCGGTCATTCGGATGAGACCTTATAAACTGAGGTCCCGTGTCGCAGTAGGTGCTGGCACGAAAAAGACCCCTCCCTGCTCAATGGCCCTAAGTGCCGAGTATAGGACAAAATTTGCAGCTCGGCACCAGCAAGTGATGTCGTCTCCATATGAGTGAAAAATTCTCGAAAGGGACGTTAAACAATATACAATCAATCAATCAAACCTCGCCACGAGCTTCCATACGAGGATATAAGT